TATAAAATGCAGCTTAAAGTTGGATATTGGAGAGCTGGCGAAAGATTATGGCCTTTGTATCAATGGTTATAATAAGCTATAGATATCTTAAACTATACAGTGCTAATTACAAATTTCTTTAAACTTCATTCTCAAATTAGATTTTAAAAATTCAAAAGTAAATATACAATAATTTTATTAAAAATTTCTCACACATACTTTACAAAAAAGAATGTGAAGAGGACCCCATCCCTCTAAAACTTCTAATGCAGTGTTTTAATGAAGTTAAACCAATTGTGTCATTTATTATCAATGACTCACTTGTCACTGGAAAATTTCCGTCAGTCTTAAAGAGTGCTCTTGTCAGACCAGCCATCAAAGATGATAAAGGAGATGTCAATAGCTTCAACAACTATAGACCGATTAGTAACTTACCTTTCCTCTCGAAACTCATTGAAAAGAGTGTCCAGAAACATTCTGGATGACCAAACATCTTGACTATCACAATCTTCATGCTGAGCATCAAAGTGGTTATAGGTCAAATCATAGCTGCGAAACTGCAACCCTTACCATCTACAATGATCTTCTTTGTATCAGTGACATGAAAAGCAAGGTTATCCTCCTCCTTTTGGCCCTCAGTGCTGCTTTTGATACTGTAAATCATCACTTGCTCCTAAAAAAACTAAAAAAGGACTTTGGTTTTGAAGGTACTGTTCTCGAATGGTTTACATCATACCTTAATAACAGATCCTTCACAGTAACTATTGATAAATCAAGATCAAAGAGATGCTTCCTTAGAATTGGAGTCCCGCAAGGTTCAATTCTAGGTCCAATTCTGTTTATACTTTACTCAAAGGAGCTCAATCAGATCACAAAGAGACATGGATTTAACATCCATATGTACGCAGATGACACTCAACTGTACATTGAGTTTAACCCACTATTTCGAGATCTGTCAACAATCACAAGTCGATTTTAGGCCTATGCTAGCATGGTAGCCCACTGTGGAAGATAGAATAACAAATTGTTTTGAAGATATTAAAACCTGGATGACCCAAAATAAACTCAAACTGAACCAAAACAAAACAGAAGCTCTTGTAGTACAGACCAAGAACAGTTACTCTTCATGTCCAGTCGATTCAATACAACTTGACAATGCAGCTGACCCTGTGGATGCATCCCGCACAGTGAAAAGTTAAGGTGTCCTTTTTGATCAATTCCTAACATTTGAAGATCAAATAAATTCAATTATCAGTTGCTGCAACATCCATCTGAGGAACCTTGAGTTATAGGCTCAAAGCTTAACTATGATCTAAAAAGACAGCTCATTCACTGCCTGATCTTTTCAAAACTAGACTACTGCAATGGACTCTTATACGGTTTACCCGATCTTCTCATAAAGAAACTCCAGAAGGTACAAAATTCCTGTGTTCGATTCTTGTTTGGTTGGAAAGCTATCAAAAAATGGGACAGTATCACTCCATTCCTGAAAAAAGCCCATTTTCTTCCAATACGACAACGAATAGAGTATAAGATTGCTCTAACCGTGTTCAAATGCGTCAACAACATAGCGCCGGAGTATATCACCAAATGTATTGACATCAAGAGTCAACCTGTACGTGTACTAAGAACTGAAGAAGACTATTTCCTCCTAAATGTTCCTCCTATTTCAAACTATAGTAAAACCGAGAGAAGTTTCAGCTACTGCGGACCCTCTGTTTGGAATCAGCTTCCTTATCAATTGAGAACACAATTTGTCTCCCAACAAATTGACAGTTTTCCCATTTAGCTGCTTTGCAAGTAATTCAAGGGTTTCACAAAAGCTATCAAAGCAGCCATTAGGGGGTCGGTAGATGACTCCATGAACAATAGTGCAGCCACAGATAGTGCAGCCTGCGCTATCTGTGGTTTCAACAAAGAGGCTCTCAATATTTTTAGTACAGTGTGATACGTTTTCTAAGACCACAGTGTTTAAATGGTCAGATACATAGAGTGCAACACCTGTGCCTTTTTTCTTACCTGCCAATGATTCTTGATAGAATCCTGTGTATGCTGGAATTTGGTACAGACCCTGTTGTGCAGGATCAGTATTGGTTTCAGCAAGACCAATCATATCAAACGAGTGCCCTATACTTTTGAGTTCAATTAGGAAGCTATCAAAGTTAGATGCGTTTCCATGATATATTGTAGAATAAAGTTGATAACATAGATTTTTTAGAGAAATTGAGCTGCTTGATTGCATTTAAGAACTCGAGTTTAGAGTAGCGACGGCAACTTTCAAGTACATGGGCATATGATGCAATTAAGGCACCCTCCTGGTTTCTATTATCATAGAATCTATCAGAATCAATAGATTCCTCATCAGATGGAAATGGGCAGTACCGTTCTTCTGCAGAACTGGCACACTCGCAGCACATCCATAGTCCATTTTTGCATGAATATTTAGCTGATTTGAAACACTTAGTATGAATGGCATTATTACAGTTTTCACACTCTAGTAAAGGTTGTCCGATGTTAATAGATCTACTGCCATGCATGGCTCACACACATCTTTAATAATTTTCATAATCATTTTTACTAAGTGGGGTTGTTAGACCCCACTGACTGGTTGTGTTTTCCACGTCTTGTCCGTTCTTGCCTCTCTCTCACATACACCCAATGCTTCACACACCTCACAAATTTGGTAATACCATAAACTTCTAAGTGAATATCATCACCACCTCTGGTCAGGTTGGTGGTAAGGAGTCCCTTACTATCTAAAAAGTGTCCAACTCCAAGGTGCCACACACTCTGGTTAAAGTTGGCACTCAACATTTCTCCAACGAGCCGATTGAAGGTCATGATATTCTCGTTCATTTGAGGTAGCCTGGTTGGAAGGACTGCCATGATATGCTGCGACAAAAACTTTGATCCTAGGGGAGAGCTTTTTTATCTGTTGGATTTTCATGTGGAGAATGTCAACCAGCTGATGGATTGAATTTTCTACTCTAAGGCTGTCTGCTCGGAGGTCATTTGTGCCACAAACAAGAACAGCGTTGCTGTATCCGATACAGTGACAAGGATCAATCATGTCAAACTAACTTTGCTTGCCTTAACTCTTTCACCCGGGAATGATTGACCCATCGTTCCAGCACCACTACCAAACTTTAGTGTTTTGGTGTTCGAATCTCCAAGTATGATGGTGCTTCTCCTAAATTTTTTGTCAATTGCTCTAAGGGTAATGGAATACCGGCCCATAGACGGGTTTATCGGAGTCTGTTGTGTGGGTTTAATCCCGTGTTTGAACCATGCCTGTGAGAAACGTGTCATGGTGTAGACTGAGTTCGATTCTAGGGACATTTCAGTATTTTTTGTAGGTGATTGTCCTTCATGGATGGGCATAAAACTTATTTTTCTAACTTCTCCTATGGAAATTGTTGCTATATCAGAGCCAGCAAGAATCTCTGGCTCGTCATCACAGTGGAAGGGTAACATACTTTCCTCTGTACCACTTGGAGGGAAGTAGTTTATAAGTACAGAGTTAGGCTTGTGCGTGAGTTTACACTGAGAAGTGACTCTATCAATGGCCGCTGATAATACTGGTGGGATGGCTGGTGAGGACGGGGGATTTGAGTCTCCAGAATAAGTGTAGCTTTCAACGTATTTGAGGACTGACCTTCCATTCATCTGGTTAAACTTACCAGATTCTTTCGACTCAGTGAGAAATCTGGATACCTCGTCAAGCAGTTCTTCATCTTCTGTGGTAGCCAAATGTTATTTAAAATGTAGATTCCTAGCCATTTTAAAATTTAATGCCTTCTCATTAGTTTTAATGGGTGGAAAACCGAGCTCCAGCTCAGGTGACGTTATAATCACCCAATCAACTGTGATCAACACTTGGGGCTAATAATGGTCTATTTGTACCACAATCAAATATTGCAATGATATCGTTTATGCTTAATTTGACTGAAACTAACCCTACTGCACTTCTCATGCTCTATAGAAATCTTTTGGCTAAAGTACTTTAATCTTTAATCTTTATTAAAATGAAAATGATGCACAACAGACAAAATGCATAAAACTTAAAACAAAACAACAAAATGTTTCTAATTTGTGTATAAATAAACTTATGTCCTATATTCATTTTGCACCCCCATTTTTGCCATAGTAAGAGTCCAGAGCATGTGTGCTCTAACATGGATGTTACTGGTGTCCTCAATCAAATAGTTCAGTCAAATCCTGTTTACTTGTGCCTGCCCTAACCTGTAATCAGTCTGAGCACTTTTCCAGACTAAACATTCTTTGTCACTATTGTATTAAATAGCTCTATTGCTGTATTATTCTGTACCATTTGATGAAAGTTTCAAATGGAATCAGAGGGAAAATTATTTCAATATGCTCTATGACATGTGGTATGCTACAAGTTATGTTTTACTAAGATACTGCAGCTTTTGCAAGCTTTAGTAATCTAGGCAAGGTCAGTTTTAATATTTTGTTGAACACTGTTTAAGGCTAAGTTCAAGTCATTTAGTTCTCCTTCCTTTTGAGTGTGAGTAATAGTTATTTGTGTTACAGATGATTGATTTGAATCGGTTTAAATGAAAATAACGTTTGAAGCTGGTGTTAGGCCTCAGGATTAATTTGATTGCTAAAGAAGAAGTGATTCATTGTTTTAAAAAAAGTTATTCATTGTGAACCAATCAAATCTAAGCAGTACGAATTTCTGTCCAACTTATTCAGATTTTGAATAAACTGCATTTGATGTGAAGTCTTCTGCTGTTTAAATTGATTTTCAGTGCCATTGGGGAAAAAATATTAATTGTGCTCTCTTGTCTTATTATTACATTATGCCCTAAACTCTAAGATTATTTGAGCAGTATCATCCCATATATATCTAGAATGACTGGTTTCACTTTAGCTTTGGGTTCAAGTATGTAAAATGTAAATCCTTGTCCCCATCAAGTCTGTAAGATGATTAATATTCATACCAATTTGTTTTTTTTATGAATTTGGTACATATCTAAACTTTTGAACCTTTTAACAAGGATTTAGCATGCTATGGGTAGATCAAAGAAGGTAGCTAACGGTGAAATTACTAATGAGAAGATCCTGGGAAAGCTTCCAAAGTCCAGCCAAATCAAGTCCAATTTGGCAAACCTGGACTTTGAAGAGGACACAATTGATGGGATCAGTATATTGTCATTTAAAGCCTACGATGATCTAAAGGTTGGTAAACTTCATTTTGAATTTTCTAATATCTACTATCTATTTACATTAATTAAGTGACTAACCAACATGTAATATGGTACTATCTAATTTAAATGTATTAAGTGGCTAATGATTTTAAGAGGATAGTGCTCAAATCTTTCCTGAAATTTTATTTTGAATCAGTTATACGTATTGTCCTACCGTCAAGTTTACTGAACTTAGACTTGTCCTTCTTTTGTAACAGACACCTAGTAGTTAGCACTTATCACACTGCCTCCACAAACCCAATAAGTCTTCACAATATCGAGTTTTGTTTCTATAGTGAACCCCATTTTTCTCAAATTTCGACTTTTTGGAACAGAGCCAAAAATTAACAAAGTTGAGTCACTCGAACAAACGAACTTAAACTAGAATTTCGCCACAGTTACACCGTACCACGCACGATCAATTTCCCCTACAATGTTGTTGTAATCAAAAAATGTATATGCCAATCAAAGACGCACACAGTGAAAGCCGTGCATTTAAAACAATTGTAGAGGGTGTCAAATCTGCATTATGAATCAAGCGCTCAATGGTGTATAGTTGTCAACCACCAATAGTTGGGAAAAAGTTAAATTTGTAACCCTTACGGACTAGTAGCAACCGGTAATTGTTTTTGCTCCTTTATACAAGTTTTTATTGTTTCTAAAATCAGGACATTATGAAACACCCTGTATATAATATAGAATATGACAGATGGGCTGGGTATGTTTTAGGGGCTAAAAGCACAGCAGTAACATAGAGTTTAAGGTGAAGGTGTCAATGTATTACAGGTGCAACTTTGAAGTAAAGTGCAGTGGTCATGGTTTATGAGTTTTGTACCCCTCCCGTAAGGTTGGTATTTGTACCCCTCCCCGGCCCTAGTGTTGGTATTTGTACCCCTCCCCGGCCCTAGTGTTAGTATTTGTACCCTTCCCCGGCCCTAGTGTTGGTATTTTTACCCCTCCCCGGGCCTAGTGTTGGTATTTGTACCCCTCCCCGGCCCTAGTGTTGGTATTTGTACCCCTCCCCGGCCCAAGTGTCGGTATTTGTACCCCTCCCCGGCCCTAGTGTTGGTATTTGTACCCCTCCCCGGGCCTAGTGTTGGTATTTGTACCCCTCCCCGGCCCTAGTGTTGGTTTTTGTACCCCTCCCCGGCTCTAGTGTTGGTATTTGTACCCCTCGGCCTCCCCGGCCCTAGTGTTGGTATTTGTTTCAATGTATTACAGGTGCAACTTTGAAGTAAAGTGCAGTGGTCATGGTTTATGAGTTTTGTACCCCTCCCGTAAGGTTGGTATTTGTACCCCTCCCCGGCCCTAGTGTTGGTATTTGTACCCCTCCCCGGCCCTAGTGTTGGTATTTGTACCCCTCCCCGGCCCAAGTGTCGGTATTTGTACCCCTCCCCGGCCCTAGTGTTGGTATTTGTACCCCTCCCCGGCCCTAGTGTTAGTATTTGTACCCTTCCCCGGCCCTAGTGTTGGTATTTGTACCCCTCCCCGGGCCTAGTGTTGGTATTTGTACCCCTCCCCGGCCCAAGTGTCGGTATTTGTACCCCTCCCCGGCCCTAGTGTTGGTATTTGTACCCCTCCCCGGGCCTAGTGTTGGTATTTGTACCCCTCCCCGGCCCTAGTGTTGGTTTTTGTACCCCTCCCCGGCTCTAGTGTTGGTATTTGTACCCCTCGGCCTCCCCGGCCCTAGTGTTGGTATTTGTTTCAATGTATTACAGGTGCAACTTTGAAGTAAAGTGCAGTGGTCATGGTTTATGAGTTTTGTACCCCTCCCGTAAGGTTGGTATTTGTACCCCTCCCCGGCCCTAGTGTTGGTATTTGTACCCCTCCCCGGCCCTAGTGTTGGTATTTGTACCCCTCCCCGGCCCAAGTGTCGGTATTTGTACCCCTCCCCGGCCCTAGTGTTGGTATTTGTACCCCTCCCCGGCCCTAGTGTTGGTATTTGTACCCCTCCCCGGCCCTAGTGTTAGTATTTGTACCCTTCCCCGGCCCTAGTGTTGGTATTTGTACCCCTCCCCGGGCCTAGTGTTGGTATTTGTACCCCTCCCCGGCCCTAGTGTTGGTATTTGTACCCCTCCCCGGCCCTAGTGTTGGTATTTGTACCCCTCCCCGGGCCTAGTGTTGGTATTTGTACCCCTCCCCGGCCCTAGTGTTGGTTTTTGTACCCCTCCCCGGCTCTAGTGTTGGTATTTGTACCCCTCGGCCTCCCCGGCCCTAGTGTTGGTATTTGTACCCCTCCCCGGCCCTAGTGTTGGTATTTGTACCCCTCCCCGGCCCTAGTGTTGGTATTTGTACCCCTCCCCGGCCCTAGTATTGGTATTCGTACCCCTCCCCGGGCCTAGTGTTGGTATTTGTACCCCTCCCCAGCCCTAGTGTTGGTATTTGTACCCCTCCCCGGCCCTAGCGTTGGTATTTGTACCCCTCCCCGGCCCTAGTGTTGGTATTTGTACCCCTCCCCGGCCCTAGTGTTGGTATTTGTACCCCTCCCCGGCCCTAGTGTTGGTATTTGTACCCCTCCCCGGCCCTAGTGTTGGTATTTGTACCCCTCCCCGGCCCTAGTCTTGGTATTTGCACCCCTCCCCGGCCCTAGTCTTGGTATTTGTACCCCTCCCCGGCCCTAGTGTTGGTATTTGTACCCCTCCCCGGCCCTAGTGTTGGTATTTGTACCCCTCCCCGGCCCTAGTGTTGGTAGCCGCAGTATTGGAGAGTGTTATTAGTGTGTTGAGAGAAGCAGTGCCACATAGAGCCCCCCTCTATAACAATACACAGTGTGGGGTGTGAGACCAGTACGCAACACAAAGTAACCCCCTCACCTGACCTCTATTACACTAGAGGAGAGCACTGCTTTTTAGGGGTCAAATTATCCAACTAGTAGTCTCTCTGCCTCAATGGTGGTAGACGTAACCATGGTACCATGATGGCAGATGTAACCATGGTAACAGACATGACGTGACTTGTTTCTCAAGAGTGTGATGTTATAATGGCGCAGACCTTTTGTTTAGCTATGACAGATTTACACCGAACTTATTTCAAACTTTATCAAATGTACATCCTTGACGTGTTCTGTTTTTGTCATTATGTTATTTTTAATCCTGAACTAGTGACATGAAATATGTTTTACTGTTAACCAGACATGTAACCATGGTAACATTGTTCAACGTTAATAATTAACAACAACACAACACACTCACGTGTTAGTGTGTGTGTTTTAGTTGCTCTTACACTTAATGGTGTGTTCTAAATTATAGCCTGCAATGCAGAAACACTAAATATTTGTATTGGCCACTCCTAACAAGCTCCAATTAGCTCCAATTAGCTTAATTAGGTTTTAATTGAGTGAGGCGGGGTATCTGCCAAGTTTTACTGCTTTCATTTAACTACCCAAACTAACCAATAAGAGAGCTCTACATTAGTAACCATGGTAACGAGATGTAACCATGGTAACTGCATAAGTCTAATAACTGGAACTTACTAATCAGAGTATCAACCAGCCGTCTGGCAAAAATACCGTCGATAGAGGGTAATGTCAGGAATTATTGTACTGTTATATCATATACGGCGTAGACTGTAAAAGTCCATGTCAATGATCGAGATAAGAGCCACTATCAGCTGCAAACTCTGAGCTCCACTATCATTAGTAAGATTGAGGGGTATTGTTAACTGATGTTGAGTAACATAACGTCTAGTGTTATATAGCAACACTGTATACACTGTACACTGTATACCGTATAGTGTATACACTGTATACATTGTACACACTGCGTCTGCACTGTAGAGTCGTAGTCTGTTTACACTGTATTGACTATAGAGGCCCAGTTCCCAAGCAGTTACGTGCTAGGTAGAGGAATTTACACTTAAATCAACACATTGTAAAATATTGCTCAACTCTTTCTTGGCTGAGCTGTGGTGTACACATAGCAGCTTTCTGAAATCTGTCTGATATCTAGGAACAGTAATGTTACAGCTTGTTGAATAGTTGGTGTGGTTTGTCGTGTTATTTAGTATGATTTCAACTGCTCATATTATATGATACAAAGAAAACTCCATTTACGGACGTGAGGAGAGTTAGGACTCCTCAAACTACATTAAATTAATTCCTTCTGTAACGTCCTGAATAAATATAATTACGAAAACAAAATTCACTAAACCTTTTAAAACATTACTGAACACCAAAATTATAATACTTATGCAAAGATACAACAAAAGAACACATAATAATAAATCAAAACAAATATGCATAGTCAAGTACAACATGTACTAATACTTAGTACATGTTTTCTGGACATGGGGAACTGTGGTGTTATGGTGGGCTGCAAGATCTGCATCTTAAAACAGGGCATCTTGGAGAGTCGCCCAGCCGAAGCTAAAGACGACAGCAAAGTTTCATCATAGTGGGGATTTCGTCTATGGTTGAAAAGTTTTTGTAGAGCCTGAAGTGGAAATTAGTTTGTTCTCGAGATATCAAAGATTTATATATCGAGGTTTGTTGTTAGAGCGATCGCATTTTGAATGTGAAACCTGACTAATTAACGAATTAAATTTATTATTTTATTCTAATTAACTTTTTTTCAGGAGTACTACCCTACTGATAAGATACAGCCTGCCCAGAGCCTGGACCAGCCTAAGAGAACTAATGCTACCAAGAGGAAGAAGTGTGCTGATAAGGTGAATTGTCATTATAATAAAGTAATAATATTATGTTATCATCACTAATTATAACTGTGTACATACAGCTCACTTTTTTGAGATGGTTAGATTTTAAACACAGCTGACTTTAAGTTTGATCTTAACAATTGTGTTTTTTCAATTTGCTATAATCCCGTATATTGAGAGAGTTCGTTGTCCGACTCGTCTAAGCTAAGGGTGGTTTTACTCTGTAATGTAGAGAAGTCATGATAAGTTTACCGGGCTAGGTAGTTACAACGCATCCTCATATAATTAGTAATTTTCACATTCACTGTAATTTGTCGTTATTTAAAATATATATTATTACGAATTTCGGTCTATGTAAACTTATTTCAAAACAAGATAAACTAAAAACTCTGCTCAGCTGTGTAACGATGTGATTTAACACCAATTTGATATGAGCGATTAGTTATGATCAATTATGCCACGTGTACGTTGCTATGAGAACCAATTCCATTATCTGCGTCCATAACGCTACGGTAGACTGTACCCTATTCCTATAAATTATAACTCAACTAATTAGTTAAGAAACCCCCACTGCCTCTATTAGAAGTCTGGTTATTGTTAGTTTCTTTATTGTGTTCTTTTGTAAGCACGGTATACTGTGTGCTACTATTATATACATAGTATATTATAGTTGTGAGATACAATATAACAATCTTACTCCGTATAATGGGTATAATACAATACAATACAATGTATCATGAGTCATGACTGGATGATAATTTATACTCGTGTTCATTGAAGCAACTCCTGCTAGGCGCGGGAATAACAATGACAAATGGGGTGTTATGTCGAGTAATGGAGTGTGGAGACGTGTTTAGATTTAATTATCTTTTAACACGTCGTGATAATCTTCTTTGTTTATCACACAAATTAATTCATATATTATGTTGAAATTGTATAATTTTACAAAGCGGTATTCATTTAAATTGTAAGGAACCGGCATATTATAATTTAATATAATAATAATAATACATCATAAAAACGAGGCACGTACACTCGCTTTTAGTGTGCTGTTCTTTAACATATTATGTAACTTATTTCATTGTAACGAAGGGAACATGTGTTTATAAACACCTATTGCAGCTATAAATAACTGTAATATTCAACTGGCAACTAGGCGAGTGGAGAGGGGCAAATAGACGAGGGGAGAGCGAGGGGTAACTTCTATTTAATCCTGGCTACTATTTGCGTCTGACCTGAGCTTCATGCTGAAGCTCTAGCTCTGTATTTGAGCACTTCTTGGTGAAAGTAACATACACTTATTATATATAATATGTACTGCATATTATACTGATCATATATTATTATCGTGTTAACTAGCAAACTACTTAAGGACACGTTTTTTTTTAAGTGTGGTGAAAATGACTTTGAGTGCCATGACACTTTTGACAGTGAAAGTGAAATGACTAGTAACTAGAAAGTGTTGCACAGAAATGCCTTCAATCTTAACTGCTCCTGTAAGGAAAATCCATTAGTTAGTTAATATGTCATAATGTAATACCAAGGCAGTTCCAGTTTTCAGCATTTTGGACTATAATGTTTAAAACGCCCATAAAAAACTAAATTTTGCGACTTTTCTGTTCAAAATTCAGATTATGTCTCAGAATTATTCAAAGAATATTTGGATTTTGGTAGGAATACTTGAGCTGTGCTAAAAATAAGCAAAAAGTCATTTGTTTGGTAAAATTTATAGTTTGGTTGAAGGGGTTGTACAAGGCCCATACTTTCGATCAGCTTGTGAATGAACTGTAACAACTTTCAAGAAACGTTGATCTGTAATAATGTAACCTAGGAAAAACCTTATGTGTGCCTGTATTCAGTAAAAATTCACTCGCAAAATTACAATTGATTTTTTTTCATTGCAGTAGCTAGACAGCAACAAATTAGAACGTTTTTCAATCATACTGTCGAGATTAAGTCTGCTCAACAGTATTCTGTTCGAAAATCAAATTAAGAGTGTTATTACAGACAAATCCGTCTGAAAAAATCGATCTGCTGACACACGAAGCTTTCAGAGGATTTTTGACGTTTTTGAGTCCCATTAGGTGCCCTTTATGGCTGACCAACTTTTCCAAACTTTTCCACTTGTCTTAAGGCCACTTTTTGCCACTTTACCACTTTTTACCACCTTTCTTGTTTGTCGAATATATTTAGTTGTGAACATCGTAAAAGGTTGCGGATCAATCGAGTGTGTTCATATTATCAGGAAGAAAAACCTTTGTTCAAACAATTTTTACGTCAGATAATAAGTTAATTGGATAATTATCAATTAACTAATTAGCAAAATTCTAAAAATTTTTTATTGGCTTAAAATGATCGGAATAGCTTGAAACACGGAGAAAAGTATTTTTTAGAAAAACTTTGAAAATTTTTCACTTACATTTTTTTTCGAGACTTGAAAAAAATTTCGAAAATTCAAAATATTTTTTCCGCCAAATGTGATCAAACCACATGAAACACGGAGAAAAATGCCTTTCAAAAAAACTTAGTGAATTTTTCGTTTCAAGAATACTTAAATCGCCAATATTTGTAGTTGGAGTTCAGTAAATCTCGGCAGATTTTAGTAATCAGGAATTACTAAGTGAAGAGGTCTGAAACTGAAAAACGTTAACCATACGATCGCGCGGCGATATAAGAGTTTCATAAACTAATTTTCACAGAAACTGCACCAATGGCACAGTCAAGATCGAAACGATAGCCTGCTGTACTGTCATTTTATTGATTTCAATGATGAATCAGTGGGGTTAAGATAATCACATTTGTAATAAATAAACATCTCTGTACCGTCAATTGTGCTAATCTAAACCAGCCTACCTGTATTACCAGACCTCTTCTTTTCCTCGACAATCAAACCAAGTTGTTCATATCGCATTTGGTGGGTGATGTAAGTAGTAATGCGCTTAGTCAATAAAGACACCGTGATTTTTATTAAAAGGAGATGATGAAGCAAGTATTCATAACACAAAGAAGAATGGTCGGTGGGAATTGGGACCCACTTAAATCACCTTAACACAGTGCCCTCAGTAATCCATCCTGTCATTAAAATTATTTGTTATATAGTATAGTGTTGAAAGTATTGAAACTAATACATATCGAGCTGTATTCAATCAGACTACGACACAATACGTGTATATTATATGGCTCTTAATGACTAATGAGGGTTATGTAACGCTTTATACCGTGAGAAACCCGGTATAAAGACGTTTTAAAGTTTATCACGAAAACGTATACTTGGCCTCATGGCTCATTTACAGTTCGAAGAAGGCAAGAACAGATCAGGGAAACTAAGGAACAGCCAGGTCCAGGAAGCAAGTGTAAATACACCTTCCAACATCAACTGTGACTTGTTTTGTATTGTTCTGCATACCGCTTCATTTACTATGCTGGATCGGTGGTTACCTCAAATCACCCCCATATGTCAGGGTCGGCTAAACGTAAAATCAGCAAGGGTAACATACTGGCAAGGGTAAGATGTAGATACGAATGACGGGCAAGGGGTAATAAAAAACCAGTAATAATTAATTCAGTGAAATGTTCCACGAGAGTCAGGATATTTTGGAAATTGCTAATAGAGACAGATCCTGATCAGGAAGGATTGTTAATGTTATTGAGGGTGTTGATTTGAAATCCGGACGTCGTGAGGTAAAAATACAGGTTCTTCCCGTAGGATATTTGGGGCCATGATGATCAGCTCAGGATAAATGTGGAGTTGAAAATTTAAGCTTTCTGGTCTTTTCTCGCCTTCTTTGAGCTCAAAGAGCCATGAGGCCAAGTAGACGTTTTCGTGCTAAACTGTTAAACCTCTCCATACTGGGCCTCTCACTGGAGTAACGAGAAGTGTACGGTATAGAACGTTTCATATACCTCATTAAGGGCCATAATATAATATAAACGTATTGCATTGTGTCGTATTGTGATTGAATACAGCTCGATATGTATTACTACTTACATCACCCACCAAATGCGATATGAACAACTTGGTTTGATTGTCGAGGAAAAGAAGAGGTCTGGTAATACAGGTAGGCTGGTTTAGATTAGCACAATTGACGGTACAGAGATGTCTATTTATTACAAATGTGATTATCTTAACCCCACTGATTCATCATTGAAATCAATAAAATGACAGTACAGCAGGCTATCGTTTCGATCTTGACTGTGCCATTGGTGCAGTTTTTGTGGAAATTAGTTTATGAAACTCTTATATCGCCGCGCGATCGTATGGTTAACGTTTTTCAGTTTCAGACCTCTTCACTTAGTAATTCCTGTTTACTAAAATCTGCCGAGATTTACTGAACTCCAACTACAAATATTGGCGATTTAAGTATTAAGTTTTTTTGAAAGGCATTTTTCTCCGTGTTTCATGCGGTTTGATCACTTTTGGCGGAAAAAATATTTTGAATTTTCGAAATTTTTTCAAGTCTCGAAAAAAAATGTAAGTGAAAAATTTTCAAAGTTTTTCTAAAAAATACTTTTCTCCGTGTTTCAAGCTATTCCGATCATTTTGAGCCAATAAAAAATTTTTAGAATTTTGCTAATTAGTTAATTGATAATTATCCAATTAACTTATTATCTGACGTAAAAATTGTTTGAACAAAAGTTTTTCTTCCTGATAATATGAACACACTCGATTGATCCGCAACCTTTTACGATGTTCACAACTAAAGATATTCGACAAACAAGAAAGGTGGTAAAAAGTGGTAAAGTGGCAAAAAGTGGCCTTAAGACAAGTGGAAAAGTTTGGAAAAGTTGGTCAGCCATAAAGGGCACCTAATGGGACTCAAAAACGTCAAAAATCCTCTGAAAGCTTCGTGTGTCAGCAGATCGATTTTTTCAGACGGATTTGTCTGTACTATGTGTCAGTTTTCAGTAAAAAGTCATTTTTAGGTCAAATTCATCACGATTAAAAATTCAAAAGAAATGACTCTTTGCTGAATATTAGCACTATACAATTGATGTCTGACAGCATAAGCAGGTTCATCAAGATGGTTCTTTACAAAATCTAACGATATTGTGTGTTCTAATTCAGCAAAAAGTCATTTTATAAATAATATTTTTAGCTTAAAATCTTTATAGAAATGACTTTTTGCTGATTATTGGCACGATAAAGTAGATTTTTGACAACAATATCATGTTCATCATAGAAATTTGGTACATACTATTGATGTTTGAAGTTCATTGTGCCAGTTTTAAGTTAGTTATAGCAGGTTATCACAACACTGCTTACAAAGCAAACGATTTATGTGATTTACCATTGGTATACGCCTAGAAAAAGAAGTCATTTAAAGCTGAATAATGGCACACAGTGCAACAAAATTGTGCCATATTAAACAATAAAGGCACACCGCTCCCTCAAACAATATTATGAACTAAAAAGAGTGCCATTTAGCAGTAAGAATGACTATTTCTGTCAAATAAGTCACTTTTTACTGATTTCCAAGACACATATGCTGTTTAAATTTTCAGGATATAACTAAACTAAGATTTGTATCTGCACCATAAAATATTCGGTGGTTTGAGATGATTGATAATGCTGATATTGACTTACAATAATTGGTAATTCCCACGTTGGCTGCAGCAGTCACTACAGCTGATTAGTGGCACTCTAATTGTATTATCTGTTTTTGACCCCTTTATGAACACATTACTTTTCGAAATAGATGCTTAAACTAACACTAGTACACCCATGGATCAAGAAATAGACAAATTTTGTCTTTTTACATCATTTATCTATATGACTGATATGCTGAATTTGGGCACTCGGGACATAATTGAGTGTAAGCAGTACAGAGTTCAAGCTTTCTTTTAACTGATTAATGGCACCTTCAATCTAAAAGTCAATATGGTGACTGAAAAAGAGAACTGAAATTTCGATACTTATTTCATCAATTAGAAAAAATTAAATTTCAAGCTGATACATGTGTGACTTTTTGCTGATGGCTGGCACATAGACATGTAGGAATTAGTTTAAATACACAACCAAACATTATCTTATCCAGAAAAAACACAGTCACACCTTGATCTTTTTAATATTTTGACAAGAACCATCAATAGAGCAGTCGTATTCAGATATAAAAATGACTTTTTGCTCAATTCTGTCACTTACTGGAATTGCTAATAATGACTAAAATGCTGAAAACAGTTACTCACTCCAATTTACTAGTGTAATGTGAACAATATTGAGCAAAATATGGCGAAATCAATGGAATTAGTCAATTGGAGGTTAAAATGGTTTGCTGATTTTTGGCACTCAGTTTAATCGCTCATAAGTCATATTCTGCTTGAGCCTGGCACATCGTTTTTTCAAATCACAACTGCTGAATATTTTCACTTCATCCTATGTACAAATTTATGGTTGCACTTTAAAAAGCATTGCGACTTTTGTCTTTTTCCTCATTTTGTGCACTCTACTTTGAAAAAGGTGAAATCAGCAACTCACCACACTTAAAAAAAACGTGTCCTTAAAGTAGAGTGTTAGAGTGCAGACGTCTTATCTTCTTCCAATCCAAAGTAAAAATATGTAGGGACACTGTTTTAATCTTTTCCATCCTTGAGTACAGAAAGGAGACGTAGTACGGTACTTAATACTTACATGGACTCCTGAAGTACTTCTCCAGTCTACTTGTTTTCTATAGCTAACTCAACTAGAGCTGAAGTGTACGTCTTGTTTTCTACTGCGCCCCTACAATAGAATGTGTGGAATTTGTCAAGTTAAACTGAGAAGCAGTATTGCTGGTAATCACTACAAGTTTAATTGTTTTAGGGACATTATTGTTCTAGAACTAGTGTTCGTCACTGTTCGCCTTTTACTCCGCAAATTTTCGATTTCCAAGGAAATGGCTTGAACACTTTTACACCAAGCATTCCCGTAATTTGTACAAAAAATGCAGACGGCGACAAAAGCACAAAGAAGGGAGGAACCGTCTCCCTGTATTTTAGTATTCGTGCTATTCCGGTAGTAGACATTGTGTTCAACTGTTAAACTGAGCTTAACGGCTGTTATTATTATCCGTTTAGATGAAAACTTTTAAACGACAACACACGCTAACTTAAACATTCCACCAGATATAGTGTTTAGAATTATAAAACCAGCCCCTCGGACTGCTGTACAGTTTTTAAGTGTGGTTTTAATGAGGGTGACTAGTTGGAGTTGTTAAAATAGTCTGCAATATCTACTACTTATTATAGTACTAGTATAGTACTACTACCCACCGGTATTACTCCTTCATAATTGACACTGCATGCCACCAGTACATAACATGTACAAACAATAGCTCATTTTCATTGTTCTTCATGTTACATTGTCATTACTGTTCATGTTACTAATGTGTGTCAGAGTATTAGTGTGTGTTTTACAACCATTACTACTACTTCGATGATGTGTACATAATGACAGTGTCACTGTCTTGTATCGAGGTAATGATAACAGTCACCATGCCTAGGGCGTTAAGTTTATATGATACTATCACCTAGTTACCACCTAGTTACCACCTAGTTACCACCTAGTTACCACCTAGTTTATCTGATACTATCACAATTATTATCAATCATTGAAGATATTTTGGTCTTGTGTAAATGTAATTGTAATACATAGATGGAAAACTTATTGAATTTTGAAATAAAAAGTAAATACCTTCATGAACTGTACATAAAATATTTACAGTGAATTGTAGAACTATTGTCTTCACTTGCCTATTCAGTACGACCACCTACACCGTTAAATAATATGGCATCCAACTACCTAGTAGTTCTAGTGTCACCTATTGTTTAAACAGTTCAAGGACTGTACATTAGGTGTACTGTTTCGTTTGTTTGTTTGTTTGTTTATAGAACCCGTCCTCAATCTCGTATCGGAAAATGACTAAACTCAGGTCTGAATGTGAATACAGGTGGTACCTGCAAGTGTGTTCATTAAGCATTTAACCGTTGTATACTGTATAGTGGCTGTGCTCATACGAGCAAATAAGTCACCAAAACAACAGATTCATTTATTCATTCCAGTCATCAAACTACAATTCGCAATTTATTTGCTGACTGAAAATGTATTTGAACCAAACCGTCGACCCAAAAAGCTACAACAAAGTGAACAGAGCGTGAACCAATACCTCTCCCTCAATACCATATCTTATCTGGGACCATTTCTAAGCTCATTCTCAATCAACTGCACATTCGATTGTATAACAGTCTAGTAACTCTTATCTATTCTCTTTCAGGCTGACAAGAATAAGACTCGACAAGTTAAGAAGAGGCCAGTAATAAAACAGCAGGTAAAATTTAACTTTGTATTTTTGTACATAAGCTGCAAAGTGTACATGTATAGTTTCAGTGTAAAATATCACGCGCATATTTTGTAATGTAATTAGCTGATTGTAAGATATTCGCATATAGGTATTTGATGGCAAGAAAGAGGCATTGCGTGACCTTGCACAATACAGTCCAGTATCATTATAATGATATATGCGCATATATTTGGATTTTCCTCAAGGGTATAAGTTACTCGTCCTCTTTTTGTTCCTGTGTAGTAGTGTAATTACTTTTATTAAACTGTACATATTTCAGGGTGCTAGCAACTTGCCTCAGTTTGATAAGAGTGAGGTGAGTACAAAACCTTACAAACTCTCCCACTCTCACCCTCCCTCCCCCTCCCCCTCTCGGCCTCGGCCTCCCTCCCTCCCTTCCTCCCTCCTTCCCACTCTCTCTGAGCTCTCTCTTCATATCCTTTTATCTCTTTCATATTCAAAACGATTAAAATTTACAACTGAAAATTCCAGAGCACCTCGTTGAGACTTAGCGCTCTTTTGATTTTGCCGACTGTACAATGTACATTAAAACTAAACCCTACTTTGAGTAGAAGATAACATTCATAATTCATTCCCATTAAATAGAATTGCCTTAATAATCAGCTGCGTTTTATGTTTCCCTCCCTCCCTCCCTCCCTCCCTCCCTCCCTCCCTCCCTCCCTCCCTCCCTCCCTCCCTCCCTCCCTCCCTCCCTCCCTCCCTCCCTCCCTCCCTCCCTCCCTCCCTCCCTCCCTCCCTCCCTCCCTCCCTCCCTCCCTCCCTCCCTCCCTCCCTCCCTCCCTCCATCCCTCCCTTCCTTCCTCCCTTCCTTCCTCCCTCCCTTCCTCCCTCCCTCCCCTATCTTAAAAGCTTATTTGAGAGACCACTCCTTTCTAAAATTGTGTCTTCTCTAATAATATGACATGTTATTGTTAATAACTTTGGTGGAGCGTATTATATACCTCTATATAATATATTATATACAGTATTACGATCGCTCTATTTATATAGCTCACCGGTCAGTTTGATATTCAGAGACCACAGAAATCCCTCTGTATTCCCACTGTATACACGGGAGACCAGCAAGCCCGGTTGTTGAATAATGTATCAGGCTGCCAAGTGACGTTGAGTGTACAATAGCTAAAGCTGAACAATCAGGCACCAAACTTACTTATCCCGCTCTGGTATAATTTATTACCGGTATAATTTATTACCGCGACCGGTATAATTTATTACCGGTATCATTTCTTAGCGGTACCGGCTACTATTTTAAATACAATAACTTGACGATGTAGCAAGTGAAACTAACGGTAATATCATAACTGAAAGCTTGACTGCAAGTTCAAAGGAGGGTTGTTTACCTTGGAACTTACAGTGTTATTCTATAGTCTATTTATATACGTCTAGTCATATTTATGGGTATTTAAAGAAAATGCAATATTAACAATTAACCTATCGGACCATCTTATTCCCGATAACATTGTTATTTTAACGGAGTAATAATAACCCTGGGATAAATACAACTAATTGATAAATTAATTAATAGAGGTGTACTGAAAGAAAGTTATTGTTTTCTTATTAGGGATAGTAATGCCCATAATTTCACCCTCACCACTCCGCCCTTTCACGTCACACACCACTCATCATTGACACCACTAGTCATTACAACATATATAATCACCCTTCACAACATCTTACATCATCCTCAGTTGAAAACGATTTACACAAGTATTTTGAAAGCTCCTGCTAATACAATCTTTCGTATCACTTATATGTTTTAAATATCCCCCTCCAGCTCCAGGCATAATGAGCTGTTCAAGTATATAGTGTATAACATACTTATACTGTATAAAACGGTGTATAATATGTAGTATTGATTAGGGTACCCGGTACACTTATAACTGAGTTGAATTTACACCGGTCACAGTGGTGTTATATACAGAAAAGAAATGAGAACAGTAGATTGAGTTTAAAATTCTTCGAATATAGCGATATTTCGACCATCAGGTTTCTAGTATACTATATTATTATGTACTATATCATATACTATATTATACCCATTATAAACTATATAATAACTAGATATTAAATTGCACCATCCCTCACACAGCACACAGCAGTGTTTGCTGATTAATTTGCCGTGAAGATCATGTCATGTTAAAGTATGCTAACTATTCGCAACGTGTAATCACTCCTGACGCATCTATATGCTACGTATATATATTCTACGTCAACATGAACATTATAAATGAGGGTGGGAAATGCCGTCCTAAATTTTACTCTCCGCCAAATAAATCAACTATTTATATTTCCTAGATACTCCCAGCTCCTCGGCAACAATAATACTACTAGTAATAATACTACTAGTAATAATACTACTAGTAATAATACTACTAGTAATAATACTACTAGTAATAATACTACTAGTAATAATACTACTAGTAATAATACTACTAGTAATAATACTAAGTTAGTAATAATAGATGTACTACAAATCTCTTTTAAATTACCAGCTGTTAAATTGCTACTTTAGTGCAGTAGTAGTGACTTTCAGTGACACCTTCCTTTTCAGAGTGAACCAGAGGAAGACCAGAAGAACCTACTGATCAAGGTTAGTTGTATTGTATTGTATTGTATTGTATTGTATTGTATTGTATTGTATTGTATTGTATTGTATTGGATTGTATTGTTCCATAGTGAGAATCGCTATCTACTCAATGGGGGTTTTAGTGATATGAAATGAAATTAAATTGAATGAAATAATGCAGCAACTGACACAATACAAGTGTCAGGTAACATTATATAAATAAATATTATAAATGTGGTATTATCTATACTAAGTATTAATCAATATTGAAACATCCCGAGTTAATGTTATTCGATATCGCTATTGAGTAGATTTGTAATATAACCAGTGGTTATTAACAACCTCAATATTATATATATTAGATAGATTCATGATATATATTATATTGTATAATGTAGGGAATGTACTAACATTATATTAGCTATAATGCTATTGATAACTTTGACTTTTGAGTGATCTATCCCATTGTAATCCTAACTACAGTTACTTTTATAAATTCTATTGATAAGGTTGGTTGGGGGCCCAAAATAACTTATCTTGTTTGTGTAGTGTTATTTCACACACAACACACATATTCAATCTAATCAAAATAGTATATTCTGCATATCCGCATATATCCGCACACTGTAGTGTTTTATTGTTATGAGATTATTTGTTCTGGTGGCCTATACAATAAGATAACTCAACTGGTAATTGGGTCTTTTTAGCCAGTGTGGTTGTCATGGTTACCAGTGTAGTTGTCATGGTTACTAGTGAAGTTGTTATGGTGTAGTGTATTACTAGTGTAGTTGTAATGGTTACTAGTGTAGTTGTAATGGTTACCAGCGTAGTTGTCATGGTTACCATTTGTATTGCAGCAGTCATGGCAACCGTTTAAGTAGTAAGTATCAACTACAGTTACTTCACCTATTTTTGCTCCTGACGTGTAGTCTCATTAGATAAGTTAATTTTAAAACTAACGTCTTACGTTAAGCTGATCCCCTAACCCACTGGTTAAGATGGCTGTAACCCGGCCCCTATTATGGTTATGTTAAGATGGCTGTACCCCGGCACCTATTATGGTTATGTTAAGATGGCTGTACCCCGGCCCCTATTATGGTTATGTTAAGATGGCTGTACCCCGGCCCCTATTATGGTTATGTTAAGGTGGCTGTACCCCGGCCCCTATTATGGTTATGTTAAGATGGCTGTACCCCGGCCCCTATTATGGTTATGTTAAGATGGCTGTACCCCGGCCCATAATATAGACGTTACGTAGGGATTTAACGGTTTAACGGATATAACCCCTGAAAAGCGTGAGCATCACTAATCTATGTTCTATATATTATGAGCATTTCCTATATTATTTTAATATACTAACATTGCTCATTTGAAATCACGATTCTCATGAAATACATGTAGTTAAAGATATTAATGGTAGGTATATGGTCATATTGCTATATGGTTTATTGTGAATTAATATCCCTCGACCACGAAGAATCACAACTTTCGTTTTAATCATAGGAATATTTCGCTAAGTATAACCCTCATTAAGTGTTTCCAGATTCATTAAAAGTCTAGGAAAGTTCGTCATCTAGGAACCTGGAACTTAGTTAATACAATTTATGGGTAATGCAGTCGGGCAGTTACGAAGATTTGTTTGCATAATTACGGTATTAATATATTGCTTGGAACATATATGATAGAAGGGTGGGGAAAATGCTGTGCATTAGTTCTTTATGTGCTGGGGCGACGTTTATCTATGCTATTTAATATTTTCATACAGTTTAAAAATAGTATACAACAATAATAAGTAGGTATGACCTCTGTAAACGAACGTTAAATTTGAGAAAGTAAGAAATTCCATGCGAATATTTTACTCTTGGAAATACTGGGTTCTAGACAACGAATACCAAAGTTGTTGCAGTCGTCTGAATTATTGCTATGGTTACCTTTACTATGGTTACACAATTACAAATAACAGCTATGGTTACAGTAGTTACCATGGTTACAGCAGTTTCCATGGCTTCCACATCATTTATGTTGCTGATACATATGTTGGGATCGTTACATTTCAGTTATGAGGGACAGCTAGATAACTGTCCCTCATAACAGTTATCACGGTACTAACTGTTTTTTCGGATAATAATTAAGACACCCACCCCCTTTTGCCGGCTTTTGCGGTCCTAACTGTTGAGAAATCACAGAACTAACTGTGACTTGGTATATAAAATAAGATACCCACCAAGAAATTAATTTAAACAGTTCATTAAACATTGGGAAATGGGCAAATTATACCCACTATTCAGTAGGGGTTTTGTTTTTAATGTAGTCGAATTAGATAAAAAGTTACAAAAAAAACCTCCAAACCCAAAAAACCCAACGGGTTTTTTTGGTGTTGGACACCCCCCTTAGTACCATGTACTAACTTTTTTATGGGAAATGAGCAGCAGACCCCAGGTCAATATCATTACATATTTCGCATATTAATATACGACATATTTCGAAGGAAAACCACGACAACAACCAAATTATTGTTAAATTTTGTTACAAACTAATTTAATTTCAGAAATAATTGATTACAGAATTCCTTTAAAAAAACTTTTTTCGAAAAAATTTCTTGAACAAATTTTGCGAATATTTTGATATTTTCATGACATCCGAAATCATGACATCCGAAATCTTGACATTTGTCATGATTAACAAATATCTGAGAAAGTTCACGCATATTTTTACCTGTCTTTTACAGGCAAAACTTGACATGAAAAACGTTGGCGCACATTTGATCAGATGAACGGATATTTGACATATCTGAGGGGGCATACCATATAAAAAATATCCTTGTGTTTGAAGAATTATATCAAAATAGTTAAGAATTTTTCAATAAATTTTTCTAGGACTTGCCTGTAGGAGGCTTTGTCCCCCTGGATCAGGCTCTGCCATTTTGGATCAGTGTGGGGCCCAAAAATGCCCCATCGGGTGATAAAAACCATGACATATTTCACCCAGATATAATTATATACGACATATTTTTAATGATATTGACCTGGGCAGCAGACCCACCACTTAGTACAAAAGTACTAACTGTGATTGAAAGAAAATATGACTCACCACCCCAACATCACGTCCAGTACTGAGTGCATGATCCCCCCGCCCCCCCCCCCCCCCCCCCACTTATTTCAAGTAGTAATATTATACTAAATATACTGTAGTATAACCACTACACTCTTCTAAAGTAATCCAATAAAATGACACGTAACGTATTTCTCATGAGAAGAGTTGATTTAAGTGACGAATACATGGCAAGGTGTCGTCATGGTAAAACTTCCTTTTTTGGAGAAAAAAATACTTAATTAGATGAATATTTAAGCAATATTGAGTTAGACCTGTCAAAATCGTAATCTCCTTTTTAAGAAAAGTTTTATAAAAAATGTTAACCTTGCTCTCAGTAGTCCCTTATAAAGTTATAAGCCTATCTCGTCTTATCCCATATAACGCAACTATTTGGTTAACTACGGACTGACATCAGCATACTATTACCGGGTAAAATGCACCACCTGACTACAAAATGCTCGCTTTTTGGCTCTCACTCCACTTCATGTGACTTTGTTGTGCTCTGTGGTTGGTTGGGTGTTTTGTCCCACCGACTCTCTTTGAGTCTGTCTAGAGAACTCCTCCCTTCTGCATAGCAACTGCGTGGTTGGCGTGGTTACCCAAAGCAACTACATTATTATCCCATGACAGGTATTTACGTGTTTGACGTCACTAAAGAGAGGGTGGCGGTTGCTAAGGTAACCGGTCGTGGTTGTCAGAGAAGTCTGGTGTTATATGCTTGCACTTGTGTCTGGTCATTTAAAGGAGGAACGCAAGTTACATAGTTTCAGAGCGCGAGGTCCTGGGAGCAGTTTCAGTTCCGAGTTAACCGCTTCTTTCTTGTTTCTCTCCCTTTTAACTCTTAGTATCAGTTGTCAGTTTAAGTGCAAGGGCCTCTCTGCTTCTAATCTTATCTAACGCTTTCCCTCCTTTCATTATGTACAGCTTTAATAGGCCAAACTTTTACAGGTTTTCTAGCGATCTTTTCATAATCGTGTTTTCGCGTCTTTAATTCTCACAACTCGACAGCTTGAGGGAGAGAGACCTGCTGTGGCACAGTTACCATAGTAACAGGACTGAGCTGTTACATATGATGTCAATGTGTGAGGATGTTTTTGTGCTTATTAGCTGCTCCCCGGTCTCAACTTCAACCACTAGTTGTGTAAGTAATACCGTGCTTCAAGCGTGGTCATGAAAATAGTTTACTTTCAGAGAGTTGTTTAAAACACATGTCAGTATCGTACATGGGCTGGTATCTGTACTCAGTTCTGGTTAGTGGTTGGTTGTCATGGTAACTGTACTGGTTGTCATGGTAACTGTACGGGTTGTCATGGTTACTGTACTGGTTGTCATGGTAACTGTGCGGGTTGTCATGGTAACTGTACGGGTTGTCATGGTTACTGTACTGGTTGTCATGGTAACTGTACGGGTTTTCTTGGTATCTATACTGGACACTGGTTGTCATGGTAACTGTACGGGTTTTCTTGGTAACTGTACTGGTTGTCATGGTATCTATACTGGACACTGGTTGTCATGGTAACTGAACTGGTTGTCATGGTAACTGTACTGGTTGTCATGGTAACTGTGAGGGTTGTCTTGGTAACTGTACTGGTTGTCATGGTTACCAGAGTGACCAACATGAACATACCCCTCTTTCGAGGGCATAATGCCCCTTTTTGGAGGAGCATCAGTATTTATCCCTCTGAAGCAAGTAAAACTGTTCAGATCAGCTAATTTCCCAGAAAATATTCGCCGTTGGCACTATTAATTGAGTTTTCTAATTGCGTATTGAGTTATTATAGGTAACAGGGGTGAAGGAAGAGGAGGGGGGGGGGCTAATTATGCTGTATGCACTGGTATACATGAAAGTAGCTGACTTAAAATGTAAATTCTACGACCCGAAGGGGCGAAGCCCGCCACAGGCGAAGCTTCATTTAGGGCTAGACGTCCCTTTAAATGCCCCTCTTTTGAGCCAAAATGGATGCCCCTCCAAGTTATTTTGCTCCGTTGGTCAGTATGATGGTTGTCATTACAACTACACTGATCACCATGACAACTACACTAGTAACGATGACAACTACACTAGTAACAATGACAACTATAGTCTATACTATACTGGTGACCATAACAACCTCACTGGGTAAAATATAGTCCACCAGAAGAAATCATTTTTTTTTTTTTTTTTGGGGGACTGGCCCGTGGTACCAGCCAATGTTTACTCAAAAAATATATATAATATCAATGGTAATAAGAAATTCATCCCCGTGGGGCACATGCATAAATATAAAATGTAAAGGCAATCTCAAACTATTCAATTTAGACTCTACCGGTAAAGTATGCAATGAAGGTTTATGAAGGCTTATAACAATAAAACACTACTAGATAATGTGCGGATATGCAGAGTATGCAGAGTATGCGGATATGCAGAGTATGCTTTCATTTGCTCGTCAGTTGAAATACTCCAAGTTGCCAGCTTAAGTTTTGGTGAAGCACAGTTGTAAATCGTGTAAAGGTGTATTATAATATATTACGATCTCTACTGAGACAAATAACGTTAAATCTGTTAAATAAATTGTAGTTCGCTCACTAAACACTTCATTATGTGACGATTGTAAATTTATGGATATTAAAAGAAGTAGTTAAATCATTGTCGAATGGTTGCTTGGTAATAATATAACTGTTTTTGGTAATGGTTACTTGGCAACTGGTTCTGGTTACTTAGTAACTGTTTCTGGCGATGGTTACTTGGTAACTATTTTCGGGTTATGACTTTTTTCCTATCAACTTGACTCATGATAGCTGTTTTCTATCAACCTGAAAGTTGAGTATTTATATACCCATTTATAGATTGCACTACTCTCTTCTTCTTTAGCGTCTGTTAAACAGGGTGGATACTGGGAATATTAAATAGTTAGCAGAATATCTCGTCACAACGAATCACGTCATGTTTAAATTTTAAACACATTATTAGTTCCGTCGAACAGGCAAAGACAGAAGTAGCGGGCAGGATTGTGTGTAATTTAGGTGATCTCATTACATCGCTATTATCACAGCTGTGACTTGCCGGGAGATTCTGTAACCAGTTATAATAGTGTGATTTAATGAGAATACCGTTAGGAAATACCTATCTTCCTGGAGGCTGGAAGGTAAATCTGAAGATACACACAGTAAAGCCACGTTGGCCTCATTTCAATCTCAGATTTAATTGTTATCAGTCAAGTAGTAAGTCTGGCACTTAGCCAATACTTAACTAATACAATAGTAAGCTCACTGTACGGTACACTCTACACAGCTAGAGCCGGTCGCGGTCGCGGTATTGACCTGGTGTAAGCTGGTCCGGTTCTAGTTTGACCTGGTGTAAGCTGGTCCGGTTCTAACTTCTAGTTTGACCTGTTATGAACTGGTCCGGATTTTGAAGCAGATAATTGAGATGCAGCATTGGCAAGAGTAGACACGTTACTATAAATAAAATTACAGGGTTAAGTGTGAGCTAAAAATAGGTAGGAACTGTAAACCTAATTTACCTGAACAATCTGTACCCTCTCTACCCTATTTACATGATGCGTGTGAGCATGCTCTGAAACACTCTCCTAATAGTCTGTAACTAACCCTACTTACTCTTTAGAGGGTGGTGGTGAAATACGCTGAGACAAACTGGACCAAAAACATGGCTTCGAGTAGACTTGAATAATATGAGACCTGTACTTTTGTGGGTTCTGCAAATATAGAGTAAAGAGTGTGTACTTTCTATGGGATTTATTGAGAAACTTTATTAGGTAGAATCACGTGCATTGATCTGTTACCCGGGATAACAGTCTATTACTCAGTCCTGGTAACTATAACCCGGGGTAACAGTGCTCAGTCCTGGTAACTGTTGCCCGGGTTACCAGTGCTCAGTCCTGGTGACTGTTACCCGGGTTACCAGTGCTCAGTCCTGGTAACTGTTACCCGGGTTACCAGTGCTCAGTCCTGGTAACTGTTACCCGGGTTACCAGTGCTCAGTCCTGTTAACTGTAACCCAGGGTAACAGTGCACAGTCCTGGTAACTGTTACCCGGGGTAACAGTGCTCAGTCCTGGTAACTGTTACCCGGGGTAACAGTGCTCAGTCCTGGTAACTGTTACCCGGGGTAACAGTGCTCAGTCCTGGTAACTGTTACCCGGGTTACCAGTACTCAGTCCTGGTAACTGTTACCCGGGTTACCAGTACTCAGTCCTGGTAACTGTTACCCGGGTTACCAGTGCTCAGTCCTGGTAACTGTTACCCGGGGTAACAGTGCTCAGTCCTGGTAACTGTTACCCAGGGTAACAGTGCTCAGTCCTGGTTACTGTTACCCGGGGTAACAGTGCTCAGTCCTGGTAACTGTTACCCGGGGTAACAGTGCTCAGTCCTGGTAACTGTAACCCGGGGTAACAGTACTTAGGTACGTGTGTTTGATGGAAGAGAAGACAATTTAATTAGGAGGAGTTTCAGATAACGTCACTCTACACTTGTATCATTATCAGTATAACTCTTACACTCAGTAATTTACTGGCCCTTTGAGAAGGTTTCTGGCTAACTTAGCACTGTGGGCTAAAAAAGTTTTTAGAAATTTGGATTTAGATATGGTAATAATAGGGTTTGTCTGTGTGTCTATGTTTACAATACTACCAGGATAAGATAACTTACCGGACATAGATATTATCTAGATTGTAGACTCCTGGTCCAGTGATAGTCATGTAACATGCCGTGTATATTACAATAGTATACATGTATAGTATGTATATTTAATAGCATAATATACGATATATTATGTATCTTACTCGCTGTTCACTTTCAGACGGAGGAAAGTCCCCCACCCTCTCCTCTGCCTGACATTCCTCAGATAACGGCTAATGACGTCACACCCACTGCTCCCACTCCCTCTACACCAACCATCAAGGTAAAATCCATTACTTTAATCTTAATCTTAATTAAATAACTCGTTATAGACTCACGGAGCCCCCATCAAGGTATATCATGTTTTGATCTATTTAGTCCAAAGTAACCAAATTAAACTCTCTAGAGACACTCTATTAATCGAGTCCCCTTTCAATTAGTGTACCCCACGATTACTAACCTCTAACTCCTACAGTCTGAGGGATGCAGCACGAGCAGTGTCGGGGTAACCGTGACCACCCCGACCACCCCTCATCCCTCCACCCCTCTCCCCTCCACCCCTCTACCTACCACCTGTGGGTCCGGCAGCCCTATCTACCAGCCTTCCTCCCAACACCTGCCTATACCAGTTGGCAAGGTGCCAGTACCTACTGGCTCACTGGCCAGCAGACTACCCACCCCTCCCTCCGCCGGTGCTACTTTCTATCACGGTCTACAGAGACAACACCCAGTAGCAGGTAGTCACCCCGGTCTCTCCTTCTCTCTTCCTCTCTCTCAAGGTTTGTAGTTTGCATCTTATTTACAGCTTTATAAACCAACAAGCTGGACTCACTTTCTACCAATGTTGATAGCAATAATATAAGAACTATATTGCTATGTAACTATATGATTATGTCAGTTTGTAGACAGACTGAGTACGCTTTACAATTTACATGTAGTTAAGTGTATTACAGCAGATAGCAACTAGTATAGCAACTAGTATAGCAACTAGTATAGCAACTAGTATAGCAGCTAGTATATCAGCTAGTATAGCAACTAGTATAGCAACTAGTTAACTAGTATAGCAGCTAGTATAGCAACATGAGTATTGACAGATGACACGTGTTCATTGGAACACAAAACTATACAATAGCTTAATGTGTAATGAGATTAGTAACTAATGAGCGCGACGTGTACTAATATATTGTGTACTATGTAGTGTGCACTGAGCTGACAGTAGGTTAATTTCTACAGCACTCTACTACTGGGTAAATGAATAAGAAACTGATAATCAGATCACTTCTCAGTTTGTGAACTAAATTGAATTTTATAAGAAATTACCGGCTGTAATGAGTTACTTAGTGTGCAAGGAGTAACTTGTTGTGTAAATCCACCCTTAAACCCACTAATAAACTTTATGTTATATCAATATGGTTTACACCAGTATACACCGATGTACCCAGTGCGGTATGCCCATTACAATGTACATACACCAGTGGAGCTGTGGAGGCTGTTTGGTATCAGAGTCATGTCACCATACACATAGTTACTGTCACCATAGTTACTGTCACCATATTTTCAACACAGTCAGCTATACTCCTATCTTGAGGGACACTGAGAGGGTTAAATATGTGAGAAATATGTTGAATATGTGAATAATGGAGGTTAGGTGAGGTACTGTACTACATTACAATGGTTATTTTAATGTTTGAATAATTTATTTGAAGTATTTATGATAAGGATTACACTGTGTGTTGCCATGGTAACAGTTGTTAGTTTAGTGTTCAGTGAACTATGTGTGAAGTATGTTGAACTGGTAAGGAAGGAGAAACCCTGTGCCCTGTGAGTTGAGGAAACCTAGCAACTGTTGCCATGGAAACCATATAACTAGTTTCTCATCCTCCTAATGGCTTCTTATTGAACACTATCTTCTCTGTCTCTGGGTCTCTAACTCTTATCACTCTGTAAAGTAAAAGTAGCGTATAGTACTATAATATATTATACCATAGTATATACTATATGATATACTATATACTAATATATAATAATATTATAGCAGTACTTTACAAGAAGTGCCAGCTCTTAACACGTGATAAGATGGACTCGCTCCAAACACTACCCTCCACAACTGTTAACCGAACTTCTAATGCCTTTCTCCCGAGCTGTACCCTCTTAGAAGTAAAACTGATGTACAGTTGCCAGAGTTCGCTGTTATTAAATAGATTATAGCGTTTTACACCGTACAAGCTCATGTCCTATTGAAGAAAGTATTAAACTTCTATCATTGAACTACTGATGATAACTGATGATAACTGATGATAACTGATGATAACTGATGATAACTGATGATAACTGATGATAACTGATGATAATTGATGATAACTGATGATAACTGATGATAACTGATGATAACTGGCGAAATGAAGTGTTAGTCAGACAAGAGGACTGGAAAAATGTACATTCTTCAGATAGACAGAGTCTGTCACTTTGCAGTCAGTGTCTGGCACATAGAAGCCAGTCACAATCCTGAATCAAAATAATTATTTCTACTGTCGAATGTCGGTAGAACATTAGGAAATTGAAATGAATGGGAAGATATCTGAAACATCCCTAAAAGCTTTATCGAAGTGATAACGTCAACACGTGGTGTTGTGATGACGTCACGTGGTGTTGTGATGACGTCACGTGTTGAATTGATAACGTTTGAGAGCTCCCTTAGATGGTTCTATTTAATGATATAAGCTAACTTGGCTATTCATTACTTTTTTAGGCCCGTTGTATGAACACTCAGGAGTACATGTAACAACTCCGGAGTACATGTAAACACTCAGGAGTAACATATAAATACACATGAGTACCTATAATAAACACTTTAGTAATTTCCTCTTGAAGCACACTTCACATTTCCCACCAACATTGTATGGCTTAGTTCTCACAGCAGGTTATTTATATGTTGAACATGTTGAATATGTTGAACACTGTCGTGTGTTAGATAATATGCACACTTTATGTGGGGAAGTGATCGAGAAACTATTGGACCACCTGATATGAAACTCAGGGATGGGGAATGTTGTAACGTGCACGTGTCAGAATGACACTGAAAACAAATCATGGATGAGGTAATTTGTTGAGAGGTATTCATGAAGTGTGCTTGCCAGTGGTCTCTACTTATCACAGAAGTTGGTTGGGCTAATTTAATTGTAGTTTCTTTATCAAGGACGGGGTATCATTACCAGATGCCATTTACACCCGCACCCTCTGCCCCCACCACTCTTCCCTCAGCATATTCCCTCCCCCTTCAGACACTCCACACTCCACCCCCCTTGCCCCCCCCCCCCCCCCAGCTTCTACTGAGTCTACCCCCTCGCCTCTAGCCTCTGACCCTCTCTCCCCCGTCCCTAGCCTCTGCGTGATGGCTGGTGTACGATTAGACACACTACCTCATTAAATGTTATTAGAACACTATTTTACTCGGCGAATAGCCAAATATCTTTACAAAGCCATCCCTCTGAATCGACACTAAATTCCTGTGAATTATTATAGATAGTGAACATGGAACTGTAATGGTTCTGTAATCCGAGTACCTACTCACTAGATTTTATCACTGACTGTACTAGTTGGCTCTACGCCAGTTACATATAGTCTCTACTAATAACGTTATGCGTATCACACAGACTAATCAAACCTTACCAAATTTATCACTACTAGTGGAATGCGATACCATGACGTGAATCATACACCCTATATTGAGACACTGCTTAGAGTAAACCCTATATTAGGTGTTATATTGAGACACTGCTTTATGAGGGGTTATGTTGAGACACTGCTTTATTAGGCGCTATTTGGAGACACTGACGCACTTCTTCAAATTACCACTAGAAATTTCAAGAAGTATACTAAACCAATATACTGTGCTACTACTACTATTTATACTAACACTACTATACTTCAGAAAGCAGCACTCAACAACAACAGCAACAACAACAACAACAACAGCAACAACAACAACATCAACAGCATCAACAACAACAACAACAACAGCAACAACATCAACAACAACTCAGTGCTGCTGAACTGGAAATGAAACTGAGCGCAGCCAAATACGATCCGAGATCTTATCTTTTACCCAGTAAGTTCTTTTTTATCTAATAACACTCAGTAAGTTGTAATCCTTATTTGATAACACGCCAGATTTGACTGTCATCTATTTACCTACATGTGATGCTATTCAGTGAGCTTCTTCCCACCCTAGTGTTTCTGGAAGTAATTAACAATATAGCTGTTTATAATCTTTTAATTCGTTAATTATGCAACATATTATTACTAATTCTGAGCGTGTGACCAGACACACTCCATGACATATAAACAGATTCCTCGTATACACTGTACAATAGTGTTTGCTATGTGGTCACCAACGCAGCACTAATCGTGTAATAAGTAATATTTGTATTTGTCCCGTGTAACCATTGTATGTTAAAACTCTGTTTATGATAATAACGTGTTAAACGTTACGTAGTGGCCACATTACTGGACCTTATCTTTAACTAGTCTACATTACATCTTACACATCTCTGTAATGCCTCCTCAGCTGAATGCTCGTAAACGAGATTGTAAGGAGTGGGCCCTGCCAAAAGAATCTTCTTAATATACCCCTTCAGTACTGAGTACAGCTACAATGTAGTGTTATACTGTAAACATTATTGATTATCTCTAATAAGTCTACATTACAAAACCCCCTTTCAGACGGCAGATTCCCTCACGAGTTGTCACGGTACCGTGCAGCAGAGTACGAGAAGTACCTGGCAGCAGCACGACTACACCAACAAGCAGGCACTAGGCCCCTCTACCCACCCTCAGCCACTCCGCGCCCACCTGTACCTTCCACTCCAACTCCTGGCAATCATTCCCTCCTAGCGGTAAGTGTTGGGACACGTGGTGTTGTGATGACGTCACGTGGTGTTGTGATGACGTCACGTACGTGGTGTTGTGATGTTGATGTACCTATGTTTCAGTTAATGTACCATGTACCTATATTTTAATTAATGTACCTATATCTCAGTCTCGTGGTGAGCACCCTGCAGCCGCCGCAGCAGCTAGCTCTATTGGCAGTAGTGGAGGCACCGCTATACACAGAGTGAGTCTTTTAATATTCCCAACATTCTTACATGTGATTTCACTTTCACTTGGTAGGTTTAATATTAACACTCAGCTCTACTGATCTGTGACGATTTGTTGCACCCTATCTAAGTTGAATGATGCGACTTAACTTTTCAAACTGAAATGCCACGCTAGAATATTTAAACAAGTTTTGGCATGTTGCGTAATCTACGTGTCATTTTAACTCGCGTACAATGAGAACTTCTTAAAATTAATATCTACTTTTAAAACGTCTGTAACGTCAGGCACGATGAGATCTTCAATGTAGGGAACTCATAGCTGTATCATATTGAATGGTCTTGGAAGATTTCCCGCTCGAATTCTAACACCTGATATTTAACTGCCATAAAATGAACGCCCAAGTTAGAGGGAGTAGGCATAACAGTGGCCTGTCAGGCTGTCAAGCTAATACAGCAGCAGTAGTAGTAGTACAAGCTGTCAGATCTCAGTGCAGTTGGTGTTCGCTTCCTCTCTAGTCTCTCCTTGATAATGTGCTCTTTAGACCTAGTTATCAGGCTGTGTCTTATTGCAGACCTCTCTATTTCTGTCTTAACGGCAGAAAACCATATTTTCTCTAAAGGAACAAAAATGCTCATTCTTACATCCAGTTTATGACCTGTCATTATAAAGATAAGCATTTTAGAACATATTATATGTTTAAAAGTTATACATAGATAATATGACAATTTTCTCATTAAAAAGTTTCTGAGTCCTCCAAAATGTTACAGCAATCAGCACTGGGGGGGTTTCCAATGGTGAAAAATGTTGAAATTTTACAATTTGGAAACTCGATTCACCATAAAAATCATTAACCATTTTTACTATTTTGCACAATTTTTCACCCACCATTTCCATTTAAAAAATTCGAAATTGGAAACACTCCCAGCACTGTTTCTTGATTTGCAGAAGGAAAGATAAGGTTTCATTTAGGTCTCAGTTACAGTAATCATATACACTCGTCAGAAAGTGTCGAATGTGTTCCTATAAAAAGATGGTGGCTCAGAAATCAGAATAGCTCTCTCCGGATAACTTAATCACTCCGATATCACTTCTCTCATTACTACTACATTTACTGTCGTAATTTTATAATTGTGATCTATTTAAGTCCTTAATTTTAAAATCAAAATGTCCACTTCTTTCACTTTGGTGGTATTTCTAGTTGTACTCAATAATAGAGATCTCAAAGAAAATATTTGGATGGTATTATTTTCCCAGACTATTTTAATAACCGCATTTAAGGGCTCTGTAAGAGGTCGCGCTTACGTCAAGCACTCATTTAACGGAGTTGTGTGAGAAGGCCGGTATATATATATTATATATATATAGAGATTTTACTTATAGAGGTTTTACTGTAGTCACTGTGACCTGAGAGAGGGGAGAGGGAGAGGGAGAGAGAGAGGGAGAGGGAGAGGGAGAGGGAGAGGGAGAGGGAGAGGGAGAGGGAGAGGGAGAGGGAGAGGGAGAGGGAGAGGGAGAGGGAGAGGGAGAGGGAGAGGGAGAGGGAGAGGGAGAGGGAGAGGGAGAGGGAGAGGGAGAGGGAGAGGGAGAGGGAGAGGGAGAGGGAGAGGGAGAGGGAGAGGGAGAGGGAGAGGGAGAGGGAGAGGGAGAGGGAGAGGGAGAGGGAGAGGGAGAGGGAGAGGGAGAGGGAGAGGGAGAGGGAGAGGGAGAGGGAGAGGGAGAGGGAGAGGGAGAGGGAGAGGGAGAGGGAGAGGGAGAGGGAGAGGGAGAGGGAGAGGGAGAGGGAGAGGGAGAGGGAGAGGGAGAGGGAGAGAGAGAGAGAGAGAGAGAGAGAGAGAGAGAGAGAGAGAGAGAGAGAGAGAGAGAGAGAGAGAGAGAGAGAGAGAGAGAGAGAGAGAGAGAGAGAGAGAGAGAGGGAGCAGCGAGCTTGCTAATGTCATGCTTACACTTACCAGTTAACAGTGCTATTAGTACCAGTACCGGGGCATAAGCTCAGTGCACAAAACCAGCTCTGGATTAACACATGTCATAGTGTCACGTGATAGTCTGATAACAGAGTTCATTAAACAGTCTCTAATAGTTTGGTGTATTAGTGTCGTATCTTTATAGCACGATAATAATATCACCTTATTTGGTAGTTTTAGGAGTTGTTGTTGATAACCAGGTACTAGTTCTTTAAGCTGGTAAAAAACACGCCAATGGCAATACAAATGTTGAAGTTCACTTAAAATGTTTGTGGGAGAGGGAGAGGGAGAGGGAGAGGGAGAGGGAGAGGGAGAGGGAGAGGGAGAGGGAGAGGGAGAGGGAGAGGGAGAGGGAGAGGGAGAGGGAGAGGGAGAGGGAGAGGGAGAGGGAGAGGGAGAGGGAGAGGGAGAGGGAGAGGGAGAGGGAGAGGGAGAGGGAGAGGGAGAGGGAGAGGGAGAGGGAGAGGGAGAGGGAGAGGGAGAGGGAGAGGGAGAGGGAGAGGGAGAGGGAGAGGGAGAGGGAGAGGGAGAGGGAGAGGGAGAGGGAGAGGGAGAGGGAGAGGGAGAGGGAGAGGGAGAGGGAGAGGGAGAGGGAGAGGGAGAGGGAGAGGGAGAGGGAGAGGGAGAGGGAGAGGGAGAGGGAGAGGAGAGAGAGAGAGAGAGAGAGAGAGAGAGAGAGAGAGAGAGAGAGAGAGAGAGAGAGAGAGAGAGAGAGAGAGAGAGAGAGAGAGGGAGCAGCGAGCTTGCTAATGTCATGCTTACACTTACCAGTTAACAGTGCTATTAGTACCAGTACCGGGGCATAAGCTCAGTGCACAAAACCAGCTCTGGATTAACACATGTCATAGTGTCACGTGATAGTCTGATAACAGAGTTCATTAAACAGTCTCTAATAGTTTGGTGTATTAGTGTCGTATCTTTATAGCACGATAATAATATCACCTTATTTGGTAGTTTTAGGAGTTGTTGTTGATAACCAGGTACTAGTTCTAAAAGCTGGTAAAAAACACGCCAATACAAATGTTGAAGTTCACTTAAAATGTTTGTGAAGGAGTAACAACACACTGCATGTAAAGTATAAAGAATTCTTTTAAAACTGTGTGATGTAAGCAGTGTCCTTATCTCTCTCTCTCTAAAGTTGCACCCCTCCCCCCAGCAACTGAACTCCATGTATAAACCATCGGTTAGAGTACCCGCCCCAAAGATAGGTGGGGGTCCTACTTCTTCTTCTGCATTTAAAGTGAGTACACAACACCTCTTCTTGCCTGTCTTCTCTTCTCTGTCTCTGTGTTTAATACTTGTTTATTATTGGTTAACTGCACTTCTGTCGCTGAACTTTCTCTCATGCTGCACTATTCTGCTTGTATATTAGAGCTATTAATATTCGCGAAGCTATGCACTTTTTAAAATTCTTTCCACCCACTATTACATTTTTGGGATTCTTTGCAAAAATACGAATCACAATACCCTTTTATCACAACACTTTGGCCCTTTGATTCGTGTGCCCTTGTTAATGCTCCTTCATGAACATTTCTGTGTGCGCTTGTTTTTGGGGTTTCTAAGCAGTTGTACTATAGTGTTACCATGGTGACACAGTTGTACTAGAGAATGCTAAAGCATATATATATATTTGCGTCTTTCTCACTTCAATGCATTACGATTGATTAATTTATTAAAATGAATAAGAAATTTACTTTGGACGTTTATTAATGCATTAAAATAAGCAATTAATAAAGTTTACTTGGTAAGTTGTAAATAAAGTAATTTACACGTGGTAAATATTTTAAAATCTCTGTAACTTTATTGCGTTCATTAGAAAGTAGCTAATAGAGCCTCCCAGCAGTTACTGGGCCTAATAAAACTGCATAATTTGTCTGGCTAAAGACCTTGTTAAAACTAAACCTATACAATAACTACAATTTAGCTGCAAATCAAGAAAATACAGTAGAAGAAGGTACGTATAATATATAGAATTAAATATAGAATTATGTATTTATAAAATGCACATATTTAATTTACTGTGCTATTGTCTCTGTAGATGATATGACTAGTCCGTATTTACGTCATAGTTAGCCTTTAACTTAGGCTTTATAACATTGCAAGTTATAATTTCTATTTATCACTTATCAGTGAATGTTTGTGAACAGTGTTAGTTAACATAGATGTAAAAGTGTTTGTTAACATAAATGTAAATGTGTTCGTTCATATAAAAGTAGAGGTGTTTGTTAATACAGAAGGTGTTTGTTAACATAAATACTATAACTACCCAAATTCGAAAACGTTAGGGAATTAATAGTTTTTAGATGTTTTTAAAGTTGTCCTGTTTCTGTGGCTGGTAACTACCCGCAAATTCTGAAAATACCGACCAAATGAGCTACAGTTCTATTTTGGCTGGTTACCCGTTACATTTAATGTGTATAATAAGTTTGTTATTTATAATTAGTTTATTGATTAAATATCACCTCTGCTACCTTATAATAAGACTTACAAAATGAGATTAACCATCATTTGTCCTCTCTCCCTAATACAGCAAGTTATGACCGTTATTACACTATAGATCATTTATCAAGTAATACTCTTCTTTGTAAATATGGTTGGCATGCACACTTATAATAGTAGTGACACCTGTTGATAATGTACTTACTACTACTAGCTACTAACTGTGAAACACAGAAAGTGTGCAAATATAACATATTATTGATAATTAGTTCTATTAATTACATAATTACTTCTCTAATTACTGCTGTTTGATTTGTGCTACTTATCTGTGTTGTGCGCTTTTCAAAACAAGGCAACATGTATTTAGTTCGCATTATTATTTATTATGTCCTATGTATTTGCACCAACTAATATTAGTTATTGAACGTAGTGTATCACTCTCTACAAATAGTTGGCATTATGTATTCAATGTAAACAGCGTTTAGTGTTAATCGTATTTTGTATAGTGAACTATGTGAATAAACATTACTATGTAGTGTACTCTAGTAATGTGCTGATATTACTTTTCATTAGAGTTGCAGATTATTATTATGTATACATTCCATGAGACAGTATGATACATCATCTGTTTAAACAAGTAACAAATACTGAACGTAACTTGGCAGCTGGCCAAAGAAGATGTCCACTAAATTATCAGGTCGGATATTAGGTGACACTGTATATTGGGAGGCAGTTCACTGTAGTTACCATGGTGAAACAGCCTGTTACCATAGTGACACAGCATGTACTGTGTGAAATACAGTCTGTTTATCGTTTTTAACCTTGTTTTACTTTTCAGAGGTTAACAGAAAAGAAGTGGAACAGTATACATGTTTACATAGCCAGGCTGATCTACAAAAAACAGCAAGAGGTAATTTTAACTCAAGCTAAAATGTGTATCCGTCTATTTTATAATGAGCGCGATTTTCAGCTGTTGATTTGTCAATATTTGACGGGTTGAAGGAAATTGCTGGGATCTAGTTTGCTGTAAGAAAGTGTAAGTATTTCTTGTCATGTTTACACACAGATAATTTTACCGCATTATTTAGTTTTCAATTCTGGTACATATCCAAAGTTTCAAAACTGTGACCCATAAAAACAATAAACTTACATTTATAGATCCAAAATTCGTGGCCAACGACATAATTCTCATAATTAGCGTAAAATAACATGTTTTAACTGCAAGAATTAACCAAGAATAAAAAAATAATTATATCGAGATAAGTGGAGTCTCTCCAAGAATATGTTCACACCGTTATTTATTGTGTAAAGCACTGACAAGGTATTTCTGTAGGGTACAGACTGGCCGGGTTTCGTCGTTAGAGAGCCACTAATGTTAACTGTAGGGCGCGTGTGTAATAAGTTGCTGCTTGACAAAACCATGCAATATAGGTGGTTTCACGTAATTAACATTTGCTATTTAGCAAGGGTATTGCGCAATGTTTCTAGCGACCAGTCCGGGACAAATCATCTCACATCATACATTCCGTCGTCAGAGATGGTGATTTGCAAAAACGAATTAAAATATTGATATCATCTACCACTCATTCATCAGGATTATCTTGTAGGGAACGCTCGTGATTTATCAGTCATGCTGTTACACAATTTTTTTCGAAAGACCCAAACATGTTTTGATTTCGATATATATAACAGAGTCGATATGAGACTTAAATCTTTAGTCTTAACTGAAAAATTGTTAGCCCCAATATCCATATCTAAGCCCAAAACTGTTCAAAAGTGCAAAACGGGCGTGATATTTAATTAAAAATATATCGGACAGGGGCGTGAGTTACGGTTCGCGCTATTGCTAGCAAAATTTGGAAAGATTTGATGTATAAAGACTGTTGCGTTCAACATTTAGCTTTAGCGCGCGTTAACTTTTGGCGCGCATTTAACTTCTGATTTTCTGGTCGTATCGGTGGTACGGTTAAGGGGGGGGGCCAATGGGTATTTTTTTGTGAAACTTGATTTCGAGATAGCAGTTGACCAACAAACTAGGACCAGTGACCGAACTTTTGAGGGGGTCCCGGACCCCAACCGCCAAACGGTGCGCGCAGGGCAGCCACGCCCATATTTGGTCCAAATTAGGCCCAATTTAGCCAAATACCCTGTACATGCCCCAAACCCAGGTTTATGGTGCTCTACTTGTAGCTAGTGGTCTCCTGAACTCGTATATGAAATTTCATCAAGATTGGACAAAAAATGACTGAGTTATGAGCCAAAAACCATATGCCCATATTTGGGCATACGCACCAAATTTGGTAGATTTCGTCCCATAAATTGGTCAAATATCAATATTTTTGAATGAAACTTACTTTATATGAAAGGTAAGCCTAAACTACATATTCTCTGTAATTTATAGCTTTATATCTGTTTAAATGTGGATACTAAGGCGAAAAAACCACAAAAAATGAACTAAATTGCCCATATCTCGGTTCGCGATATTCGCGGAATTGATCTCACCAAAATTGTAACAACTCAATCAGTTTTCAAAATTTTTGCATGAAATTTTTGGAATCGACTCGAAATCGCATTTCGACCTTATTTTAAGAACGGATTTTTGATTTAGGCCTCAAAAAAAATTTGGCGGCCAAATTCCAAAATTATATTACAGAAATTCAGAATTTGGCCGCCAAATTTTTTTTGAGGCCTAAATCAAAAATCCGTTCTTAAAATAAGGTCGAAATGCGATTTCGAGTCGATTTCAAAAATTTCATGCAAAAATTTTGAAAACTGATTGAGTTGTTACAATTTTGGTGAGATCAATTCCGCGAATATCGCGAACCGAGATATGGGCAATTTAGTTCATTTTTTGTGGTTTTTTCGCCTTAGTATCCACATTTAAACAGATATAAAGCTATAACTTACAGAGAATATGTAGTTTAGGCTTACCTTTCATATAAAGTAAGTCTCATCCAAAAATATTGATATTTGACCAATTTATGGGACGAAATCTACCAAATTTGGTGGGTATGCCCAAATATGGGCATATGGTTTTTGGCTCATAACTCAGTCATTTTTTGTCCAATCTTGATGAAATTTCATATACGAGTTCAGGAGACCACTAGCTACAAGTAGAGCACCATAAACCTGGGTTTTGGGCATGTTCAGGGTATTTGGCTAAATTGGGCCTAATTTGGACCAAGTATGGGCGTGGCTGCCCTGCGCGCACCGTTTGGCGGTTGGGGTCCGGGACCCCCTCAAAAGTTCGGTCACTGGTCCTAGTTTGTTGGTCAACTACTATCTCGAAATCAAGTTTCACAAAAAAATACCCATTGACCCCCCCCCCCTTAACGATTTTGATCATCGATTTATAAATGGAACATTTATGATATACCCAACAACTAAACGTTTGTTTCAGTATTGAGTTAAAGCGGAAGTCGCTTTACATTTCTCAATTTACAGGCTAGAGACGCATTGAACGGGGCTAGTGCTACCGGTGGCGAGAGTTCTGCTGCCAGAGCTTTCCTGTCCAGTGGGAAACGGGAAGTTACGAGAGAATACCCCTCATTCGCTGCAGGACTCCACAACTTACCTCCTACTCCAGCCTCTCCTTTCCCTCATGCCACCAATAACCCCTTCAACGCAGCCAGCAAGGGTAATCAATGTTCATATTTTCATTTCTTATTGTTAGCTTTTTGTCCTGAGCCGACCTTGAGTTGCGTTTAATGTTAAATTAGAAACTAAACAATATTTATTGCAGTTCATCAGTCACATCATCCTATGGGGGTTAGGGGAATGTCAACATTACATGGACTCGGTTAGTAATAAGCGTAATAAGCTAGAAATAATGATAAATCTTGATAAATCTTGATCCTGGACTCAAATATATCATCTTACTCCTTGTATTGCAATCATAATAATAATAAACTGTGCAGGTAACAGGTTCCCACCTCCCTCAATACGTGCGCCTTACTCGGGTCTGGCTGCAGCAAGTCTGTATGGCCACCCTGGCTACGACCCTCTCCGCCACTCTCTATCTAACTACACTGGTGAACAACTAAGTCGGATAGATCAGGAGCGACTGCATCAGCACATTGCGTCTATGCGTTCCTCCGAGCTGTTATCCCGAACAATGTATGAGAACTCATTGCGGCAGCACCAAGCGGCAGCAGCGCACCGCGAGCATGAGATGCAGCAAGCGATGTCACGAGAAATGCTACTCCACCTGGAAGAACAGAGGAGGAAGCTTCTCCAGTCTGACCCTCAGAAGCTGCTTCCACCCTCCAGCCTCCCCGCTAATATTCCCGACATCTACATGCGGCCTCAGCACTTACAGGCCCACCTCAAATACCCGGGCCCCGGTTCTTCATCTCACGGACTGGGAACATTCCCGAACTTGTTCAACCGATCCATAGACCCACGCGCTAGATTCAGCCATCTTATACCGCCCAAGGGACCAGAATAGCTAGTCATCTTCTCTGTTTCTTTTATTTGATCTTTTTTATTAATTTATACATATTCGTTTTTATGTGCACCATTTAAAGACATGCACTGTTGCCATGGTTACCATGCACTTGCCATCTTCTAGTTAGTACCACCCTTCGACACGAGTATTAAATACCGATTTGTGCGGTTCATATATTAAATATACAAACTCGTGTCCGGTTTAAAAAGCTCTCTTCAAAGAAATCTTATAAAAGGCTGGTTTTAAAGTTGTCTGGCACAACATATGGCAGGTCCATTTCAGTCAGTGATTACCCAGGTAACCAGTGTTACCATGGTAACCAGTATTACTAAGGTAATCCGTGTTACCATGTTAATCCGTGTTCACAACCTAGTATTACTGAGTTAACTAGTGTTACAAGTGGTAACAAGTGTATCATTGAAAGTAACCAGTGCTGCCAAGGTAATTACCTCAGAACCATTATTACCTGTTAAAGTAACTAGTGTTACAAAGGTAACTAGCGTTACCTAGGTAACCCGTATTACCTTTATGAGTAACCAGTGATACAAATATATCCAGTATTACCTCTGTCAGTATTGAGTAATAAGAGTTAGCTAAGTGACAGTAGTTTGGGTCATGTATAGGTGTTGAGCTGATTTACTCTGTGAAATTAATATCGTTACCTTGGCACGCATTGTTGCCATGGTTACATAAGCCAACTTTACTCCCTCTAACGATCCTCCACCGTTCTCGTGGGTATGAAAATGCAGCTGTAAATGTTACGATTTTTTGTTATAATATTTTGATGCCTAGTTTGCGTTTGTTGTAGTGTATATAGCTACATTGGTTGCCATGGTTACACCTGTTATCATGGTTCACTAGTGTTCTGCCGGGTGTATATTTCAAAGTCTAATTTTTATTCAAGTTTGAGGAGACTGTGATTATATGTATTTGTTAAAACAACCTATCCAGAGTTTGATTTGAAATCAATGTTCCCAACCTTTACAAGAGGGGACAGAATAATACACCCACCCCCTTCCTATTTGAGCTGTTCAGTAAATTCCTCTCATTATTTTATGAGAAGTTATTTTTGAGTCGAATGCACTAGACGTTGAACCTCAAATTTTGATGAAGGTCCTAACCTCAATTTCGTTCTTGTTATTCCACCTTCCTTAAGTCAAACTTACCCCAATCCTCTTAATTGACTACCCCCTCCTTCCTCTAATAGCTGGTACTTTGTCCCCGGAGTGGCGGGACCCTCAAGAGAAGTTTTGGAACATTGCAGATATATCCAGAGTTTGTACGGGATCTTATTAGAATCCTGTACTACTTCAATTACTTACTTCTATTGTCTATACCTTTAAGGAATTACAAATTGAAACGAACTTTTTACCAGTAACCTTATTTCTTTGCAATAACCCCTTGCATATTTCAATAGTTTAAGATCTCATGAAATGCAATATCATGCCACCTCCTAATGATTTCTAATATAAGCAAGCGGAATTATATAGTAACTATTTGTTTTGATGGATTACAGACACTATTTTAAGACTTGTACATGATCTTTTATTTGTTCCGAAGCTTCCCTCTCGGCTAAGGGGTCGTTCACATATAACGCAATCAGCCGAGGGGAAAAGGGTTTACAAATGATTACGCTAGTGTAATTTTGGCACAATAGTTATGCTTAAAACTGATTACGGGGCAAGATATCGGGGAAAACTGTCTCGATCATGTGATAAGGAAGTTGGTCATGTGACAAGGAAGTTGGCCTACTTTCTCGTTAGGGTTTCAGCATATGATTCAGTTAGGGTTGAGAGGTTAGGGACTAGGGTTTCTAATAGTCATTCCACATTCAGATCAACCTAGAGGACGTGTTAAAAAAGTCACGTGACAGTCGAGTGTAGAGTGATTAATCATCATCCCGATATTTAGGGTAGTGTTTTCAGTTTTAGCATGCATATGCTTCGGTTAGGATTCAGGTTTGAGTCAATGTAGGGGATTAGGGTTTCGAGTAGTCATTCAGGGCCACTACACCTTAAAGTGTTAAGAGGACGTGTTAAAAAAAGTCAACTGTAGAGTGATGAATCTTCATACCCAAAAAATGAATTTATAAATGTTTGAGTAAATTCCTTTTTGGAGTGCTTAAATGTTAGATAAGGGGTCGTTCACATATTACGTAATCAATATTTTAGCAATTTTTACCCCCTTCCGTAATCAACCGTAATCAAGACCCAACCCTCCCCCTTCCTCCTGAGAGCAATATTACGTTATCATGGCCTGACCAACCCTTGACTTTTTTCCTAGAAAACACTTTTCTCTACGTTTCAAATTCGTGCTACCCTGATCATGCTATCATGATGAGCCGAAATCATTGTTATGATATCCGGCCAAGCACCTTCTAACATCTAAACTACTTACTATTATAGCCGGATATTCGATCAATTTCTAAATTTTATCACCAATCACTATCAGTGAAGCGACCGTGGGGGTCACCACGTGATACAAAGTGAAATTGAGTGGAATTTGAATTACAATATTGTCAAATTGTTATTTTTCTTGACCATTGTTAATTAATGGTCTGGCCCGGCGCGCGCTACTTCGTAGCATTTGCCATCGAGAAGAAAGCGGCGCGCGCTACTTCGAAGAAATTTAGACGAGTAACATCCGTCAATTATTATTCTAGAGGGTAAAAAAGAAAATTTTGATTAAGTAATCAATTCGACCGAAACCCCCCACCCCCCCCCCCCCCCCCCCCCCCCCCCCCCCGTAATCAACCGTAAGCATTTGGAAACCCCCCTCCCCCTTGGTTGATTACGTAATATGTGAATTATGAACGACCCCTAAGTTTACCAATTTTCTTAAAGACTGGATTGAGGAAAGTTCATCAAATATGTTGTTTTATTCACTTTTTCAAGGATTTTGCAGCGCTGACCAAAATTTGCTACACGTTACTGGGCCGCGCTCAGCCTGTCATTCCGCCTAATCTCTATTCGCTATATGTTTATGAACATGATAGCCTGAGGTCCCCAGGTAAGCTACACGTTGTATACCTCTTTAGTGCACGCGAAGCGTGCACTCCGGCCGCCGCGCGCGATCAAAAGGGGTTGTGTCAAGTCGTTCACATATTACGTAATCAGCTGAGGGCCGTCACAAGAGGGGCAGAGTGCAAAGAAACTGATGCTCACTGATGCTCACTGCTGCTGTCGCGCGCGCGCCCATAGCAGTAGTTAGCAGCAGTTATATGCGCATGTCTTTACTGTGCAACGCACGCCGCGCGCAACTGCTAAAAACTGCTGCTGTCGCGGTCGCGCCCATAGATCTACTGAGTACCACAATTGGAGAAAGGGTCATTCGTCCCTCTTGTATTTACCACTATAGGAGGAATGACACCTGAGGCCAAGCGTTTCATAAGGAGAATTACTGTGTTGATAGCCACCAAGCCCAAAGAGGACTACAGTAAAACAAAATTTTTAGTAAAACAAAATTTTTATTTACCACAAAACAATCAATACATATTTAATATTATTATACATTTACAAATAAATCTAAATTTAAATTCAGCTATATACACAATACACAGCCCGCCGCGCAGACAGCCACACATTGCTGAGAGATTCTCAGGTGCAGATGTAAGCGCCGCGCGCGAGGTTTGTTATCTTACAATTACATGTCACGATATATTATTAATTATCAGAGAATTTTAGAAGCAAAATAATAATTGCATATTGGGAAAATTTCGGTCGTTAACGCAGTACAGGGCGTGGACACTGTAATGCTAATAACGGAAAATTTTGAGGCACGAGTTTCATTCAGCTACCCAATTTATATGTGACATGTACTTGTATTAAATTCAGATAAATGTTAGTAACAATCGACGTCAATATTGTGCAACTGTAAACTGCAAAATGTTAACGTCGATTATCACTAAATCACATCTCGCAAGTTACTAATTCTTTGCACTATATATGTTACGTCACTATAGCATATGTCATTCATATTGTACGTTATATAAGATAAAAATAAACATTTTATAATTGTTTCAATGTTCAACACTGCTAAAAAACAAATACCTACTTGCCCATCGATTAAGCAGTCGCCAAAACAAGGCTCAAAGTTAATTTACCTTCACACCTCGTTTTGGAGACTGAAGGATGTCAATAAATAAATAATGGATAACATTAATACTGAATATGATGGATAATCAGTAATATCAATAAAATCCACAATCACTAATCATGTTTTCGATGGGCAAGCACTCGCAACTGGATGCTGAAACAAACGGCGCAAGTCTTGCACCGTTCATGCAGCATACGTCGCGAGATATCATGAGCTCCGCTAACTCTGCGATTCTAACGGATGAATTAGGCTACCCCGACAGAAACACAGGTAACAGGGGGTTGTGGAAGGACACGAACACTGTTCGTTAACTCGTACCCCGGGTACCCCCTATATAGATCTATGTCCCGCCGGAGAGAGCCCACCACCAGTCATATCGAAAGCAGCTTTTAATTCTGCATTATAAATATCGCGTCGTCATAATAAATAATATACATTACCACTACACACTTGTCACTACACACTTTTATGCACAGTACAACTAAAATATTATCAAGAGACAGAAGAGTTTTACATCGGCTCAGCACCGCAAGGACGTTGGCTATACACGTGGTTCATAAATTAGTTTGATTTGGGTACGGTTCGACCGGGAAAGTGGTCGGGATTAGTTCTCATACAGTACAGCTAGGTGATGTGTAACATCAGGACACGCCTGAGCATTGATATAATGAGGAGTGTGCTAGTAGCAGTTAAAGGGGTACAAGGGAAGGCAAAGAAGGCATGGGCCGCCCCTACATCTAATGTCTCCTTCAGCCTGATACCTGAGGAGAAGAGCTACGAGGGATAGATGATATTTATTGCTCATGATTTACGATTGTGCTCTGCCAATTGCATCAATTGATTTAATTTAATGTATATTTTATATATATATATACTGTTTGACAAACTTTTATCTACTCAGATCTATTAAGTCATGTTACTATCTTGCCGTATAATCTGCACTGACCTGCTGCTAGCTGCTCTGTACTACTCTTCAATACAGCATTTCACCATACAACCCACCCTTGCTCCCCCTCTCCAGATACTGGATGGATCCAGTGGTGTGTTGTTTGGTAGTTTTAGGAATGACAAAACCAAATATTCAACCTACCCCGACTGTCCTTACAACTCCACTCAGTTTAATGATGTAACATTTGTCTATTTCACACTCTTTTACCAGATTGAGAACATAGCTGTCTGGAAAGTACCTTTGTTTGAGTGGATGCCAACTGATTTTGGTATTTTTTACCACGCATATTTGGTCCTGGAGACAATTGACACTTACGGAAAGTTCCACTACTGGTCTTTCGAGAAGAACTCCAAATTTTTAATCCTCCAACAGACACCCTGGGCAACAAAGAGAAATGTTGTAAATGGCCTCAATGGTAAACCAAGGCTAAAGGGAAACTACTGGAAACCTACTTTACTGATGGAAGAAGAATTCATTATAGCAGCATCAACTCTGTTTGATTTTTACAACAGTGCAGAAATAAAGAGGCACAACAACAAATACAATCTTGTGTCTCTTAATTGCAAACACTTTGCCCAAGAGATGTTCAACCTTCTCACTCACAAAGAGAAATGGGACTGTAGCATTGAGACTATCCTTCTGAACACCTACAACAGCCTCATGACAACACAAAATATCTTCTCCACTGTGCTCTGGTTACTAAGCAGTGTGCTAATGCAGGTCTCTGTAGGAATCAGACTGAGCATATCAGTGTGGATATGTCTGGGATTAGTGGTAATTCTGCAGTGGTATGATAAAAAGGAAATGTTTAGTAGCGATGAAAATAGTTGGAAAGGGCAGCATGTTACTTTAAAGAAGTGGAAACCCAAGCTTAAGAAATGGATTTACATTGAACCTTAATTAATTGTTGGGAAGTGACATTTAAAATTGTTAAATTTATATCGATTTTAAATTGTTTTACTATCGAAAATTTAGAGAATATATACTTTAAATCACTTAGTTATTTAAAAAAATATATTTTTGTGTTAATACAACTATTATCTTCTGCTGTATCAGTTTTGTTTTTTTTTTAAATCATTAATTTATCCATTTAATTTCATTTAGTTTATGATCTTTTTTACTGGCAAAAAAAATTAAATAAAAGGCTTACAATTAATATGAAATTTGATGAAATATTTTTACTTTGATCATCATATTGAACGCTTATAAGAGTGTTAATTTAAGATTTGTTATGATGTCTGTCATACACAGTATTTCAAATATTGTGTACCTGTTTTGTATTATGTTTTTTTTCTTATTTCTGAGCACTATCGTCTATCTATAAATGTTACTTTAAAGAAGCGCAAACCCAAGTAAAAAATGGTTTTACATTGAACCTTAAATAATGGGATTGATTGTTGGAAAGAGACATTTGAAATTGTTAAATGTATTGGCTCATTGGCTCAAGGTGAAGGAGAGGATTGAGTTTAAGTTATGTTTACTGATTTTCAAAGCAGTCAATGGTGTTGCTCCTGCATATCTGTGTGATCTAGTAACATTTGTTAGTTCGAGTAGCAGAAGAACCTCCTCCTTACACCTACCTGTTGGATCTACAAGATCGCACCCAAGAGCGTTTTAGACTGTTGCTCCGAAAATCTGGAACCAACTACCAATTGAAATTAAGACTTGCTCTGATGTTGATCTGTTCAAAACATTATTAAAAACTCACCTGTTTAAGAAAAGTTACGGCATGAGTGATTAATTGACAGTATAACTTTATGTTATTTGCTTAAACTGTTTAGGATGCAACCTAATGTCATGATCTTTTTGAACTTATTAGCAATTAGACTGTTAGCTCGCTTCATAAGCATGTCATCTTCGTTCCAAAACTTTTTATGTCCTATGCATACACTCCTTGATAGTTATCTTGATCTAGTTTCTTTGTTTCACACAATAGAGCATAAGTTTTGTGGTTTATCCACTGGGCTTAGAGTTTGTGCTTAAGCTACCAAATTTTATTATAATTATTTATTTCTATTTTAAAATTTTTTTGTTTTTGTTATCGAAAATTTTTGAATCACTATTAGTTATTAAAAACCATTATCCTCTGCTGTGTCAAATTTGTTTTTGGAAAAATTATTTATTTATCCATTTAGTTTTATTTAGACAATGATGCTTTTTACTAGCCCAAAAAGATTTCATTGTGAATAATATTGCAAAAGGGCTTACAATTATGAAATTTGATGCAATGTTTCTACTCTGATTATCATGTTTTACACTTAAGAAGATTTCTTGTCTGTCATGTAATTATACAGTATTTCAAATAAGGTGTAACTGTACCTGTACGCAATAAAGGTAGCACTGCGGTCAGTGCAAATTAACGTCTCCCCTACCCTGCACATATCCAGGATTTCAATGTGATATCGATGGCCGATTGCACTTCTCACAATAAAATGGTTGCAAGTTGAAGAACTGCTCAAAGTGCTCTGTTAAGGTTCATAACTTTGCAGTCCTGCATGCACTGTACAGTGCACATGCATGATTGGAACGATACCATCGTTTTGATCAATTTTATTTCAAAATAATGTCAGTGTAATTTTGCATGGCTGAAAATGCTTGATCATACATCTTTTTTATTCAAAAATTCAATTCTAGTTATTATAATAATTAATTGAATTTTCAAATAAACAAAATTCAAGTTCACTAGTTCGATACAGTAAAACCCTGATTTATTGTGGACTTTGGGGAACGAGAAAACGTGTGGTAAATCTTTGTTTTAAGGTCCTAAATTGGTGAAAAATGGGTGGATAAGGTCCAAAATCCATACAAGCGATATTTTTGAAAGTCTTGCAAACACACTCAGTAATTTAACAACAGAAATCAGATAAATTTGTTGATGCCTATGCATAACAATATTGTAATGCTCAAATCAGATCACATTTCTCCTGTGGCTAATCCTTCTCAAACTCAATCGTGCCCTGTCATAGGAAAATACTGCCAAACATCACAGCAACTAAGGCCTTATATTATACAAGAACATTGTTACGTGATTCAGACGCAGTAATGAACACAAGCTCACCTTGACACAAGTTTACAAGCTTGCCTTGATACAAGCATTACTATAAGGTATCAAATGTCATGAATTCAATCTATACAATATCATGATAAATGATAATGACAGAATTTTACAACATCTATTAGCTGTTTGATAACTTTATCAAACTTAATATCTTTATTTGCTTGTATAAAATCTCTCTTTTCTCTTTAAAAATCTTAAATTGTCGGAAATAAATGTTTGACAAATTTTGAAGAAAAAATCGGGGAAAAGGAATTACATGCGGTAAATCAGGGCTTGAGATAAATCAGGGTGTAGCAAATTGGGGTTTTACTGTGATATGTTTGGCTGTTTGGCTGATACTGATCTACTGACGTTTAATTTGCATTTTGCACAAGAATCCCTTCAAATCCTAGCAATGATATATTTATTTTAGTTGTTAATGACAAGATTTAACAACTTCTTCTACTATGGAAGTGCAATCTCTTTCTTGCTAGTATTCGGGTTCATATGTTTTTCTCTTGGGTCTTCTAAAGTAAACATACCATTCAAGGTAAGGGTCAATGAAACAGCATGTGTGTACCTCGCTTACTATCAGTTATTGTAACTCTGATATAAGACTTTCAAAGATCAACTAAATATTGCTTCAACTGACTTTTAATCGCTTTTCGGGTTGCAGAATTTGCAACTTTATGTATTTTGTACTGTTCTGTTAAACAAAGTTATCAGTAAAACAAACAATTTTATGCTAATTTAATACATCAATATTTGGAATCTTCACAAAGAAAAGCAAATTAGGATAATTTTTGCATACCAGTTATACTGCAGATGGATAGGGCAAAGGGGCACTCTTGCTATAATGCGCTTTCGTGTGCACCACAACAGAGCAGCAATTACACTTTTTTGAGATTTAGAAAAGAAAGGTTATACCAATTAATTGATTTGAAGACTTAAATTATATCTCTTAGTATAAGAATGTTTAAGCATATTAAATGTTGCAAATAATTTATTTTGTGAACATATATTGCTTTAAATCTAAGTCTATTATTTCCCCATTTGACTCTTATCATTTTAAATATATTTCATCATTGACATTTATCCCAGAACGCTGCTGTTATACATGATAATGAGGATCAAGAACCTTCTGCTACGAAAGCCAAGATATTGAATGGTAGCAGTCAATATCTCGAAACTATCCGAGGATTACCGCAGCTACCCCAAACTAAGAACAATAGTCAAACAGGCGGATTGTGCCCTAACACAATGTGAGAAATTTTGACCTTCCTATTATATGATATAGAAAGTGCTGAACTGCAGACGAGCAGCTGAGCATTATATTTCATATAAGACCACCTTTTTATTCAGAGAGTTTGCGGGAATAAACAAGCAAAGGTTGGCTTGGATACAGTCACAATGTCGCAACAAGCTCACTGACAGTGTTAGATCGAATCTTTCTAACATTAAGGAGATGTTTTACTTTCCGTAAGTATATCATATTACAACTTACAACATGGATATTTAATATATATCTTGACACAATGGACGAAAATTCTGAGATGATGGGTTTTGCAATAATCAACGTTTGGGGATATTATCATTATTTAAATTTTACAGGTGTTAATTTATAATTTCTTAATTTACGTCAAAATTTTGAAAGGTTTTCGGGTTCTAGGAGTTCAGTGTGAAATTTTCATGTAAACTTCATTACGATTTCTATTTTCAGTAAATCTTTGTTGGGATGGTGTCCAGTTTACAAGGCAGCGTCCTCAAACGTGTTTGCACATTTCTGCAGCGACTATTTTGATAATGAAACATGTCAAGACAAACGTGTTAAAGAGAAGGGTTTCAAAGGAGGCTTCAGAGAACTAAAGGACTTCAAAGAAAAGGTTAGCGGGTACGGGAAGTTTGGTGCTGTGAATACTACAAGTAATAATGTATGTCATAGCCTACAATGACATTGCAATATCATAATTTAAGTAGCACGCTAATTAGTTCTCTTCAGAATCCTCCGCCTAAAGAAGAGAAAAGATTCTTGGTAGTTCGAGATCCATTCAGAAGACTACTCTCCCTCTACAGAAACAAAGTAGAGCTGTTAAGCCACCCAGCATATAGAGAAATTTACGTGGACTTCATGTTTCATTACCGACCAATAAGATGGCATACAAACATTGAGAGGAAGATAAGTGCGTTCCAGGCGGTTCACTTCGCGGAAGCAATGACCGAGGGTACAGCTCAGAGGAAACCACAAGAAGACAACCCATATTTATATCCACCATATCCCACATTTAAGGAGATTGTGGACGCAACGATAGCCGGTTGGGCAAATGTTCACCTCATCCCAGCTAGTCAGAGATGTGGTCCGTGTGGTTCTACTAAGTAAGCAAAACGATTTTTTTATTACATCATTTCATACCAGATTTTCTAACATTATCGTCTTTTTGTAAGTCCTCTTCTGATTTTCTAAAGTGTTAAACATTTCAGGTACGAATTCCTGCTTAAAGCGGAAACGTTTGACTGTGATCTTAAAAATATGTTCAACCTAACCAGCAACCTAAGACTCCTCGTAAGTAAACAAATTAGAATTTGGAACTAAACGGATTCATTTCCGGCTCAGATCTATTTCCCACATAACAATTAATAAGAGAATAAATTGACCCAATAATCTCTCTAGACAAATATTGAGAGATGGGCCACAAACCAGACCCCTGTCCTAGACATGAAAATTTTCTACAGCTACTTCTCCACATTGTCAACGGAGCAGTTGGACGGCCTGCTCTACCTTTACCAGGACGACTGTTTACTCTTCCAGTACCCATGTTCTAAGCACGTGGAAAATATTAAACAATTTAAATTGTTAAATTCTGGTTACAAGCATGAGTATAAGAATACTTGGTCAGGTAGGATCGGTGATTGGGACATTATTAGCTGAATTTATGAACTTTGTTTGAAGCTGCTGCTGGGGTTGATGTTATTACTACATATTATTAGGAATACCCTAGGAGACATATTTAAGTGGTTGGAGATCTGGGGATTCAGTGTCTTAGAAATTTAGGTGTCTTCAGTGATTCACGATTTTCTGTGTCTTCAGTGATAGATCATCTTTTCTGATGTTCGCCCCATTCAAAACAAGAAGCAGGCTAGAATACTGTCGCTTGGTCTGGAATCAAGATTGCACTAGCTTACTTTTATGATTATTATTATTATTATTTACAATTATTAAATTTGATGGAACTGTTTACTTAAATGTATTTATTTTATTTGAAAATTCAATTAATTATTATAATATGTGACACTATTTAACACTTTTAAGAAGATTTTTTATGATGTAAAAATATATACAGCATTTCAAATATTGTGTGTAACCTGTTTTGTATTATGTTTTTTTCTTTTTTATTTCTGGGTCACGACCCTATTTTATTTAAAACCTCTATTCTATTTAAACTTTGTATAAAACTGTAGGTCTCTTATTCTAACCGTTCACCATGACTGACCTGATGTCATTCTAAAATGGTTCTGTAGTTCTAAAAATTTAGTTAAAAATTGAGTATTTACGTAATATTTTAATAGTTACCTTCATACCCACAGTTTCATGTTACAACTCACTCTAACTCACTCTAACTCACTTCCTTAATATATGTGTTTTGAAGGGCACTCCGCACTCTATTAACAGTTTTTTACTGATTTGAATGTCCTGCACAGCAGATTGGAGCTTTTTAAATTAATTTGTATTCTTATTGTATTACTGTGTAAATTTGATTCTAATTCTTTTTCTAATGCTACTCTCTGAATCCCTCACTGGTTCCTAGTATTGAACAGTTCAGGAACCTATAAAATTGATTTAAAATTGAATAGGTCACAATTAATAAATATTAAGGGGGCATGGGGGTCTTCACGAAAATTTCCTGGAAGTCGACTTTTTAGTTGTTTCTATTAGATGGGAGTGATAACTATCAGCTGCTTTTGAACCCATCGATTTTGACAATCTTGGACCTGGTTTGTTGGCGATTTTTCCAGGTCCAAAATCTTAAAAATCGGATACAAAATTTGAAGACCTCCTGCCACCTCAAGTGGGATGGTACACACTTATGCCTCCAAGGGAAACAACAATATACAAATCTCCATTTCATTAGTCATAATGAATTCTTTGTATGAATGTTTTTTAATTTTCTAACATTTCATGTAGGATGCTGAAAGTAGAACAGTTGCTGGAGAAAGAGATGCCAGCCAAAGAGTCAGCAGACAAAGAGTTGATGGACGAAGAGTTGCCAGCCAAAGAGTTGATGGACGAAGAGTTGCCAGCCAAAGAATTGATAGACGAAGAGTTGCCAGATGAAGAGTCAGCAGACATAGAGTTGCCAGCCAAAGAGTCAGCAGACAAAGAGTTGCCGGACACAAAGTTGGCAGACAAAACCTTGGCAGACGAAGAATCGGCAGACAAAGATTTGGCTGACACTGAGTTGCCAAGCATTATATCCATAGCAAGGAAGATAAAATCATTCAAAGATCTGAATTTAGATGATAGGTTAAATAAAGCAGTTGCAAAAGTTCACTGGCCAAAGCCAACTTTAGTTCAAGCTGCAGCAGTTCCTCTTTCAATGGAAGGAAAAGATATCATTTGCCAATCAAAAACTGGCTCTGGTAAGTTTTAACGTTCAATGAAGGAAGTGCCTACTGTACATAATAATAATCAGATACAGTAGCTTTGATAGTACTAGGTAAATAGATATAAGACATAAGTTATACTAATAGATTAACGGAGTCGCAGGGTGCTTTGAACTAGCTTTCCCCATCAGAATCCAGATCATAAAATGTTTGAAATGTAATAGATGTTGCTTTGAATGTTCCACTCATGGATGAAACGATCCACTGATGAAATTAGATAAAGTCAAAGGAATTTGTACTTTAACTTCTAGAAAATGATGAGTCATTCACTAGAATTGCTTAATTGAGGGAATCCGGAATAATTTATAATTTCGAATAATGACCCCACAGGCAAAACAGGAGCTTATGCATTAAGTGCGCTCCAACTTCTGTTGAAACAGCCCACACCAGTTCCTCTGTCAGTTGTAATCCTTGTTCCAACAAAGACACTTGCAACTCAAACCACTAAAGTTATCAGATCTCTTACTAAGTGGGCCTCTCTCATTTCTGTGGTAATTGTATTGATTATATTATATATATTTATTGTTTTCGTTGCTAGATCATAATTTTGAATCCAAACTTATGTAGTGATAAATGTTTGTGCAGTCAGGATGAAGTTATATACACAAAAGTGGGTACTGTAAGTAAGTTATATACACCAAACTTACTTACAGTACCCACTTGTAATTGTAGGTTGTACGTAACTCGGGGGGGGGGGGGGGGGGGGGGTGGGTGTCTTACTGTTTTTTTGGATAATACGTAAGACACCCACCCCTTTTGCCGCCTTTTGCGGTACTAACTGTCGAAAAATCGTGGTACTAACTGTTTTTTGGTATATAGATTAAGATACCCACCCAGAAATTGCTTTTTTTTAAAGAGCTCATTTAAACTTTAAAGGACTTCAAAACCCACTCCCAAAATTGAAATTTGAAGTAAAATGGTTTTTTTTGGGGTTAGACACCCCCTTTAGTACCATGTACTAACTGTTTTTCTGGAAAATGGGCAGTAGACCCACCAGTTAGTACCATGTACTAACTGTGTTTTTGGGAGAAAAAATGACCCACCCACCAACATGACGTCCGGCACTAAGTGTATGGTCCCCCCCCCCCCCCCCCCCCCCCCGTAACTGGATATGATATCCACTTTCAACATTTCAAATTTATTGATTTTTAGGTAATTCTATTATTATCATAACAGGTAAACCTGTCACATTGCTCGAATGCAGACTCAATGAAGACAGTACTACTACAAGACCCTCATATTTTGGTTGGTACGCCGTCTAGTGTCCTGTCTGCTGTAAAGAATGCCTCCCTCTCCCTAGCAGCCTTGTCTCTACTTATTCTTGACGAGGCTGATCTTCAGTTTTCTTATGGGTTCTCAGGAGATATATCTGAACTTAGGCAGAGCTTCCCTTCAGTTAAACAGACCATTCTGATGTCAGCCACCATGTCTGTGGAAGTAAAGTCACTTTGTCTACATCTTAATGATCCTGTTACCCTTGATGTTACTGCTACAGGTCCTCAGGTTTGTAAGGCTTTCAGATATTTTACGTCTATTTTATATTTCCAAGGTAATAATTATACTGTAGAAAGTTCATATTTTATTCCGGACAAAAATTGGGAATGTTTCATAAAATCTGAGCTGGTTAAGTTTTGTTATAAAATATGATTGACAGGAGAACAAGTTGGACCAGTACGCAATAAAGTGTAATAATGATGATAAGTTTCTGCTGCTGTACACCCTTCTTAAACTCAACCTTATCAGAGGAAAATCCATTATATTTGTCTCAGATACAAACAGGTTCGTTACTGATCACTTATGTTATAAACAAATAAATTGACAAAAAGCTTATTTCAAAAAGCTTATTGATTGAATGAAAATAAATGCAGAATACATACAAAGTTGTACCTGACTGGATTGTGCCCTTCAAGGCTTAACAGTAATCTCTAACAGGTGCTATCAAGTGAAGCTATTCCTGGAGCAGTTTTCAATATCGTCCTGTGTTCTGAACTTTGAACTGCCGGCCAACTGTTTAGCTCACGCTGTGGATCAATTCAATCGGGGTAATTTTTATTTACTATAGAGGGTATTTATCGTTCATCTACATTAAAACACCCGTTGTCGATGATGATTTTTTTTCTCGTTTTTAAAACATATAGTAACTTTCTTAGACATTAAGAAACATGGTGCTCAGATTTATTTTTGTGAAAGTGTAGCGCTGGAAATTTAATACCTACAATCCGTTGACAAAATTTTGTTTACAGATTACTTTCATAATATAAACCTTTTTTTACGCAGGTATTTACGATACGATAGTAACAAGTGATGATGCACAGAACAAAGACCAAAATGTTGCTCGTGGCATAGATTTTCAGTGCGTAGACAACGTGATAAACTTTGATTTTCCTCCAACTCCCGAGCAGTATGTGCATCGTGTTGGGAGAACAGCTCGAGCATTTAACACTGGAACAAGCTTAACTTTCTTAACACCCCAAAATTCTGGGAAGTTTGAGGAACTGAAAAAGTTTTTAAAGAAAAGTTCAGACCAAAATGAAGAGTTTAAGCCTTACAATTTTAACATGACGTCAATTGAAGGGTTCAGATATCGATGTAAAGACGCTTACAGCGCTGTCACAAAGTTTGGTATCCAGGAGACAAGACGTAAGGAAATTAAACATGAAATAATGAACTCAGAGAAGCTGAAGACGTTCTTTACAGAGAACCCCAAAGATTTGGAGGTTTTGAGGCATGACAAAGTGTTGAAGCCTCGTGAAGTCAAGGAGCATCTCTCAACAGTTCCCGATTATCTGGTACCTTCTGCTTTAAAAGGAAGTATCAGACAGAATAAAAGCAAGAAGAAGAGGGAAGTCGACTTTAGTAATAAGAAAAGGATCGGAAATTATAAAGGTCAGGCTTCAAAAAGGAAAGCTGATCCCTTGAAATCTTTTAAGTATAAGAAGGGCAAGGATGCTGAATAGATTTTTAAACGCTTCATGGGATTTATTTTTTATTTTAGAGTAGGTAAGAATGCTTTTCAGTTTTCAGTATCTACCATGATGCAAACCAGGTTTTTATTGTTCATCACTTTTATGAGTTTAGATTGAAATTGGCTAATCTCCTCTGAATTGAATACAAATAACACACGTTATTGCCGACGTTTCGCCCCCATGGCTTCTTCAAGGCGGAACAAAAACTTTGTTACATAGTGACCTCAAATTATTTGTTATATAGTAGTGTTGAAAGTATTAAAACTTTCAAAACTTTTTAATACTTTCAACACTACTATATAACAAATAATTTGAGGTCACTATGTAACAAAGTTTTTGTTCCGCCTTGAAGAAGCCATGGGGGCGAAACGTCGGCAATAACGTGTGTTATTTGTATTCAATTCAGAGGAGATTAGCCAATTTCAATCTAAACTCATAATGATAGACCCTCTGACAAGGGCAAAGCGTCATATATACGCTACAAACTCAATCAAGTTCATCACTTTTACTGACTAATTTATTAAAACTCCTTGATGAATGTTGTATTCTTATCATAACATGTTACAGTTGAAGTTTCAAGTTTTACTGTCCTCACTCTTTCTGTGTCATTTTCAGTTTTAAGGTTTTAATGATCTCATACATGCAAAATGCAAATTTAATGCGGTGAACATAAACGGTGATAGCAAATTCGAGTTTCCGTTATTATCGATACGGTTTATAATTTTATATATAATACGGTATCTTATTTATCAAAGATTAGTTAAAACTATACAAATTTGCTTTAATTGGCCTTGGGTCGATTAAATGATATACCTAATTGTCATTACTCATTAGGCATATACATTATACATAGTCATTAGTTATTGATATGATTGTAAACGATAACTTTTTCAGTATGGAGAAGAATTATGAGAGTAACGGACTCGGCCTAGTCAATAATAGTGAGTGCTCTGTGATGAACAACATTGTAGGGTACGCAAAATCATCATCGTCGTCTGATGGAAATGAAGAAATTGAGGATGTAAAGGAAGAAGTAGTTGATCAAGTTAATGGGCAGAAAGAAGTAGTTTATCATGTTGGTGAGCATGAAGAGATTAATCTTCATGTTGATGAGCAAGAAGAAGTTGGTGATCATGTTGATGAGCATGAAGATATTAGTGATCATGTTGATGAGCAAGAGGAAATTGTTCACCATGTTGATGAGCGGAAAGAGATTAGTGACCAAGAAGATAATCTCGTCAGTACAGCTGATGATATTGCGGAGAACGAAGACCTAGATCTACCAGCGTTGAAGAGACGACCAAAGCGGACCATCAGGCCTGTACAAGACAAAAGTAAGGTTGTTAAATTCGTTGACAGTGATGATAGTTCTGAAGATGATGAGGATCGAGATTGGAATGCTGAAGGAGAAGAACAGAAGAATGCAGTAGGAGGAGGGGAAAGCAATGATAGTGATATTGACAGTGAAGCTGAAGGAAGTGGTGATGAAAGTAACACTGAGGATGAACCACATGAGGATGATGATGGAGTGACAAACCAGGGTAATGATATTGGGATGAAGAGTCAGGAAGAAGAAGAGGAGAAAGCTGAACCAATTAAGATTACTAAGGATGAAATGCCTTTTTTGTTCATTCCAAGAGGAGCAGGAAAAAGACAAATCAAAGTCATCCAGTATAAAAATGAGATTTCAGAAAAAGCAAAAGATATGTCTAGTGGATCAAGTTCGGAGGATGAAGAATGGCAAGCTAAACAAGAGGATATCACAGAACAGATCAGCCAAGAAGAAGGCGAAGAAGACGTAGATTTGAGCAATGTTCCACTGATCAAAGAAAGTGAGATAAACCAGAACAAATCAAAGCCCAAAAAACCAAAAGAGACAACTCAAAAGTCTTCGACTCTCTCTCACTCGGAAGCTCTTGAAATCAGCATCTGCTGTGTATGTTTAACCGGAACAGAGGAAGATAACATACTGGAATGTGACAAGTGTGGTATAACAGTCCACGAGGGGTGCTACGGTGCTCCCCCAACTGATCCTGAAAATGACGAGCTGGACATGACTTGGTTCTGTGAGCCCTGTGTGGCTGATGCTAGTCACGAATGTGAACTGTGCCCTAACAAAGAAGGTGTTATGAAATGTACTGATTCTGGTAAATGGGCTCATATGGTGTGTGCTTTGTACTCTGAAGGTATAGGCTTTGGGGATACTACTCTGTTGGAACCTATTATCACAACGGATATCCCACCCTCTAAATTTGGTTACAAAAAATGTGATTTGTGTGAAGATGAGCGGTTTGCTTATTCTGGACTTGTTGTCGAATGTGATGCTGGATTATGCAAGTCAAATTTTCACATAACATGTGCCCAGAAATTGGGCTATTTGATGGAAAATACCAACGAGGATGTTAAAACTAATCCCTTCTTTACTCACTGCAAAGTTCATGTTGACAAAGACCTTGCTAGACCTAAAAAGAAAGCTTACAGATTGTTGATGGAGCATTTGAACGCAGCATCAAATGATCAGCTTGACGAGCAGTCAAGTCAAATACTCGAGCAAAAAAGAAGAGAATATCTAGTGAGTAGAAAAGGAACAATCGTACCAGCCATCATGACTGAGAGACATCCTCGAGCCCTTTTTGGATCAGTTTCTGCTTTTTCAAAACTAACTAAGAAAGCTGAACTGTTTGGTCTGAACACTCATGTCACAATTGTTGAGGATAATGATTATTCTGACAAACCTATTAAACTGATAAAGCCAGACATATCTAGCGGATTTGCTAAGCAATATGAGACAAGGCAGAAACAGCTGAGGGAAACAGCTGCTAGGTCAAACTACCATTACAAGAATCTAATGAATCTGAGGGAAGAAGAGCAGAAGCTGCAAGCTGAGATTCATGATCTGCAGATGCAGGTGCCTAAAATATCTAAGAAGTATGAAAAGATTCGTAAGCAAGCTGTTGCAATCTGGAAATTCTTATCTTTAGTTGAGCCTACTGAGTATGACATCCCTGATAGTTTAATGCAAAAGCAGAACATTCGAATCAAAGCAAACGTCATCAAGAAAAAGATGGGTCTGAAGTTTTGCCACACCTGTAAACATGGCCAAGCCCCAGAGACCATGGTGGATTGTGACGAGTGTCACAATTGGTTCCACTTTGGTTGTCTTGATCCTCCTCTTACCAGGAACCCCAAAGTTAGCAAGAGATGGGCTTGGTTTTGTACAGACTGCACTAATTCTAAAGTTGGAAGTACAGGTGATGCTGTAAGTGAAAAGGAAAACAGAAAAAGTAACACAGCTACAGTGAAGGATAAAGATAAGAATGGGGTGGAGGTAAAATCGACTAAATATGGTAGGTCCGTGAAGAAACCTGATCACTTTAAAAGCGATCAGGTTGCTAAAGAGAAGCCCCAACCAGTGACATCACACGAATCTCCCAAGAAACAAGTAGTGGAAAGTGTTGTCGCTATCGACTCTTTTCGTAAATCTCATGAAACGCATTGTAGCACATGCTCAAAACAGGATTGCTCTCAGAAATTGTTCTGCGATTTCTGTAAAAAGCACTTTCATTTGCATTGTACAAGTGGAACCTACGAATCTGGCAGTTTTGTTTGTGAGAATTGTGAAGCTTTGACCGCTACAGTCCCAGCTTTAGAAAATAAAACCATAGAAGTTCCTGCTAAAATGTCAGAAACCGAAACCCCGAAATCACAGAGCCAAAAACGCAAGAATATTTTCGAACTTCAGTACGATTTGATGCAGCAGAAAAAGCGCAAAGAAGCAACGGAACCAAAGTTAGACCAATCCAAAGAAGCTGATCTGAATGTTTCAGCTGACAGATCAGATACAACCCTTAAAAACTTAGACACAGACGATGAGATAACAGATCGTGATATCGTAGAAGAACAACTCACTCAAGAAGACCCAGTTGTTTCACCACCTGCCCCCGCTAAACCTTCGTTATTCTCGAATATTCTCAAAGGTATTCAGCAAGCAGTTGCTAAAGTTCCAGAGGATTCCAAAGTTAAGCTTGGGATGAGTCCTGTAAAATCAGTGAAGATAGTTCAGGACAGCCCAGAGATTGATAGCGAGAAGGTGGTTTCAGTTAATGTTGAAATTAGTGAAAGTGACTCACATCAAACCGTGTTGACTATTCTGCCGACAGATTTTTCAAACAGTGACTGTGTCAGCTCTATGAGTTTAAGTAAGCCCGCTATTGTAAGTCAAAAACAGCAGTCTGATTCAGAGGGAAGCTTGCCAGATGTTTTTAGCGATTGAAGTAGAATTTTAATTCATGATATTTTTATATTTATTGAAAATCAAATTTAAGAACTTCAGCGTTTCAGGTTATTTTACCTTTCATAACTGAAATTTTGGCCTGCGATGCAATTTATGAAAAACAAATGGTTTTCACAAAATGATGTTGTACTGACAATCAAGAAATTAAGATCTTTCAGATTTGAAGTAATTTCAGGATCAGTTATATTTATTAAGATAATACACGAATACACGCTAGTTTTATGATTAAGTTGTTTGATTGACTTATATTTATTGTCCAAACTATTATTTTACTACATTTCACTCATTGTAGATCAAAACTGAGAAATTTTTTCTTCTTCTTAAAATTGTAATACTCTGCAGTCAAAAGCGACTCTTTCGCTAAATAAAAAGCATCATTTCCTCCACAAATATTCAAACTTATTACATATCAAGTTATTTCTTAACTAAAATATTATACTGATAATCAATATTTCTAAATTAGTTTTCAAAAGCGATGGTGGTGGGCTTTATCTCATCAGAAGATTTGATTCAGCTCACATCTCTGATGCCAAAGATTAGTGGACGAGCAGAGCTTGTTTCCCAGCTGATAGAATCTTTTCTTCTAACAGACAAAATGGAGATTGTTGAACCTAACGACATTTGTGGGTAAATCCTAGCTTATTATAATGTAGAGTCTCTATCTCTTTTGCTTACTTAACTTATAAATATCCACACTGTTCTTCAATAATAATAAATATTAACTTTGTTTTACCATATTTCCAGGCTCCAGCTCATGGAGTTTCACTCTAAAGAGTATGTTGATACCTTGGAAAGTTACTCCCATCAATCAGAAGATGAACAGAGATTAAAACAGTTTGGGCTGGGTAAGTCAACCCTACAGAATATTCAATTTATAATTTCAACAATTAAAGGGCCTTAACTTAGTAAAGTGACTTAATTGGAGTTTTGGCCAAAATGAATCGGGGATAATTTGTTCCAAAGATCACTTTCGTTCAGAGTTTGACTGTCCACCATTTCCCAAGATGTTTAGAACGGTTTGTGCTATCGGTGGAGCTTCAATTACTGCTGCAGACGAATTGGGGCAAGGTTATTTTAAAGTAAGTGGTTATTCTATTCGTGTGTAACGTGGTTAAATAATAGAGTTGATGAATCCAGATTTTTGGAACATTTTTGGAACATGTGCCAAAATTGTGCCAAAAGTGTGCCATGCATTTATTTGCCCTAATGAGCTCTAAATAGTGCCAAAAATAATTGTAAATGATGGATATATTTGCAAGCTAGGTCTAGGGGCCATCGAAAGTAGCATAACATTACCCAGGTTCATGGAATGAACGAAAATGAACAAAAATGAATATTGTCCTAAAAATGCTCAGAATGGTTTAAAATTGGTCGGAAAGTGTTTATATTAGTCCTAGGACCACTCAAACCAAGTTTGGGAATCACTGCATGTCTAGAACCGATGTTACCAATGTTCCAAAATGTTCCAATTTTGGCACAATAATCCTCCTGAGAATCCAGATTTTTGGAACATGGGCACATCGAAGTATTGGCTGTATTTAAGTGCTGGGAAGCCTCAATTCGGTTTTCTAAGATGGATATAGGTAAAAACTAGGCCTAAGAGCCATCAAAACTCAAATAACATTACCCAGGTTCATGGAATGAACGAAAATGAACAAAAATGAATATTATCTTAAAAATGCTCAGAACGGTTTAAAATTGGTCGGAAAGTGTTTATATTAGTCCTAGGACCACTCAAACCAAGTTTTGGAATCACTGCATGTCTAGAACTGATGTTACCAATGTTCCAAAATGTTCCAATTTTGGCACAATAATCTTCCTGAGAATCCAGATTTTTGGAACATGGGCACATCGAAGTATTGGCTGTATTTAAGTGCTGGGAAGCCTCAATTCGGTTTTCTAAGATGGATATAGGTAAAAACTAGGCCTAAGAGCCATCAAAACTCAAATAACATTACCCAGGTTCATGGAATGAACGAAAATGAACAAAAATGAATATTGTCCTAAAAATGCTCAGAACGGTTTAAAATTGGTCGGAAAGTGTTTATATTAGTCCTAGGACCACTCAAACCAAGTTTGGGAATCACTGCATGTCTAGAACCGATGTTACCAATTTTCCAAAATGTTCCAATTTTGGCACAATAATCCTCCTGAGAATCCAGATTTTTGGAACATGGGCACATCGAAGTATTGGCTGTATTTAAGTGCTGGGAAGCCTCAATTCGGTTTTCTAAGATGGATATAGGTAAAAACTAGGCCTAAGAGCCATCAAAACTCAAATAACATTACCCAGGTTCATGGAATGAACGAAAATGAACAAAAATGAATATTGTCCTAAAAATGCTCAGAACGGTTTAAAATTGGTCGGAAAGTGTTTATATTAGTCCTAGGACTACTCAAACCAAGTTTGGGAATCACTGCATGTCTAGAACCGATGTTACCAATGTTCCAAAATGTTCCAATTTTGTCACAATAATCCTCCTGAGAATCCAGATTTTTGGAACATGGGCACATCGAAGTATTGGCTGTATTTAAGTGCTGGGAAGCCTCAATTCGGTTTTCTAAGATGGATATAGGTAAAAACTAGGCCTAAGAACCATCAAAACTCAAATAACATTACCCAGGTTCATGGAATGAACGAAAATGAACAAAAATGATATTGTCCTAAAAATGCTCAGAACGGTTTAAAATTGGTCGGAAAGTGTTAATATTAGTCCTAGGACCACTCAAACCAAGTTGGGAATCACTGCATGTCTAGAACCGATGTTACCAATGTTCCAAAATGTTCCAATTTTGGCACAATAATCCTCCTGAGAATCCAGATTTTGGAACATGGGCACGTCGAAGTATTGGCGTGTATTTAAGTGCTGGGAAGCCTCAATTCGGTTTCCTCCAAGATGAATATAGGTAAAAACTAGGCCTAAGAGCCATCAAAAGTCAAATAATTACCATGGTTCATGGTGACGAAAAGACGAAAATGATTGGTCCTAAAATTCTCAAATTTCCAAAGTTGGTACGAAGTAGTTTATATGGTCTAGGCACTCAAACCATTGTGGATCACTGCATGTCAGACGATGTTACCAAGTTCAAAAGTCAATCATGTTAGCATACAACACTTTCGACCAATTAAACCGCATCTGAGCAATTCCAAAGAGTTACGAAAGAGCATAAGCCAACAACAGACTATTCATTTACGTACTGTTAAAGTTCGTATTCGCACCCCTCGTAACGGTTCTGGCAGCAGCGATTCCGTAAACACGTCAGACGTACACAATGTAACCCTATATTAGATCAAATCAGTATCATTTTATACATACTCGTAATAGATTGGAAGCAAATTAAAAGAATGTGAGATTTGAATAAGGTGTATCAGGTACAGTTGCGATCTATTTGGCATGTATCCGGATGTATAGGTAAATAGTCATCACAATAGGATTATACTTAGCAAGCTTATAATGAATAAAAGATAAATGTAATAAGTATACAAACATTTTCCCTCTCTGTATAACTCCAACAACAACAGGACGAATGAATCCTTACAAATTGATGAGTACCTTGTACTACCATCAAAGAAGCCGGCTGTTAGCTCACTAACCACACTTCACACAGCCTTCATCCGTGAGAAACTCACCCACACCTACTACGAACAACCTTCACCAGCAACCTGACCTCGCTCATACACCTTACCCGCAACTATGCCCTCAACGAACAATAAATGGTATGATTCAAACATTTATATCAATAATTGGGGATTATTTAAAACCAAAATATTGCAATAATAATTGACCTGTCTTGGAGGTACTGTCTAATTGTACATATTCTGAGCAATTTAAGACATGTGGAGAAATATGATCTTGCACCATATTTTTACCATTCTGAGCTTTAGGAAATTTAATTTGGTATCATTTACAGTTCATTCTATGAACCGGAATTTATTTTAGTTTTGGATGCTCTTAAACCTAGTTTTACTTATCCATCTAGAAAACGATTGAGCTTCCCCAGCACTAAATACGCAATACTTCGATGTGCCAGTCCAAAAATCGATGTCAGAGGATTAGTCAAAATGAAATTTTGGAACAGTAATCGTCTAACATGCAGTATCCAAACTTGTTACGGTCTAGACTTAATATAAACGTATTCGACATTTTAACCTGTCTGACTTTTAGACAATATCATTGTCATTTCGTTATCAGAAGCACTGGTAATGTTATTTAAGTATTGATGGTCCTAGCCTAGGTTTACCTATACACTAGAAAACCGAATGGAGATCCGAGTTCCCGCACTTAAATACAGCCATCTTGCGGATTTGTCCCGTTCCAACGAAATCGGATCATAGGAAGAAAATGTGCCACAAATTGAACATTGGAACCATGAACATCAGTATCATAACACCATGAGTCCAACAACTGGTGATGGTCTAAGGAGAGTATAAACATCGACCACTTTTAAACTATATCATCTAGAAACCGAATTGAGCTTCCCAGCACTACCAGCAATACTCGGTTCCATTTCCAAAAATTGATTCTCGAAGATTTCTGTGCAAAATGAACATTTGGAACATTCCTAACATCAGTTCTAGACATGCAAGGATTACAAACTGGTTGAGGTCCTAAGACAATAAACTACTTCCCACCCATTAAACCGTTCTCTGGACATTTTAGGAAAATTCATTTGTCAATAATTCGTTCATCTACATGAATCCATCGGTAATTTATTCATGAGTTTATGAAGTTTAGGCCTATTTCTCCTATCATCCACTTAGAAACGAATTGGGCACCGATTAACATACACAATTGTCGATGCCCCTGTCCCAAATGACGTTACAGAAAACAATGACCACTCAAACGGTAGACATCATATTCAACTTGTATTGGTGGTCCTAGCATGTAAAATCCGACCATTAACATTGCTGAGACTTGAGAAGAATGTTCATTTTCGTTCATTTCTGTCATCATGGTAATTTAACGACTTGATGGCTCTAGGCCTAGCTACGCTACCATCTAGAAACGAACTGAGCTTGCCAGCACTACCAAATCGCCAATACTGCGAATGACCCATGTTCAATTTATGGATTATCACTGAATAATATCAGTTTGAAAGCTTCGTTGCAAATCGTGACGCGCGAATACAAATTCGTGATTTAAGTACCATTCGTTGAACGCGTTCTGTGGTCTGCACTCGAGTTATGTTGCTACGATTAATAAGTCGAACACTGACATTATAAATTATTAAAATGTTTTGCTTGACGACTATTGGATATGATAACCAACAACCGAGTTACATTCTTAGTTGTTTATAACTGTTTGGCTCTGCATACTGGACAATCTGATAAACCGAGGTTTTGTATAGTAACGATTGTAGTTTAGTATCATCGCAGTAGGAACTACTTTCAGGTAGTAACGGAATTACACCTTGTCATTTGGCTACTTCATATCCAGACATTTTTTATACGAACTTACAAATTTATCAATTAAAGTGGACAATCGTACAATTCACATTTCATTGTTTTGTGTATTTGCGCTGATTTTGATATTCTATGCCTTGATTGTATCCATAGTTTATACATAATGTGATTTTACACACGAAAATTGTTGTCGAGACTGATTATTACCAAATCGCGTATTTACGTACTCTAACCATACAGAGTGTTTTATCCGAATCTGTGGACAGAGTTTGGGGAAGGAAGAGGAATTGCTACTCCGCAGAAATCCTCTAAATGAGGAGCTAATGATCACTATTCAACGGTAGATTCCTTTCTTCTTGTGACTTGTTTAATTAACAAAAGTATAAACGTATCATGAAATTCAGATTATAAATTTACTTTGTTCATTGCAACATGTTCAGGTATTGACAGGTCATGGAGTCACTCTAGTAGAGAGGTTGTTATACCTTGAAAGTATATTGCCATCAGTCGACGGAGTTGCTGAGATCTCAACCAGTTATCTGGTTAAAGTCATTTCTACAGTTATATTCGAATTTATAGTCATTTCACGAATTAAAGGTTTCTTGTGATCATGACTTAATTGAGTTGCAAAATGAATGGTGCTAATTGATTCAAATTATGAATCAGCATTTCTATCAGAGTTGACTTATCGCATTTCCAAGAGTAGTTATACGAACCTTTTTGGAGTGTCGGGTACAATTCAATTACCCGACTGACAGAAATTGGACAGGTATATTTAAAGTAATAGTTAACTTCTTTGTGTGAAACATGTTACAGATAAATTTATTTTAAGGTTTCTGTTGTCAAATTTAGGAAAATTCTATTATATAAGATTGTGTCCGCATACGTTTCTGCGAAGCCGATTTGTTAAGTACGTATCATGAGAAGTCGCGAACATAACACTTACAATATTAGAGTTTGCATGGAAGATTAAATGAATAAGATAACGAAATACATCTGTATCTAGACCTTATAATTGTTATAAACTTGGATTATGAGACGTTTTATTTTTCAATGTATTATACCAGATTAAGCCAGTGCTATTTGATTTGTAAGATTGTGTTTAAACAGCAATTCACGGTTAATAAATATTATTCCAAGGTGAGTACGAATTTACATCACTTGGCTGACTTGCTTCCAATTTACTAACGAACTTACAAATTTATCAAACTGTAAAGTGGACAATCGTGCACAATGTCACATTCATTGGGTTTTGTGTATTTGCGCTGATTTTGATATGCTAATGCCTTGATTGTATCCATAGGATATTATACATAGATGTGGATTTACACCACGGAAATGGTGTCGAGACTGCATTTTACCAAACATCAGCTGTATTTACGTACTCTATACACAAATACGAGAGTGGTTTTTATCCGGGAACTGGTGGACAGGAGTCTGTGGGGGAAGGAAGAGGATTGGGCTACTCCGTCAATATTCCTCTTAAAGACGGAGCAACTGATGCGACACTTCAACGGGTGGGATTCTCTTTCTGTCTTGTGACTTTGTTTTAATTAACAAAAGTAGGAAACGTATCATGGAAATTCAGCATTGTAAATTTCTCTTTGTCATTGCAACATGTTGTCAGGTGATTGAAGGTACATTAGACGCAGTAGTAGAGCGGTTTAAACCAGATGCTATAGTGTGCCAGTGTGGTGCTGACGGAGTTGCTGGAGATCCTCACCAGGTTATCATTGTTAAACTGCTCATTTTTACTGTTTTATTTCGAATTTTAGGTCATTTCACGATATTAAAAGTTGTCTGTGATCCTACCTTTACAATTGAATGGTCCTAACTTGATAACTAGAATTATGACCATTTCAGGCATTTAACTATACACCGAGTGGATTATCTGCAGTAGTCTCAAGAGTAGTCTCATACAACCGACCAACCCTTTTATTGGGAGGGGGCGGGTACAATCATCCCAATGTAGCCAGAACTTGGACCAAAATTACAGGTACTGAATCTTTACTAATAGTAACTAACATTTAACTTGCTTTGTTGAATCACATTCTACCAGAAAATGTGTATTTTATGTGTATTTTCTTACGTTTGCAAATTTGGAAATTTATTAATATAATGATGGTGTCCCGGGCTAATATATCGTTTTCAGCCGATTTGTTAAAAGTTAACGTATCCGATGAAGAAGTCCCCGAGCATAAACACTTCACAGAGTACGGCCCAGGGTTTGAAATGAAGATTAAACCTAGCAATAAGAGGAACGAAAATGACAGTCTGTATCTAGACTCTGTAATAAACTCTGTTAATAAAAACTTGGATTCGATGAAATGACGTTTTAATTTTTTCAATGTATTTATTTCAGTATTGCTCATGTTTAGTATTATGATATTTGTTGTAAGATGTGTATGTAAACACAGATATTCATCGTTAATAAATATTGCATTCCAAGCCGATATAATCTCTAATCACTTGCTGACTTGCTCCAATTATATCTTCATAGTGATTCATTCAAGAAGATGATATAAGTAATAACTTCGTAGTACGACAACTATGTTTGACTTTTGTAGGTTCCCAAAGAAGGTTATTGATAGTACTAATATCATTTCAATTGTACTGTTTTTGCAGTATGTCAAAGGATGATGGGGGAGTAGGGGCTCTCAAAGCTGGCTTAGCCTCTTTTAGCCGGCTGTTTGATCATAGAGCTATCATTCAAGGTACGACAATACTTGATAAGACTTATTTGACTATTAGCCATCAAAACTAATTTCCTATCGCAAAAGTGCAACTTTAATAAGCCTGACTGTTTTATCTCATTAATATGATTATTATGATTATCATGAGTACAAGAAACCTGTTTAAACAAGTTTAATGATCCAGGAGAAGCACGTTACTTTATAGAGGAGTTCCAGAACAAGAGAAAAGGAAGTGAGGGAGTAAAGTTGGCAGAATGCCAGCAGATGATTGAGAAGCACTGTGGAGAGACACTTCCAGCAGCTGCTGCTACTGCTGACTCTAAACTCAACCTGCTTGACAGACAGGTTCTACATCTTACTGAGGTGAGATATGGGCCGGGATGGGGAGGGGGGGGGGGGGGTTAGGGGATTTGTTACCAAGCTGGTTGCTAATGTAGATCGTCCTTTCCTTGTCAAATCAGGAAAATCAGCATTTCGTCTCGAGAGACTCATAAAACAAAACTTAATAAAATTGCACGAAAATAACAACACTCTGACTCTCTCAGTTGTGTGACCTAATCCTGCCGGACCGTATAGACGCAATGATGGACTCTAACACACCTTACTCCCGACCCCCTTCTCCGGGCCAAGATACTGATTGGGACGAGTTTATGAGGAGTATGGACGAAGAGAAGAAGCTTATAGATCAGCTGTTTGATAATGAAATAGAACAATTTAAAATCTACCTTGACAAACATGGACCAGGTTGATTTGTTAGTAACTTTATAGTGTAGTAGAGATAATGGAGTGGCAGAGAAAATGGGGTGGCAGAGAAAACAGGGGCAATTTTGTAAAAAGTGTTGTTCTGCGCGAGGAAAAGCAAATGACAACCAGAACTTTCAGAGGGATATATTTTTCAGATTCTTGATCCTTTTAATGTGAATATATTGATTGTGTTGATGATTTTTATGTGTTTTATAACGATTTTTTCTTTTTAATTGTTGGTCTATCATTGGGATTTATTTGGGTATTTCAATGGATGTTTATTGTTTAAGCGTCTTAACAATTAGTATATTTTTACAGATTTACGCTTACTGTTTTTAGCTAAAGAGAATGTTGATTCCGTTTTTAAGAGAATGAACGTGACCTTCCCTTGAGAAGCAACGTTTATTCCTCTAATAACAATCCATCCCACATTAAGCAATGTTAGATTGGTGTAAGAGAACTATAAACCGCTACAAAAAAGGGTTGTTAACAGGGGGTGCGGTTACCACCGGTGTAGTTGCTGTGGGTTACGCGTGCAAACAGAAACTGTTGTCATGGCAACAGGAGCATATGGAACAGTTACTAAGGAATTCTCATACAGAACAGCATTATTTACAACACTACCACAACATGAACACTACTCTTATTGGGTTTGTTTGAGAATGTTAACAGTATTTTAACCTTCATCAAAGCTAAGCACTGAATGTATTATCAATCTTTACCTATTTAATTACATGTTGAACGATGGTTCATATATTTGTAGCAGGTTTTATATAATAATTAACACCGTCTATTGTTTCAGTTACTTCGGAAAGCTACATCAAAGAATATCAGAACTGTGCGAAACAGACGTGACACTGCGCAATCTCAAGGACGGCTCAGTATCCAAAGTAGAAGGATGGGAGCTGCTGAGAAAACAGGTTCTCACTAAACTCCTCCTCTCTCTCTACTCCTCAACTCTGCTCTGTGTGTTCCTATCAGTACAGTTAACAGTGGTTAAAGCTAAGATCCTCCAGTCCATATCAGATGGTTCTGACAGTGCATCAGTTAACATCACCACCAAATCCTACCTTTCTAAAATAGCCCTGCTTCTAGAACATTCTGTGCCTAAGATTCTGAAGATATGTGAGGGGGAGGTGGATAGAGTGTTTAGTGACTTTGGGTTGGACAGCAGTGTTAACTTTGGTGATGTGAGAGTGCTGCTGGATAATGTTAGTGTCAGGCAGCAGATGGATCTTGTGAGGTTGTGTAGGGTAGATCTGGGGGATGATATTATGGATACCCAGCTTAAGGAGGTCATACTCGTTACTATAGATGTGTTGGAGAGCCAGGATTACAGGTAATTCTATTGTTAGTTAAACTAACTACAGCCTAGTAGCTAGGATTACTGGTACTGTGATTTCTAGTTTTATTGTGTTTTCCTACAATAAGAAGAGTTTATAAAATTCCGTTCTGTTCCGTTGTTCCATGACCTACTTTTTAAAACGATTAAAAGTACTATTAAATAATTAATATTTTCAGCAATACATACCACACGTTTGTGTCCCACGCACAGGAGTACTACTGCAAAGAAATATCAAAAGTAGTGCAGCAAGACTCTGTACTCCTCGCCAAACTCCTCTCTCCCCTTAACAAGATACCCACCAGGATATTATCTAGCGAGAAGGAGGAGTATATCTCACACATGTTAGATTGTGGGGCTCTTAAAGTGTTGTGTTGTAATTTGTATCATGGTCTCACTGCTACATGAATGTAGGAGGGGCAACCCTGAACCCAATGTTTGGTAATTCTTGGTTTATTATCCCCTCATACGGGGTATCAGTTCTGATTAAATGTTAATACGATACAGTTTCTGTCAGAATATTTCAAAATAACAGATCAAAAGGGTACTAAAGTTTGCATTATAAGCTCTGCTTTCTTTATTTTCTTTAAGACCGTTCAGTTGATGACATGTGACATGTGCACGACAGTGCATTTAGTAAATATTTTGTCGTCGTTTTGTTTCTTATTTAAATTTCGATTATTGGATGTATATACTTGATATCAAATATTACGCATTTTTACTGGTCTCTGCAATTTCAACACCTTGATTAACGTCTTACAAAGTCAGCTTGATTTTGTGTTAGGTTCTCAAACAATAAAGATACAATTTTAAGATGTTAAATTGTTTTCATTCCCAGTCATGGCAGAGTTTTTGGCCTCCATTTTCGGCACAGAAAAGGACAGGGTAAACTGCCCCTTCTACTTCAAGACTGGAGCTTGTACGCATGGAGAGAGGTGAGCTTTAACAATAGTTACACTTTTCTAGTTACTTTCTTATTGTTTCTCTTTCATGTTTTATTTATAAAATATCAACTTCTTACAGAAAACACATCTAAGTTCTTCTTGTGTTGGGACAGATAAGTTGTGACAGATTATCTCCCCCAGGTGTTCCAGACAGCACAACAGACCAACATACAGTCAGACAGTACTCCTAAACCACATGTACCACTGTCCTGCTAACTTCTCTCTAAACCCCGAACTAAAGAACAACGGGGGCTTCACTGAGGTATAGTTTAGTTTCATATTACTTCGCAGCAGGATTCAAAGTTATACAAATATCGTCCTTAGCCTTTTTTTGACAAAGAAAAAATAAAATTTTGGGATTTTTTATCACCTTGGTATTATATTTTTTGGAAGTGCAAATAAATACGAATGATTAAACTTCCTGTATTCTCAGGAGTTTCTGCAGGAGCACTTTGACGAGTTCTTTGAAGATGTTTACGTGGAGTTGACTGATAAATATGGGCCCATCGAGGAGCTTAACGTCTGTGAAAACCTGGGGGATCATCTTATAGGTAAAATCTTTGCTTTTCGACTTTATCGACATATTTAGTTGATGAGATCATTAAAATGCGAAGTTGGGTCGATGCTTAGATCGGGGGATTTTACCCTGCAGCTATAAGATCTTGGATACCGCAAATGTTATTTAAAATGCATTGGTAGATTTCCGGATTTAAGAATTTGGTATGATGAGCTACTAGTTACTACCTGTAACTCTTAGGTAATATCTACGTGATGTTCAAGTCAGAGGACGACGCTTCTAAGTGTGTTACAGATCTCAATAACAGATGGTTCAGTGGGGCCCCCATATACGCTGAGCTTTCACCTGTCACAGACTTCAGGTAAACAAACACTGTTTTCACTCAGAGCTCCAATTTATAGGGTTTCTGTTGCTTAGTTGTGGGGTTTTCTTGACTTTTTCCGATTAAATCTACTTTGGCCATAATCAAGATTAGAAATATTCGGTTTGGCCTTTAACAACTGTTATTTTAATACCAATATTGGTCTGTTCTCAGAGAAGCATGCTGCCGACAGCATGAAACATCTGAGTGTACTAGAGGGGGTTACTGCAACTTTCTTCACGTCAAAGCCTGCTCAAAAGAGATACGGAGTAGACTGGGACTAGAACACTTTGGTAAGGGGCGACACATCAAAGGAGGAGGAGGAGGAGGAGGAGGGGGAGGAGGAAAAGGAGGAGACAAACGGAGATCACGGTCACCTAGACGTAGAAGACACTAGAAAACACTTGAATACACTAGGAGACAATTGGAGTCTGGAGACACTAGCAAACTATACACTACGATACACTGGAAATATTGGAGACAGTGGGACTCTTGCTCTCTTGGAGGCAGTGGGAGACTTCTGACTATTGGAGATAGTTAGACACTTTTACATATTGCAACTGTTCATATTGTGTTAGTTGGGGTCGATGTAGATGTGTCCACGAACTTGTTTTTCACTTTTCGTCATCGATATTTTGAGAATTAACGGTTCAGTTGTATACTGTTCGGGTTCTCGGAGTAATTAATTTTTAAGGCTGATTAATTTTTCCAGTTTCGACTTTTCGACAAGACTGATCGTAATTATGACTGCTGTGAAATTGTATTTTCTTGAGTTAAACAATAAGTTTATCAAATTATGAGTACGAAATATTTCTTTATATTTTATTGTAACAAATTACAGATTTAATTCAAATGTTCGGATTGGAAGATCAAGTATTTGTAGGTCATTAAAAAATCGCTTTTTGTATCCACGACACTTACCATCTTACCAGTGCTACCTTCTTTTTAACCATCAAAACCGAGTTAAAACATTCTCGTTAGTCTCTAGAATCATGGACTACGATCCGCGAGATTTCTACGATGAGATCGAGGCCCAGTTTGCTGATGAAATGGAGGCAATGGGAGATTTTCAGAAAAAACCTGAGGATGAAGATCCCTCTGGTTACATGTGAGTTGCAAGCAATCTTCTTTCATCATGAGAATTTCATTTTTAATGCTGAAATGATGATTTAGTCATCTAAAATTAACATTTGATCAGGGTGTCGGATGAGATGCTAAAGCGAGCCATGGAAGAAGAAGCTCTCCTTGCAAAAGACAAAGAAAATAAGTCTCCAAAAACAAATCACCACTCTTCAGATCCCATTGAAAATCAACTAAAATCTCTAACAGAATCCTTGAAGAGAGGGAGCAATAAAACCATTGTAAACAGCGACACAACTCCACCTACTATTGAGTTCAGTTTCATGAACTCTTCCACAACTACAACCCCCATACAGATCAGGAACAGTTTCAGAGGCGGGGTGGGGGCTCAGGGGGTGGCACCTCATAAGCGGAAAACTAGCGGTGGGGGTTTGTTTGGGGACGAGCTCGAGATTGTGGAAGAGGTAGAAACAAGCAAACGTTCTAAGATTGATCGCGAAAGTGAAAAGGTAACCCCATTACAATTGATGAACTATTAATGTTGTCATGATTCCCATGATTGATTCAAAAAATTGATTCGAAAATCTCAGATGATTCAGTCGAATTAGTTAATCGAATGTCCTTTATTTTAGGTTTACACAAGAGTTCCAGATGGAGACTTTATCAGAGTTACGAATGAATCACAACGGGTTTACTTGAAAGTCAAACCTTTCATCGAAAAAGTTGCTTCTAAAAACCCATCAGACAGTTTCTTGGCTCAACCTTTCGAGTATCTCAAATCACAGGTACAAAGGATCAAAACTTGGAAGTTCTGATTTTTAAATGAAATTTGGTTTGTTTTCATGCTCATAATTGTGATAAGTTTCTTCGCACACTATATGAATTATGTGCTGATAAGAATAAATACCAAACATGTTTGGTCGCTTTCGAATTTTCTCCTATAAATTTCCTAAAGCGGGGGGGGGGGGGGGGGCCAATGGCTACTTTTGGGGACTTGGGGAATTACGTCAACGATTTTACCCCGAGTCCCCATGATTTTTAGTCCCCATTAGTCCCCAAAAGTCTCCATTAGTCCCCATTTAGATGATTTTTAGTCCCCATTAGTCCCCAAAAGTCTCCATTAGTCCCCATTTAGATTTATCCTACTCTTATCTTGGACAAAACATCTCGATCGTATCGTTATTAAACTAACTTGAAAACCATAAATAACTGTCAAAAATTCTGGGGACTTATGGGGACAAATGGTGAATTACGTCAACGAGTTGACCTCAAGTCCCCATGATTTTTAGTCCCCATTAGTCCCCAAAAGTCTCCATTGGTAGTCATTGGCCCCCCCCCCCCCCCCCTAAAGCAGAAAACAAAACTTCCCCGGGTCCCCATGTACTGTTATATTGATTATGTTAATCTTCAGGTGATGAGGGACTACCGTGAGAAGAGAACGGAAATAGAAGCTGCTGTATCACGCATCAGATCACATGTCGTACCTGCAGCCGGATCGGGTGACACTACAGTTCCAGGTATCGGGGAGAAGGAAAAGTCGAATCTTTGGGTCGATGATTACATGTGAGTCTTGATGTTTATAATACCATATTGTATTAGAAACATTAAACTTTAAATTTTAGTTTGGAAACCTTTCAATAATGCAGATGATTATTGGCCGACCCACCAACTAGTGGTTGTCATTATAAGAACACAGATTAACACACTAATACTGACAGGCCGACAAAGTACGTAGATCTGCTGAGTGATGACGGAGTGAACAGGTCAGTGTTACACTATTTGAAGCTGTGGGACGGGGTAGTGTTTGGTAAGAAGATGAGAGAGAAGGCCCCTGTTGAGAAGCCCAAGTGGCAGAGTTACGAGGACTGGCAGAAGTACCAGAGGTTCCAAGAGCCTGACTACGATGAGAAGGGCTTCCCTTTTAAGAAGGTGAGTTTGTTGGAGTTGACATGTGACCACGGACCAATTAAATTCCACAATCAATCAATCAATGTCACGTCGTGTCAAACAAAATCTTTGCACCTATTAATTAAAAAAACTTAACTCCTGTTTCAAATAATATGTATGTCTAGTAAATATTATATCTCCTATTTTCAGACAATATTGGTTTCCGGCCCCCCTGGACTTGGGAAGACCACCTTAGCTCACATAGCTGCTAAACATGCTGGTTATAACGTTGTGGAGATGAATGCTAGCAATGACCGGTATGTTAAATCTGGACATATTATATGTCACATATATATGTGACATACATATAAGTTTTAAACTAATTACAACACTACAAATCTATTACATTTATTGAGGATTATGTAATGTAACGTGATGGAAATATTTTAAACGGGCATATCCTGTCCAAACCCAGGATGCACTACATGAAGAATTCGTTGTAACTTTGTTTAAAAAGCATTAATATTATAAGACGTCACATATATGTCAAATGTTGGAAATAATTACAACATGTCTTAATTATATGCTTACAATTAGTTTCACATCCTATTTCTGTCCTTTAAACAAATTGTCCTATTGTCAGGTCAGCAGCGCAGTTTGGAGAAGCGATAGAGAACTCAGTGACCATGACTGGAGTGCTTAATAAAGATAACAGCCCCAATTGTCTTATAATTGATGAAATTGACGGTGCGGGTGCTCCAGCTATCCAGGTAGAGTGTTACTTCATCTTCATTGTTTATTGTTTGTTTCTGTTAGTTTCAAAATTTACTCCCTAAAGTAAAATTTTCCTTATGGAACAGAGACTTGAACATGATAATCTTAAGCTATATTCCCTATTAGATATATATATAATAGGGAATATAGCTTAAATTGTACATAGTATAGACACGTCCATATACTAGTGTAACCCGTGTCTTCGGCCGGGACTTCACTATCGCAGTTGAATTGCAAAAGTATAAACGGTGCAAAAGCATGAACTCGCCCAGTAGAAACCAGCCGTATTATAGTCAATTTAATTCTGAGCGCCCAACACGTATCCAATAGTAATACTTAATAGGCAATCTTGCGGCTCCTGGCTCTACTGCCATAATATTACCTAATTATATGTTGTTTGTTTGTTTATGGAACCCGTCCCCAATCTCGTATTTGAAAATGACTAAACTCAATTCTGAGTGTGAATACGGGCGGTACTTGCAAGTGTGTTCATTAAGCATTTAGAGTTCTGTAAAACTGCAGTTACAATTATTGTGGTAGAGTATTTTTAGTATTAACGATCGATATCAGATCTCGATCCCTACATGCTTCCAAAATTGGAAGTACAATGTACTGGAATGTTTGAAAAAAAAGTGATATAGAAATAAAATCAACGATTTAATTTTAGGAAAGTAAAATTAATTCTCTGGTTTCTTAAGTCAGCTTTAAAGTCGGAAAATCAAAGTATGTAACGTCGATACCAAACCGTTTATTGAGCGATGATAGCTAAGTAGTTGATTCTTGGGTTGCAGAGTCCTCCTGATTCCTCAGTCTTTGAATGTGGTTTTTGTTCTTGTTCAGTTCTGTCCATATTTCCTCGTGTTATGTTCAAAGTTTTGTGTCATGTTGTCCTCAAATTATTTGTTATATGTTTGGTATAGGACAAAGTCATCGTGTCACTAAAATCATCAAATTCTACCGTAATATCATTACATCATACTCATCACTGTCAAAATTAACAATACGAAAAAGATCAGTTCTTCGGAGAAAAATTTAAAATACGTAGTTTGTGTGAAACACCCAAAGCTAATAATGCTTGCTAAGACTAGTTCAAAGACAGTTCGTCGAACTGATCCAATTTATCGTCCTCTGTTGCACCACTAGCTGCAGCCACACCAATACTACCGTCAGCTAACTTCTTATACCAGCCGGGTAAAAACTCCTCCTCTCCACATTTTAAAGATATTGGTCCCAAACCCTTGTATTCCACCAGCCAGGTTTTATTTCCACTTGGTAATGCTCCGTATATCCAATCAATGATATCTCCTATGAACCCGATCATAGCATTGGCGTCGTCAGCTTTTAATATTGATCCTGCTATTTTATCCATTGGTAGTGTTACAGGGTTTTGATGCACAGTCCCACTCCGTTCTTTCCAACCAAATAAAATTATATCAGCTTTTCCAAGATAAGATTGTAGCCAAGCCAGCGGTAATTTATCAGCAAATTTGTGCTGAAAGCATGTTTTAACTTCCACAATCATACCGTCCTTTCTTACGGCATCAACCTCCGCGCTTATCAGGACGTTTGTTCTTCCAATCTTTCCCTTGAGCATTTTATAAGTGGCTTTGATTCCTGGCTCCTGTTTAATCACATATTCTTCAAATCTCATACCCCAATAAGTATTTTGGACACCCCAAGCATCTAGATTCTGAGATTCAACAACTCTCCTGATGTACATCTTTCCTGCATACTTGCAAGCTTCAAGTTTCCAGGGATTTTTATAATAGTTGTGGTTGGTGTATCCTATTTCCTTTAGAGCCCCTCTCTCTGCGATTACATCTACATCGGATATAGATTTGTAGCCGTCCTTACTCACATTGATCCACTTTAAGACGTTTTCCCAATTCGAAGAATAGTTATTGACCCAATTGGGATCGTAATCCTCATTCAAATTTAACGGTAACTGGAATTGCTTCAGGGTTGGGCTTTTAGCCTCGCTGATGAGTTTCCCATCTTTAGTTATGGCAAAAGTACCAACTTCTTTTGGTTTGTACGCGGTGTAATTTTGTAGATTCGAATACTCTGAAGTTCTTTTGATGTCGTACATTTTGCCTTGAATCATTTCAAAACTAGTAGAGGGATTTGTGAATTTTTCATAAAACATGGAAGAACAAAGCGATTAGATGTAACATATCAGCTGCTAAGCTGTGGCAAAGAACTTTTTTTCAAAAACATTCCATTAAGTGAGGGGTTCAGCCTGAAATTTTTGTGAAACTTTATTCTGACATAGCAGTCGACCAACAAACTAGGACCCGTGACCAAACTTTTGAGGGGGTCCTGGACCCCAACCGCCCACCGGTGCCCGTGGTGCAGCCGCGCCCATATTTGTGCCTGATTTGGCCGAGTTAGGCCAAAACCCAGATTTTAGGATTTCTACGTGTGCCCATATTTGGGTATACGCACAACATTTGATAGATTTTGGCCCATAAATTAACAAAATATCGATATTTTTGAATGAAACCAACTTTATATGAAAGGTAACCCTAAACTATACATTCTCTGAGATATATAGCTTAGTATTTATAGAAATGTGAAACCTAAGGCCAAAAGACCACTAAAAATAAAGAAAACTGCCCATATCTCAGTTTGAGATTTTCGCGAAAGTCCTAGGCCTAAGGCTTTTTCATTTTTCAAAATTTTCCCATGAAATTTTCAGAATGGGTTTGGAATCGTCTAAGGACCTTATTATTCGGGTCGGATTTGTGAGTTAGGCCTTTTCTGGCCTAACTCTTTTTTGTGTGCAAAAAAAATCTGCGGGCCAAATATGTAAATATCACGTTTTTTATAAGTATATATGAACCCGATCACATCCACAGCCTTTCAAATGTAGGTACGAAGTACGGACTTGAGAAAACCAAAAAAATATTTTCGGCTTATAATGATCAGGGTAGCATGAAAGTGAAACATGAACAAAAATAGTTATCAGAAAAACTTTGGAACATTTTCGGCCCAATTCATTCTCGATACGTACCTCTGAAGGCAGAGCTCCCGCTTGCGAGCTCGTACTGCGAAGGGGAGGCATGCCTTCCGTGATCGCATTACAAGGGGGAACCCTCAAGTCCAAAATCGTATATCGAAGGGTATGTGCGGACTTCGAAAACCGTACAAAATATTTTCGTCTCATAATGATCAGGGTAGCATGAAACATGAACAAAAGTAGTTTCCAGAAAAACTTTGAAAAATATTGGCTTACAAAATTTTCGGTCCGAGTCACAGGATCAAATATGCAAATATACTGGACCAATTTTTTTCCCCCAAAATTTGTAAAATGTTTAAGAAACCTAAATAAAAAAATTGGCCCTTTTTGGCCCCTTGCCCAGATTTTATGGGGGGCGACGGCCCCCATAAAATCTTCGCGCAATCTTACACGCAATTTAGTGCTGTAATACGGTGGAATAATTGCCGACACTGGATAGCAGTGCGAACAACAACGAATCACGATATAATAGCTAGAACTCTATTTTTAAACTAGTATTGACCAAATGAAACAGGTGAACAAAAGGTTAAATCGAGTAGAAACTCTGGATATAAATAATAATCTACAATAAACTTGTAGCCTTGCTACCTTACAAATATTCTTAAGCACAGGCTTTCCTTTCAGACTGCAAAGCCAACTTGCACTTTCAGAACTGCCACTAACAGGGCCGCTAACATAAGAACTGTAATTCTAGAACCTCAGATTAAGATTACTTGGCAGAAGACTTTGGCTGCCAGACAGTTGCGCCCAATCTAGATCTAGCTACCATGGGAAGATGACGAATCATAACCAATTAAAAAACTGCTTGATCAGATACGACAGTTGCGCCCAATCGATATTGAAATCCCCCAATTATAATAAAAGTAATATTTATTCAATAAAAAATCGTACGATCATAACGATAGATGCAAAGCTACGAAGAATTTGGGAATTATTATGATTGTCAATTTTGCCCCTCCCCCACCCTAATTGTTTTTCCACAGTTGGGATGAGAGGATCAGCTTTATGCCAGAGCCGAGCAAGTTGAATAGTAACGGATATGGTGTCTTCACTGAAATTTGTTAATTAAATCTGATCGCGCGATTTAGACTTTATACAGCAATGCCTACTTTGGATTGTCCTGTTGCGCGTTTGACCAAAATCCGATTTTTTTAGCCATTGCTTTAAAACCAACAAGTAAAGTATAAATTCACATCCATTGTTATAACGATCTTTTATAATTATTGTAGTATCATGAAAGTACCTCATTTAGAATTTCTACGCTGGTCAAACTCCAAAAATCGGACAAGAAAACTGAAAGAAGGAGCAGCGGTGGCCTAAGAAACGCCCCTGTGTTCCTGAGTTACCTGAAAGTGGCCAACTATTAAGGTCCCCCCCAGAGTAACCGTCTCGTAGACAACGACTATTTACAGACTCACAGCTTACATAAAATTGTTTATGAACTAATCAGTAAATTAGTGCTGCACGATGTGTAATCAAAAGACTTTTGTCAAATGTCAAATTCAAGCGTACTCCATTTTACCAATTTATAAAAATGTCATATGAAACGAAGTTATCTCAAGATTATAAATTGCGCGTGCAATAGCATAACACATACGCGCTGACCTTCACTGTCAGTGTCACAGACTCACAATTTTGAACAGGATCAATATTTTGAGGTTAAGAGCATCAGATAGCAAAATTTGGGATCATGTCATGAGTTATGTCATATTTTGGCCCCCTCCCCCCCCTCCTATTTTGTTGTTATGGACCCCTATCTGTGTTGGATGATATGATTTGAGATCACATCATCATGGAACATGAGCCGATCAAGTTGAATAGTTAACGAATATATGACATACTTAGCACTGCAAATACTTAATTATCTTTCTCTGCGAATTCGCCGCGATTTTCGAGACTTTTGCCGCAATTTTGCCTACTTTGGCTTGTCGCGGTGCCGCGATTTTTGACCTAAATAATCGCGATTTTCTTCTGTCCTTGCTTGAAACCCACCCAAACAAGTAAACGCCCTGATTAAATTCACAGTCTCATTGTTATAACGATCTTTTATAATTATCAAATGATACTCAATGAAAGTACCTCAGGTTCTAGTAAAATTTCTAACGGCTGGTACAAAATTCTCCAACAAATCGGACGGAGAGAAGAAGAAAAAGAAGGAGCAGCGGCTCCGTCGACCTATAATCTGTATCTGTAACGACCCCTGGGTGGTTGCCCTGAGGGACCTGAGGAAAGTGGCCACTATTATCCAGGTGCCCCCCACTCAGAGTGCGCGGCTCGCTACCCGACTCAAGACTATCTGTACTGTGGAGGAGCTCACTGCTGACATGGCTTCATTACTCTTCCTCTGCGAGAAGACCGATAACGATATTAGGTTGGTATATTAGCTTACTTGCTACCTGAATGTGAATTTTAATACAGCTCTCGCTTATATGTTTTTCCGCTCAGTACTTAGCCGTTCAACATGTTGACATTTTCAAATAATTTTAGCCATCTAAATTTTACCAATTTGGTATTTCCAAAATCCAATCAACATCATATCTGCATAATTCATCATTAATATTTTTTTTAACCAGATCGGATCAAATTCTGCCTTATCAGTGACCGTTGTTAAATTAAATTTCTCACGAATTATTCTGTCAGGTCATCTCTGAACACGTTGCAGTTCTTGAAAGCTAACAAAGAGCCGTTAAGCATGGTTAAGCTGAAGGGCATGGATGTTGGGATGAAAGACAAACAGAAAAGCTTGTTTAAGTTTTGGAGCACGATATTCACCCAACCTAAAACTAAGGGAAGCGCACTCTCACGAATGACTGAAGCTCAACGTCATGACCAGAAAAGGTTAGCTAATTAATTAAGCTAATACGTTTAAGCCTGATGAGAACACCAGGTGTTTGCTAATTTCGGCTAATTAAAGCTCTTTGTATGTTTAGAGTAGGTTCCCGAACCACTGCATTCAATTTACACAAATACCTGCAGGCTATCAGAGCTGATGTCCCTAGTTGGAGGTACTGGAGATATTGATAAGCAGGTAGATGGCATCCACGAGAACCTTCTAATGCTCAAGATAAGAGAAGCTAACTTTACCAAGTTGGCTGACTCTTTGGAGTGGTTTACTTTCTACGACAGTGTCGGTATGCTGGATCATTCTGTTTACACCATTATTTTATGGGGGGTGATGCAACGTCAATTAATGTCAGTATTCCATAAAAACCCCAAACTGACATTGACATTAATTGACATTAATTGACATTAATTGACATTAATTTGTCTTGAAATTTGAGATTATCATTATTCGATAAATATTCAAGATATTCACGTCTATGTAAGTTAGACCGGTTCAAAAAAACAAAATGTCCTTGAATAATTATGAGTATGTTCTTATCTGTTGATTCTTAGGTTCAAAGACCACCAAAAAAAATTTCAGCTTCCAACTCTTCCATCTTCGGTCCCCACCGGCCACGCCCATATTTTATTGGTTTCTTATACAGGTAAAATATCTAGAATCGGCTTTTTTAGTATGAAGGAGTAATGTTAGCTGTTTAAGATTCGTTATTCAAATATAAATGTCATGAAGGCATTTCGTTTAATGTGGGTTTTAAGTTCTGATGATGTTGAGAACCACGCCCTTGGATGGCCACGTCCATTTAAGAAAATTTAATTTCGGAAAACCGTATTATTTTAGTTTTATTATTTAATGATCTGAATTTTTTTCACATTTCACATTTCCATATGTGATAGTAGTGAATAAATTGATGATATAAACGTTCTAAAGTGCTAAAAATATGGTAGAACTACATAATCTCTGCATCTGGTCGAAAAATATCGTGTCAATTAATGTCAGTATTCCAAAATTTTGCAAAACTGACATTGACATTAATTGACATTAATTGACATTAATTGACATTAATTGACGTTGCATCACCCCCATTTTATGTTTCTTTATACCTAAAATTTCATTTTAGTTTGTTCGATTATATCTAATTTTCACTTATCGAATAATATTATATCGTATCTTTACGTCATCATCTAAAGTCTAAACCAGTAATATCTGTGAGACTGATGCCAGTTCCCCCCAGAAAAGGAGATGAGATCTACAATGTCGTTTGAGTTGTATACCTACCTAATGTACACACCAGTTGTGTTCAACCTTCTCTTCGCTCAAGTGCACCCTCCTAAAATAACTATTCCTGCTAAAAGTAGGGAACTAAGACAGAAACAACAGGTTAGTCGTAATTATTTTAGGTTTAAACACAACCCCCTCATAACCCACAAGTCCCCCTCTTGACCAATAACCCCCTTCTTGACCCACAATCCCCCTCTTGACCCACAACCCCCTCTTGACCCACAATCCCCCTCTTGACCCACAATCCCCCCTTCTTGATCCACGACCCCCCTCTTTACCAGGAAGTTGAGGACATGGCGGACATGGTAAGACGAGAGACCCTTGTACGAGCCAGGCTGGGACTAACGAGCCAGTTCTTTACCACTGAACTGTCGTCATACCTCGCTAGGATGCTCTGTCCTGTGTTCAGACCTGTCAATATTCAGGTACAGTATAGAATTTGTGAGGTGATATTTAGATATACCAGTGATACACAGGTGTTTTTACTTTTTAGTGGACATGATGGCACCTTCAGAAAATCAACTACTGTAATACTTCGAAGAGAATTAACATCTCAAAATTATTTAATTTTCACGTCTCCAATTCCCATCTCCAGCTGTACAGTGAGAAGGAGAAGCAGGCTAAGGAGGACCTACTGAACCTGATGACTTGCTATGACCTGCAGTTTGCTCAGCACCGCTCTCTGGAGGGCCTCATTACCTTTGCTTTGGAACCGGACGTGTACTCTCTGACTAGGTTTACAGGTTTACCGGAGGTCAAACAGCTTCCTTACTCGGTTAAACAGATGCTCGCTAGAGAGGTAATGTGGAACTTTTATTTGTTTTATTCAAGATTCTTATTCCCATTTTTATTTACTATTATGATGGGGCCAAACCCACTTATATTGTTTAACATATGAATTATGGATGATGGTGTGGTGGTGAACCATATTTTACCTGAACATATTATTAATGTTCAAAATTTTCATTCCGTCAAAGTTTCCTCCGGTTTCGATACCTTGATGGCGACTTGTGTCACTCTCACCGACCTCACTGATTGGTCACTGGTCAAAAATTCAGGCAAAACCGTAAAATATTGGTCAAGGAAACGGCAGAAAAGCTTCTCTTCTAAAATCTTCTAAAATCTCTTTTTCTATTCTGACGATTTTCCGTTCATCAAAGCTTTGGGAACAGAACTTTAAGCACCTCAGTGGTGTCTTGTGCCATCCTCAGTGACCCTGTAAGATGGTAATTCAAGAAAAATTGAGTCAAAACAGTGAAATTTGGGTCGCGGAGAGCTGAAATTCGAATACCTTATCGGACCTTATTTGGACGGACATTAATTGAACGCTGGAGGCCTTAACGTTCATCTTAATGTCCGTTCAAATAAAGTCCGTTCATTTAAGGTCCGTCCGAGTTAAAGTCCGTTGAATTTTTTTCAAAAATTCGAACTTTTTGTCCAGAATATGACAACTATGAGAACTTTATTGTGCCGTAAGTTAACGACGGAAAGGTTCTCCTTGGTCTGCCGGAGGCACAGAAAACTCTACTAGTATATGATGTTTTCAAGGGGCACTTTGCGGAAAAAGTCAACGAAATTATGGCACTTAACAACATAGTTCATGAGCTAGTCCCCGCCAACATTACAAACTTGTTCCAGCCTCTCCATATATTACGGTAAATCGTGTTGCCAAGGACATTGTCTATTAGACGAGACTAAAGAGTTTCTCCAATATAAATTTGATTTATAGATTGCAACGGCCCTTAAGCGCTTGGTACATCGACTTTAATTCTATTTTAAGTCTATATAATTATCTGCACCCGGGAATTAAAAACTGCAAAATCTTGCTGCTTCGGGAAATTATATTACCACAATGATATCAGAGTTCAGACTACGCAATATGTAAGTCAACGAAATAAATCCCATGGAAAAAGCGCTCTTGATGAATCGCTAATGAGAGCGGGAACTGGAAAAAGGACGGTCAAGCAAAACCCTTGCAAATCTGATCGAAGATATTCCCTCTAAGAGTTACTCCCAAGCTCCCACACTGTAAAACACTAAATCATGTCGAGTCCTAAATAATGGTGATCAGTGCAGACCAAACAGCAAAGCCAAAAAAAAAGAAAAGGGGGGACCCCCAACCCATGTAGGCGTAGCTGAGACACCTCACAGCAAGTAGACCAAAGTGGCTCTTGCTTGTGAAAGGTGTATCAACTCCCCGCTTGGTTCAGCAAGGCCTGATGGAATTCTCTTCCAATTATTCAATTAGACAGTTATATATATAGTATAGCCTTCTGACGCAGCCCACAAGTGAGCCAGAAAGGAGGTTAACTTATTTCATTCCAGCTGTTGTGAGCCTAATGATCATTATGAAAGTCTGTAAATAGCGATCAAGTTTCTAGCTGACTCATTGAAACTGAAAAGACGTTGAAACTGGGATAAAAAACATTACACGAACGCCCAAAAAGATGAACCAATTGATATGAGCAACGTTTAAAATTGAACAGCGTTTTAACGTTGTATTTAATTTTAGATTGTGAATGAAAAGTTCTTAAACGTTTTATAAGCCAACGTTGGTTAATTTTAAAGGTTAATTTTTTAACGTTGAACTTGAACTATTTCATGCACGAAAACCCCTTTAATGAAGATGATATGCGATATTAAACACTGATCATGTACACATCTTTTAACATTTTTACTGCTTAACGACTGCTTTTCTTACTTACTGTATAAAAATGGATTTAAAATCATTTTCTGAAATAAAAAAACGTTTTAAAAAATGAAAAAAATTCGGATTTTTTATGGTTTTGAGTGCCTTCTAGCGTTCATATTAATGTCCGTTCATAATTATGTCCGTTCATTTAATGTCCGTCCAAATAAGGTCCGATAAGGTATATCCTACCGCGACCGGTAGCACATAATATGTATATTAATATAAAAAATAAAATAAAATCATAACTATTTGGGATTGTTTCAATATTTACATATTTGTCTGTTGGAGTCCTAGACGTTTTTCGACGATGCTAATTTTAAGTTTTCAGGTGGATTTGAAACGAATTGGAGCAGGAGGGGCGGAAGCTCCCAAACCCCAAACAACATCCACTGAAAAGACCACCAAAATACCCAAGATTGATTACACTAAAGAACGAATCCCAGTTAACTACTTATCTAAAGTGGTATCAAACAAGGAAGCGTTTACACGGAAAAAGGAGGCTTACGTTCAGAAGTTGAGGACTTTTTATAAGTTTAATGAGGGTTTCTCTAATGCTGTCCGTAAACCTGTTAAAATGTCCTCTTTCTTCTAGATTCTTAGGGGGAATTATTTGCCGAATTGTATTATTTTAATATTAAAAATAAAGTATTTAAAATTTATTGAGTAAAATCATGTTTATTCAGATTATAACAACATTGACACTGGAACTTTGAGAACCTTATATTGTAAAACCCCAATTTACCGTGAACTCCAATTTACTGCGATTTACCACGATTTACCACGAACCCCTTAATGCTGTTGTTTCCGTTCCCCAAACTCTGCGGTCAATCGCGGTTCTACTGTATTGTAATTTTACTTATACTATGACTGAATTTGAGACCAATCGGAACTGTCCACGAAGTATTTGAAATTAAACAGGGACCTGCCCTGCAAGAAGTTGACATCAAATTAGAATTGCTCTCGAAATTGACTTCATATTAAACTGGACCCAGGATATAGTGTGTACAAATTAACAAAGATAGTCCCAGACTGTACGCTACCCCTGTACAGTACCATGACATTGTTTTATTTAGGGGCCTGCTCCACATATTAGAGGCCTGCATAACATCTAACTCCTTGACACGATATCGAGCTGTTAATTTGGGCTACCCTCGCCGTTCAAAGCTTTTCGGCTCTCAAATTTCAATATCTTTTGTGTAGGTTATCATGTGCGTTACATGGATTTGTGGACATATTTTGTTACGGTTATCATCGTCGGTATGTTTTTAAGAAGTTGTTAAGTTTTTAAAATTAGTATGGTGCAATTTTAAATTTATATTTAATTGTACTGTGTACTTAGGTGGATATTCTAATATAACTTTATTCAACGCTTGGTGTTTTACTTTTATTTGTTTGTGTATGAATACTCTATAGCCATAGGAAGATATAGAGTAGTACTGTGGTTTAAAAAACACTTAATCAGGTGGTTTTTGCCAACTTGAATTAAATGGAATGCTGGGAATGTTACCTTGTAACTGCTAAGGAAGTAGTGTCGATAGTTTTTACTTTTTGTATCTAACTTTCGAAACTCTAGAAAGATTTCTCACAAAGGTGGTTTTTAATATATGCAAACGGGCGGGGGAAAAAGTGCAAAAAGGAAACTCCGGCCCCTTAGCTATTAGTATTATCTATAATTTAGAGTCAACTGTACGTGAATTTTAATTAATCCTTCTGTTTCTCGACAAAAACAATAAAATTCAGCTCTTGAAACCGAAGTCATGACGTGTTCTGAAATCATTGTAATTTTATATCGAAAATGCAAAGATAACATTTTGCAGGTGTACACTCAGTCAGTAAAGTTGGACCTGTGAGAGCAGTTGTTGGAGACAATGCTACTAAAGCATCTATACGAGTACTTTTACCTGAATCAGGTCTGAAAATGAGACTGTATATAAGTATATACGTATTATAATCAAGTATTCCATTTAAGTTTAACCATCTGCTTTGTGTTGCATTTATCAGTTCAAACAATCTATTAGAGTTACTAGAGTCCCATTACCCATTTATTCGTCAACTTTTGATCAAATGGACATGGGCATCGTTGGGGTAACCCCCCCCCCCCCCCCCTCACCGGACCCCAACTTAGACGGTTGTGAGCTTCGAATATCAATAACTTTGCTAATAGTAATAACCGCGAATAAAGCCAGCGTTCACACTTTTAACCGTTTAGTATGTTTATAAAATTAACCAAACATTTTTTCCCGTTGTTGGTAGCAAATATTTCCATTCTACTTGAATTGCTGACACACGATCTCATCGATCACTTAGGTTGGTATCCAGAGGCTGGTGTATATAAAGTAGCTGAACTCGTCAAGAAAAAGACTGAAAATGATTACTCAAACATTTCTGTAAAGATAACTCTGTTTGGAAGCTCCAATAAGCGACTAATTTTAGACTCCGAGATAACCAAACCACTGTTTCAAAATGTAAGTTTACATCATCGTCATTATGGTACGGCACTAGCACGTGGTAGTCGAGTGACGTAGTCCCCGACATGCCCCCGTGACATGGCCATTCACAAGCGTCTCTCACAATTCGTATGGAATGCAAGGTGTAGACTTTTGGTTTCGAGTAGACTTGGCTTTTGATAAAGGTTAGATTACAATATTGCATCACACGAAAATTGTGTTAGATTTCAAAATCTCCAACTTTATTATCGGACTAAGGTTAACTCGATTGCAGGACCAGGAGGACACGTACTATGTAGGGCTAGCTCACTCTACCACTGCTCTGGAGATGACTACATTCCTCAAGATGCCGACAGTAACATTCTCGACTTTGTCTCACATAGATAACGGCACTCAGGTCCCCATAAACCCTGGATATAGAAACTCTACCAAAGGACTCTTCAACCTTTTGGAGAACTTTAAGTGGTACCGTGTTAACTTTATCGTGTCTGAGACTCTACCTTGGTACAAAGAAACGTGGCAACTGCTTTATACTGACATTAAGAAGATGAAGAATGAGCCGGAGACTGGGGGGATAACGTACCCTAAAATAGGTCTCTTTGATTCTTTGAATGGAATAATGTTGAATAATTATGTTATTTCTTGGACGGTGTTCTCAAATTGGCCTCTGATAGCACTTCTTTCCGGGTGCTGATTAACCTTAATATTGGGTATATAGTATCGGTCAACTGATCTTAGATTAACCTGTTTGCAGAGACAAGGACCAGAGCAAGTGAAGATGACGTTTTCTACCTGGACAGTCTTAAGGAAGACGAAGAGGACTTCATCAAACATATAAAATCTACACAGACTGCTAACATCTTTGTGTTTATCGGTCACCTGTGCGAGTTTCAGCACTATATCACAATTGCATACAAACACGGTAATTGTAGATCTATTATCTAAAGCTGGTGTAGAGGTGAACAATAATAGCAATAAACCCTCAAACCCTGATCTCACTCAGCTCAAGTCTCAACTTAATTTAAATGTCCTGATCAACCCATGTATCCTCCAACCTGCTTTCCTCCCAGGTTACCTTGAGCCAGGTAAGATAATAATATACCTTGACATGTACGGTCAGATGATGAGAGATACTCCAGAGTGTACCACATCTTCTACAAACTGTACTAACTTCTGTACTGTACATGCTGTGGAGGAGGAACTGTTTCACAAAGCTATGAACTTTGTTATAGTAGCGCTCACCCACTGGACTGATATTACAGATAACAATGTGGACAGGTATTTTATAAGATAAAAAGAATCGAAGTTGTACCAATTTCTACAAAATTTGAAGTATCATTCGCAACCTCCATCGATGAATGCGATTGCACTGCAACGCTGAACAGTGTATTTTCTAAATATCTAAATACACGTTGTCCAGGAGACGGTTTAAAGAGGATTTCCCTAGCTTGACTGCCAGTGATCACAGTGGGTTAGATATCTTGATGGCTGATTCTCTCAACATACTTGTGAAATACATAAACAGAGAGGATGCCAAGCAAAGCCTCTCCACGTTCATCAGTGAACACCAGGACCTGTCTCTTTACTCAGGGGGGCTGGAATATGTTACTCCTCAGAAGAGGAGCCTGGAGAGCGGGGTCCGCTTCTTTCATGGTAATGAATATTTGGAGTTCATGACGTGGGACAATAACTGTGATGGAATTTACTGTCCTATTACAGTAAGCACAGGTGAATAATTTTACTGTGCTTTTAAGATATTACTTTTCTAGGCATTAGCACGGTTTAATATTTTGGATTACTCAACAAGTCATTATCTATTAATTTTGATCAATCAGTTAAAAGCTTAATCACTGAGCTAACTGAAACAAATCATCTGTTCATTCTAGCTGTACCCACTTGAATATAATTTTCTCAGGTAAAAAGGTGCAGTGGGCAGGGGGAGTCCTACCTAAATCTGCCTTCAAATTACCTGACGACAGCACTGATCCCCTGATCATAATTTTACCTCTCATCTTCGCACTGTTCATCATCATACTCGGGGCTGTGTTCACCACTCAAGTCTACAAAAAACAAAAGTGTGCGTCCTCTCAAAAACTTTGGTCTCTAGATCAGAAAAACTTTGAGTTCGACAAAACCCACGACTTGCAACCAAGGACAAGCCACGGAGGAGCCTTTCCAAAGAGCTACCAGAACGTGCAGAACAAATCAGGCCGGTACAAAAACTGTGAGGTTTTCATAAAGGAGATAAGCAAAGTTAACCTGAACATTTCTAAAAACTATGAACTCACAACGGAGGTTCTAAAAAGAGTGGGCGGTAAAGCTGACAATGTCAACTTCCTAATAGGAATCCTAGATAAGCCTAATTGTGTGCTCCTAGTTCAACCTCTGTGCTCTAACGGTAGCCTGATGGACGTTATGCAGCACAACCCAATGAACATCCTGGACAACAACAACTTTAAACTCCACGTGCTAATGGATGTCTCTAAGGGAATGTCGTTTCTACATGACTCTCTCAACATAGCTCACACCAACCTTAAAACGTCCAACTGTGTGCTCGACAGCAGGTGGACTGTTAAAGTCAGTGACTTTGATCCTCACCGAGTTAAACAGTGTTTTGTGGCGGATACGGAGGATCTGGAACATTCCCACGCTCACAAACTGTGGACAGCTCCGGAACTTCTGTCCAGCAAGTTCGCGGTAAAACTATTTTACAGTTTTAGATTTTGTTTGGAATAAAATCCGTCGTCAAATTCTTAACGTGAATTTTGTAATTTAATGAACAAAATTTCAGAAAATACATTTAAATACACGATTTAATCAGGTACAGAGGGGATTGAAAATGTGTGATGTGTACAGTTTCGGGATGATAAGCTACCATGTGTTGGCAGGTGCACTGCCGTACCACTGCAAGGGGGAGGAGGGCGAGATTTCTTTCTCTGAGATTATAGCCAGAGTTAAGGGAAGGTCCGAACCTCCTTTCAGACCACAGGTAACTATGGTAACTATACGGGTAAACTGGGATCTTAACGCTGATATCTGAATTTAAATGATTTTTAATAATTGTGTTTTCCCTTAATTTTCTCGAGGTTTGTGTTCTTGTCTGTTTTTTATGTGATTAATCTCTTCGAATTAATTCATTTTCGTGCAATTCATGCAATTTGAAATCACAAGCGGTATTTTGCAGTTGAAACTAAGTGATTGTAACGATAACAAGGAGCTTTGTAAGCTAATAAAGGACTGCTGGAGCCAGAGACCGAGTCTACGTCCTGTATTTGGGAAGATCTCAGAAGTTCTGGATAGTTGGACTATGCCAGGTCAGAGCTTTGGGGACTTTATTGCAAGCCAAATGGAAGAGTATTCTTATGGACTCGATCAAAAGGTTATAGGTACGTCTGGTACGACTACAATTGATTACATTTGTTGCATTCGGATTTTTACCTCAGTTTTTAGTTCACCTTTTTAGCATACCATTGGCAATTCTGACTGTTTCTACTCTAAAACCTCTAAAAAACTTCATCTTTTTAAGAGATGGAGGAGAAGCTAGAGAGCGAACGAACAGAGTTTGAGAGGTTACTTCAGAATATGTTGCCTCGGCAGATAGCCAACTCTATCAAGGCCGGAAGACAACCTTCCTTCGAACAGGCAGATGTACGTTACGATAGTTACCATAGTTACCATAGTTACCATAGTTACCATAGTTACCATAGTTACCATAGTTACCATAGTTACCATAGTTACCATAGGGAATAGTTACCGTAGTATCCATAGTTAACATAGTTACAATGGTTACATTTGTTGTTCTGAAGCTTCAAACTTTACCAAGAAGTATTTGTCTTTCCGATACTTTTATGCTTATCATTTCTGTTCACAGGTATCCTTATACTTTAGTGATATTTACAACTTCTCCAAGATATCTCAACTCAAACGATTTCGGGATGATCCAAAACTTATTGTTGAATTCTTGAACGGGGTAAATTTCAATATTAACTATTAATTTCTATTAATATCAATACAAATTTTACCCCAGAAATATTACAACTATGCGACTAATAAATAATGTTCCGATCCGGAGATTATATTAACTATTTCAGCACATCCTTGTGCTTTCTTACATTTTTATTCTGCCAGTTTCATGAAACTAACTAAACTTCGTTATTTTATTCTAACTGCAACAATTAAAGCTATACGAGGAGCTGGACAGATTAGTAAAATGTTTCCAAGATAAGCTGTATAAGGTGGAGACTATAAACGACTCTTATCTCGTCATGTCAGGACTACCAGTACGACATGAACACAGGTAAAATAACACAGTTACCATGGTTGCCATGGTTACCGTATTTACCATAGGAAAATATGACAATAAATTGAAGATTTTTAGATAAGAGCCTAAGAGCCTAATCCTGTGTATTGAGTCGCTACTCCAATCAAAATTCAGTATACAATTATGTTCTACTCTTATCTTATTTAATCTGAGATTATCATAAAATTTTTTTTGCAGCTATCTGCACGCTGGATATATAGCTAACTTTGCACTGTTTGCTCTGAGTACAGTCAATGAGATAAAGTTGGAAGGGTATCCTGATGTTAGGGTTCAGATACGGATAGGAATACACTCTGGTATAATTACTCCCCCCCCCCCCCCCCCCCGCTTTATACTTTTCCTACTTTATAGTTCTCTAGAATCTAGTCGTGCTTGATTCAGATTGAACTTTGAATTATGATTAAATGAATTAATATAAGATCAGCGACTACTTTTTGCAGGGAAGTTGGCTGCAGGGGTGATAGGGAAACTAAACCCGCGATATTGTCTATTTGGGGACACTGTGAACTTTACCTCACGTCTTGAAAGTACGTGTCTTTATATCCACAAGTTATAACTTTACTGTTAGTAAGTTAGTATTGGTTGGTGCCTAGTCGTGCTACTCGTTAATCTACTGCCAATACCCCAGGGATGAAATCTATTCAACTGCTCGTTAAGCGATGATAGTATTTCTATCGTATCCCATAACATGCGCAGCACAAGTTTGACTCTTGATTGGTAGTCCTGACGTGGCCTGGGATAATATTTACAAATTACACTTAATGCCATTACTTAATAATATGATCATTGGATTATTAGTAATGCCAATAACTGTAATTCTCTGAAGAAAATTGAAGTTAGGACCAGACTGAATATTTTATCTTAATTACTGATCTGTCTGCACACTAGGATTCAGACCTGTCTGTTCAAATGATATCCAATTCCTTGGTAACCATGGTAACTATCCAAGGATCCAAACCGGTCGATTCCTGGTCGGACAACATAGTTACCATAGTTACCATAGTTACCGTAGTAACAGCCGGTTCCCAGTCCGACAACATAGTTGACACTATCAACTTACTAAGTTCGCACTATTATTATTATATTATTAAGTAATGGTTAAAAGTGATATTATCTCATGGTTGGAATGTAAGTCAAATACCATAGTTACCATAGCTGTAACCATAGTAACCAATCTGTCAGGTACTGGAAAGCCCTTTACCATCCACACGAGTATCGACACAGTCAACCTGTTAGAACAGCACCCTAGCAGTGGACTGTTCAAGATTGTACAGAGAGTTGGGAAAGTTACCCTCAAAAACAGGGGCGAGCATCAGACTTACTTCGTTGTAGGTTCGTTAAACTTCTTCTCTCTCTATCTTCTCTCTTCTCAGTACTTCTACTTCGTGAACTTGTACCTACTGTACCTACTGTGTCAGTAAACCAACCATATTATGATATTAATTAATGGTATGGCAATTCACACTGGATCTGTTGTAAGCCGATTCAGCTGCTTTGATAGCCGATAAATCAGGTTGCAGGAGAGTACCGGCTCAGAAATTCACTAGAAATGACACTAGAAAATATCTTTACCATCATCAAAAACAAGAGCGATTGATATTCACATTCCTTCAGGGATTACGTGTTACCATGATATTCACATTCCTACAGGAATGACGGGTTTCAAATGGCAGCTCCCTAAAGAGACAGAACGGTTGATGAGACGAGGAGACAACTCCGACGAGACGGACTCTATTGCCTCCTTCAAGACGAGTGATAGTATTAGTATGGGACACACCAGTGCAACAGGACGTAGAAGGAAGACGTCAGCTACCAGCATGAGCACGTATACGGACCTGAGTGTTACTGAGTCTAGCTCCACTGCTACCTTCGTGGATGCTAGAGCTCCTAAACTGTCTTGTGCTGTCATGGAAACCAGCGTATCGTGAGTCATAGTTACAATAGTTACCATGGTTACCATTGTTACCATAGTTATAACCATGGTTACCATAGTTACCATGGTTACCATAGTTACCATGGTTACCATAGTTACCATAGTTACCATGGTTACCATAGTTACCATGGTTACCATAGTTACCATGGTTACCATAGTTACCATGGTTACCATGGTTACCATAGTTACCATGGTTACCATAGTTACCATGGTTACAATAGTTTCCATAGTTACCATGAGTCTAGTATTGACGTCATAAATATTTCCATACCAATCCAATACCAACATCTCCTGCTTTATCTATTTAGTTAATAGCTGTCAATTTGACAACTTATTTCATTCGTTTTGCGTGGACTAATAGCAGTAATCGTATTATTTTCAATAATATCGTAATAAAATGTCCCCCAGACAACTGATGTTGTTGATAGATAAGATGAGGAGACCTATAGACGAATCTAACGAGTTTGATGGAGAGCGAACTGCTAGACGGGCCTTTTCCGAGCCGGACGGGGGCAATTTCACTATGTTAGTTAATTATTACCATTAATTTCACTGATCGAGTTAATTAGTACCATTTACTTCGGCCAGTCCTATCACTTCAACAGTCGGTCCTCGTAAGGGCCTAATACTGTACCTCAAGCTTTGCGCTAATCTAAACCATAATAACCATTAACCATATACCATATACCATCTGCCTATCCTCTCTAACATTATTTTACGATATCTAATCATGGTTACCATGGTAACGATATATAATCTCATTTCTCACAGAGAGACAGATCAAAAGAAGCAGCGTATGTCGACCCCCTTCAGAAAGGAGAGTGATGAGTCCCTGTATAACCGAGTGAAGGAAGGGCGTGTCTCCAACCTCCTACCACAGATACCAGAACCTATCGTGTCTGGAGAGGGGGGTCCTGCTGATACCACCTCGGCTAGCTGCGGGTCTTCTAGTGATATTCTCTCTACTTTATCCGATCCTTTGGGTGAACTAGGTTAGAAGCTGTTATCAATTCACGGAAACTCCATGACAGAACTTCAAATGAACTTCATGACTTTCACCCTTTCAAATGAACGGTAACCTGCACTATACTAACTGTAAGTCAACCTAATCACCATCCCTCCTCAGGATTAGCAGAAGAAGCCGGCCTCCTCTCCTCTGTCTATAACCACTATGAGACTCCTCCTACTCCTCCAAATGAACTCAACTACAGAGATGAGACCGACACAGTCCCTGACAGAGAGGATCACCTTGACAACGAGGATCACCTTGACACCCCCACTGAGGGTAATATCTCCAGGGTCTCCTCCATCAAACGTCGTGACACTAACTGTACCTTGGTGGCACCCTCTGCGTACGCTCTGTCGGGGTTCCCCATGGTTATGGGTAAGAAGCGGTACTCTTGTAGGAAGAAGATGCCGTCCAGTACAAACGAGCATGCTTCTACTGAGGGAACTGATGGTACTGAGTCAGAGGATTTCGAACAATTTGACGAGTCTACTGATTGATATTCTTAGGATTTTAGGATATTAGATTGTAAAGAAATGTTAAGTCCTTCTTGAAACTTCATCTTATCTTGATTACTTCCCATGATTCCCATCTCGTCGTTTCCCATGTACATTGTACATTGTACATTGTACATTGTATAGACTTCAACAGTTATTCCTCAAAGCGCCATATAATCACGTGACCCCAGCTATTACCAACAGTCTCCAGTTATATTGAGCGTCCAGGAAATCACTGTGGCTACAATCGTTCTCTCTTCGTTTTTAGCTTTCTCTGTGTTTGTTGATGGACGGTTAAAATTCATGATATTTGTCTTTTTGTTGTAAAAGTTTTGTTTAGTTCTTTTCTGCTTATTGCTGTGAATTTAAGACGATTTTGAATCATTTACTGACAGTAACCAATAACCATGATAAACGTTGCCATGGTAACATTTGTATTCTCCCCACCGAATATTCGTATTTTATTGTCTCTTATAACAGGCACATGAACTAAACTTAGCTTCATGTTACGCTTTATACTGTAAGTATCAAAAAGAATTTCAGTCATCAGATATTAAAGAAATGAAAATTAGTAGAAGGTAATAACAAATTGTTCGTTCGATTTTATAGTTTCCTAAACTATATCGCTCTTAAATAACCAACTAACTTTTCAGTCTTGCCCTGGTGGCAGTAGCGTTAGCTGACAAGCCTGACAATGAGGTACCCTTGGAGGATATCCCTGAAATGCTTCCCGAGGTTGATTCTGCTATGGTATCGGAGAGCGAGGCTGCAGCTGCAGCCATCACTGCTAAGGCTGCTGCTGCTGCCGCTGCAAATGCTGCTGCTGCTAAAGCTGCCTTGGAACGTAAGTTCACTCTTTATATTTCCAATTTTTACATTTTTCAACTGATCTAGTTACGTTTAATTTCTATGTGATCAATTCTTTAAAGTAAAGTTGAATCTCAACAATTAACGTATAATTTTGTAGATTTCTATTCTTACTTTAGATTGTTTGATCTGTTTAACAATTTTGAATAATTGTTTACTAAATCCTTATGTTTTTCAGCGGTTGTATTCAAACATAAGAGTGAGTATAATTAATCATACATGTTAAATATTTCACGAGGAATTTGTAACCATATGTTAAAACTGTGAAGTGTGGAAATATGGGACATAAGTTTTAATTTAATGAACGGCAGCGGTTGTGCCAGTTACCATAGTTACAGCGGTTGTGCCAGTTCAAACTTTGAAGGATCGTTGTCGAATAAAACACGTCCAGTATTAAATATTGTCTACTTTGAGATACATTTTCAGTAAATTCCAAAGATTTGTTCCAAATTCAACATCTTGTCGACATTAATAAAGGCCACACACATTAACTACTGATTGGGTGTGACTGCATTCGAACGTAGGATCTAGCCATGCAAACAAAAAAGCAGATATTATACGCAATATTATAATCTCTCCACTCCACGCAGAATCTGACCTTGAACACTTCGAGTCTCCTGACAAAGCCAGGCACATCACCGCTGTCAAGGGATCCAGAATCAAGTTCTCATTCTTGATAAGGAACGCGTACAATGTTAAGTGTGTCATCTGGTACAAATACGATCATCACAGTAAAGTCAACAGACGTATCAATCCTACTGGCAGGTAACTAGTGACCATGGTAACAGTAACCATGGTAGGCCAGTTGGTAATCTAGCTAGGCACACCTGGGGCACAATATTGAAATTCCTGGGGCACAGTTGGGGCAAAAAGTTACTTGGGGCACACTTGGGGCATAGTCGGGGCAAATACAGTGGGGGCACACTTGGGGCACAGTCGAGGCAAAAAATGACTTGAAGAACAGTTTTGGGAAACTAAACACACTTGGGACACCATTAGGGCACAGCTGGGGCAAAAAGTTACTTGGGACACACTTGGGGCACAATCGGGGCAAAAACAGTTGGAGCACAGTTGAAAAACTAAGTAGGGAAACTGAACACAGTTGGGGCAAGGAGCTACTTGGGGCACAGTTAAGCCCTGAAGTTGAGGCCTGATGAAGCAAATTGGTAAGGGTAAACGATCTTCTTGTGTAATAGTAACTTGCCTTAATACAAGAATTTTTCCTAAACTGTGCTTCTGATCATTTTTTTGCCTCAACTGTGCTTCAACTGTTTTTGTCCCGATTGTGCCCCAAGATTACCAAATTCCCCCATGGTAATATTAACCCTGGTAACAGGGTAACTCAAGCGATTATCACATCTTATCATAGGTAATTTTAATGTTATTAGACCACTAACCCTCTCACTACTAAACTCTGACCACTCTGACCACTCTAACTACAGGTTCTCTGTGTGGTCCTACAAGTCTAAGAGTGTCTACTCCCTCCAAATAGAAGATGTCAGACCAGACGATGCTGGATACTACCGTTCTCTCATCATGTATAATAACGGCATGAGCAAGACAGATCTGTACTACAAACTGACTGTCAGTGACAAACCAAGTAAGTAACCTCCAACATTCTAGGAACTTAAAGAAAAGGAAGTTTTTCAATCACAGCAGACTTTGTACTATCTTTAAAGACTAACTGACTTCAACCCCTTCAGCTGATAACCTGAACAAACTCCAGCTCCGAGGATCTGACATCGTGTTCCGAACCCGGAAACCAGCTGGTGCCTCCGTCACCTGGTACCGTGTCTCCGGCAGCCACAGGATCCGGATCAGCGAGACCGGTGGTCCCAAATACTTCATCCTGGAGGGAGAGGAGAAACTTGTGGTAGCTGATGTCGGTCCTGAAGATATCGGGGTTTACATGGCACTCGTGAAGAAAGGCAGTCAAGTCATCACCAGAGTGTACTTTAAAGCAACCAAGTTGGACTACCACAGACGACCCACTGTAGTGAAGGCTAAGGAGTACTACACTGTTAAACTGAGCTTCAACCTGCCCCGAACTGCTGTAAACAAGCTCAAGGGTATATCCTGGTACCACACCCGTCCCTTCGTGCAGATCAGGTACCTCTTGATACTGTACCACATGTATTAGTTATAAAATATACATGCTTTGAATGGTTTTTACCAACACTGATCTGTCTAAATCTTGAGTTTTCCATTGATATCAACTGCTTTAAACAACCTCTAAACTCTAATGTAATCCGTCTCTTCCATTTACAGCCAGTCTAAAGGGAAGTACCCAAAATACCAATTGGAGAACCAGAAGATGACGCTGGTCATCAACAAGTTGGATGTTAGTGATGAAGGCTACTACGTTGCTGTTATCGAGTTTGCTAACTACAAAACTGAGGCCCTCTTCCTTGTCAAAGTAGAGAAACTACCAGGTTTGGAAAGGAACTAATCGTAATTTTTTCAATTCCTAACATAGGGCTTAGTATACTAATTACATATCCTGCCTATATGTCGAGTGAGGATCTGTTAACGATATCTTGTGATAGATAGTTTTACTAACAGTTGTTTAATTTCCAGTGAAAGCTCTGGTACCAAAGGAACTGAAGATAATGTGGGGACAAGGTGCTGTATTCAGCTTCAGAGTACCGAAAGGAGTAACAGTACAGAAAGTAGACTGGACCTTCTACCACAAGAAAGGCAGTGTCAGCCACTCCATTAAAGCTGATAAACGGATCACATTTGAGAAGAACAGTCCCGACTACTCTCTGAAGATGTCCTGGTGTACTGAACACGATGTAGGGTTCTACAAAGCTGTAGTGACTACAGATGCTAATGAAGAGTTACCTGTCCTGTTCTTCTTGCGAGTAGACGGGGAACCTCCTAGTGTTAAACCAGAGGTAGTTGTCTCACATTTGGGGGATAACGTTACCATGGGGATCTCGTTCAAGAACGCTAGGAAGATCAAGAGTATTGACTGGATGCACATCAACCCTAACAGAAGAGTGGACCCCAGCAAGAGGATTAGTTTCACCAAGTCTAAGGATGGAATGAAGAGAACAGTTCTTGTCAAGAGCATCGAACAACAAGACGCAGGTTTGAACATAGTGTTGCCAGATTAAAATGAAAACATATTTCTTTTCGTTTTCGTCCTTTTACAGGATTAAGTACGAACATTATTTGATATAGCAATAGTAAAAGTAACTTTACCAGGATTCTACGAGGCTATCATAACCCTGGAGGACGGATACAGAACCCGAGCTAGGTTTCTGATAAAGGTGAAGGGAGACGAGGCTCACGTCTGTAAGTTATAATATAACCCGACTGTTTATCAATAATAGCTGTGTTATTTCGGGGGGTTTTTTTTTCGAGCTGTAAAACACTTGCCTTGTTAATAAACATCATGTTATTTGTAACAATTCCCTTCCTCAGTGCTCCAGACTCCAGCTGCAGCCTTCACCCCGACTGGTATACCCAACGGACAGCCCGGCACATCCTCCCGTCCTATTAAAACACAGAACGTAGTCGGACAAACTGTCATTCTGGCTGGTTTCCTCGGAAATGTTCCTGTTGATAAGATCAACTGGTATCGTGTTATTGGAAACAAGAGGAGGCAAATATCCCCCGGCAAGAAGTATGATTTTTTAAATTTTAAAACACTTTTAAATATTTAAAATTTTAATGATCAGAAATCGTTGAAATATTTTTTTAAATATTTAAAATTTTAATGATCAGAAATCATGGAAACAGTACCCACCAACCACGTTAACAGTTACAATGGAAGCAGCGACAATGGTAATAGCAACTATGGCAACAGTATCCATGGTAACAGGATCCATGAAAACAATAACCGTGGTAACAGGTCTTCATCTCAGATACGAGGTAATCAAGAAAGGAACGTACGTGTTTTTGGTGGTGAAAGAAGTAACAAAAGCAGACAGAGGACAGTACGTGCTAGCTGTCAGAACAAAGCACGGAAAGAACCTTGTAGCTTACTACATTATGACAATCGAGGGAACTAGTTAGTTGAAATTAATTCATCAATTGTCTGATATCAGCTAAATATGCTCGGTTTTTTCGGCAAAGCAAATGAATTTTAGTTATAGAGCTACTGTGGAAATATTCCCTGTTTCAACACTTATATGTATAGCCACCATCTGCAGTGCATATTCCTCGTTGTACTAATTCCTAAAATTCTTTCAGAGCCACTTCACACGATCCATCAGTTCAAGAGTCCCCTAGCCCATCACCTGGATATATTCTTCAACAGCGGAGGTCACATCAGCGGGGTAGAGTTCTACAGACTGAACCCCACCACTCTCATAAAGTCAGACAATGTCAAGTACAAGATAGAGGGCCACAAGCTCAGGATCCTTCAGATAGAGTGGGAGGATGAGGGGTACTACCAGGCTGTCATCAACGTGGGAGGGAGGAAAGTCACTAAATACTTCCAGATTACTGTCAACGGGGTGATACCTGACACTGTAGACTTCGAGCCTATCAACCAGGCTGAGAAGATACAAGCTGTGGCTGGGTCTAAGATAGCCCTAAACTTTGAGCTGATGTACGGTAAAAACATCAAGAGTATCGTTTGGTACAAGTTCGATCCTAAGACCAAGAAATCCACCCCAATCAGACCCTCAGGACGTGTAGCGATAAAGACCAAGGGTACCAAGTCCTCTCTTCTGATGGCTCGTGTTAGATTCGCTGATGCGGGTTACTACAGGGTCCTTGTTAAATACATGGGTAGGATGACAGACGGTCTCTTCAATGTCATTGTCAAGGCCGAGCCTAGTAAGTTTTATATTTATATTGCATTCTTTTATAAAAGGTTACAATAAGGTCATAGGCCAATAAGGCCATAGCTCAAACATTATTATTGAGTGTTAAATTGTTTTGCGAAAAAATGTTGATACTACGAATCAGCCAAATATTTTTTATTACACTGATAGTTCCAAACCATCTTTCTATACGTCTATCGTAAATTCTTCAGAAATCGTGAACCCCTGCGAGACCCACCTAGGAGGAACAGTAGTGTTCAGCGTCCATGAACCCAGCAGCACCATCATTACCAAGATCCACTGGTTCAGGATTGTGGACGACGTGCCTCGGTACGTACGAGGGCACCGCACGTGCATACCACGTGTGGTTACCATGTGCATTATACGTGTGGTTACCATGTGCATTATACGTGCATACCACGTGGTTTTATACGTGCACGAACATGACATGTCAGTGACGAAGCTGTCAATGTGTTGATAGATTCCTGACAATCCTATCTGACCCGCGTGTAATGTTGTGTGTTCTGAAATGTGTGTAATGTAAAGAGTGGATGATGCTTCGGGATCAGTCCGGCAATTTAAATCAGGGTGAAATGTCGTCCAAACCCCTGACGTTGTACCATCATTTTAAAGACTTAATTAAGCGAATTTAAACTAGATAAATACCGTCTAAATATTATGACGTTGTTTCTTATTAAGGTTAAACACTTAAACTAACTTAAACTAAATCTGCAGATAGATTAAAACAGCATATATTCTGACGTAATCCCTTTGTAGACTCAAACTAACCAGTTACTGACGTAATCCCCTGCCAGACCCATCAAAGAGGGAGACCAGTTCCAAGTGACTGACAAGAACCGTCAATTGACTATCTCTGGGGTTCAGGACTGTGATATTGGCATGTACCAAGCAGTACTTACTACTAACGATGGGGAGACTAAGGACGAGTATTTCGCTATTAGAGCTGAAGGTTTGGACAGGCACCTTGATACTCATATTATGCTGCTATTACAGTTTAAAGTCTTTCGGTGATAAACACAAAGATGCATTTCAATAACATAAGTGAGCTCTGTTTTGGAAGTTAGAGGATGAGATATATGAGATCTGGTTCTAATAAGTCGATTTATTCGATACTCCAGTAGTCACCATGGTAACATGTGTGTTAGTTAGAAACTAAACTACCCCCTCCTCACAGATGTTGAGCCCCCAATGAGAATTATAAAAGCTACAGAATACTGGACAGTAACTCTCTCCTTCCAATACTCCCTTGTACCTGGTGACCAGGTTAAGAGTATCAGATGGTTCCACCTCTCTGATCCTCGACGAGAACTCAAAACTTCCCCTGGTAAGGATCTTAGAATAGATTCAACATCTTATTTCACCTAAAATATTGAAATTTTAAGCCCCTAAATATCAGCTAACCAAGGATCTAAGCACTTCGTGTCCAGGAAAGTACAAGAAGTACAGCGTCACCGCGGACAGGAAAAGTATGACGATCACAAAACTGAAACCTGCTCTAGACGAGGGCTGTTATATTGCTGTGGTAGATCTTGGAGATTACACTCTCAGAGCTCTCTTCAGATTGGAAGTCAAACCTCTGCCACGTATGTTATAAATAAATCTCTTAGCATAAATTCATGCCACTTTGGATACCATCTCTATGTTAATTTTGATATATTTTCTAGCTGTATTACTTTCAAAAGGCCTAAATATTCTTGTTTCAGCTCGCAAACCCAAGGTACACATCACCAAAGTAAAGTGGGGACAGAACGTTATCTTCAGTTTCGAATCGCCCAAGAACGTCGAGATTAAAGGGATCTCCTGGACCTATGTGAACGGGGGCAAGACCAGGAAAGTGGTGGCTGACGGAAAGAAGATCAAGACTGAAGAGTGCTCACCCCAAATACTACCTGACAGTTAACTGGGTGGACAGACCTGACGCTGGATTCTACAACTGTGAGGTTGCTACTGCTGACGGAGAGAAACTCCCGGTTTCCTTCAAGCTGGTCGTGGAGGGAGAAAGTGAGTTACTCTCAGAACTGTTGTTCATGTCTCAGTTGATATTGCTTATTTTCGTGTAATTTAACTGTTAGTCTACCATTTATTATCGAAATTCAATTTAAATTCAATCCATTCTCAGAGCCAGCAGAGATTCCAAGAGTGATAGAGACCTTCATGCACGACACTGTTACCATGGGATTCGAGTTCGACCACCGCTCCCCCGTCAAGAAAGTTACCTGGTTCCACATGGTTGGCAAGAACAAGATTCCCGTTCACAACGGCAAGAAATACGTACAGAAATCTCCGGCTGAGAACAGGTTCAAGAGAACCATGGACATTGTGTACGTGAACGCTAAAGATAAGGGTCTGTACATAGCTGAGACGGAGCTGGAGGACGGCTACCATACTAGAGCTATCTTTGAGATCAAGATTGTGGGAGACAAGCTTAGGAACATCGTTCTGAAACCGTACAGCAGGACTTCTGCTAACAACAAACCTGCTCAACCTCTAACCTTCCCCCATGAGCCTGCTAGTAAGTAGCAAAACACGCTGTTTTAATTATTGTTACCATGGTAACAGTTACCATTGTTACAGTAACCATGGTTACAGTCACCATTGTTACAGTTACCATTGTTACAGTAACCATGGTAACGATCCCGTAACAATCACCATGGTAACAGTAAACCAGAACTTATTCTGCTTAGCTAGTTTTAAAACTTGATTCCGTTATTTAAATATTTCATGCTATGTTATGTGCTTTATTAAATTTGTTCGAATCATTCGTAATAGGTCTTTACTATGTCACTAGACTCAATCTTATCCTTTCCTCTGCAGTATTCCTGGGAACTCCCGAGGATCCCCAGAAAGTCATTGCTAGAGTTGGAGGTGTTGCTCAGCTGGTCTTCAAATTAGAGGAGATCTCCCCTGACAAGCTGTACTGGTACTACGTTGACAGTCACGGTAACAAACGGGTCATCGCTAAAACTGAGAACATGAAGAAGTTCAATGTTCACGACACCAGGAAGTTCAACGCTTACAGGTTTGGGATTTTATGATTATTCGTCCGTAGGACGGGTTTCCAGCTTTTTTACTGAAGCTCATGATTACTTGTTTTAAAATCGATAACTTTTTAACTTCCTTTTAAGTTTTTAACGTTTTAACTTTTCTTGTGAGCTGATTACTGTTCTGTTATGTGTAACCAGAGGCCCTGGATTGAAGGTTGATTAATTAAACTTTCGCACATCTTCATATTCTATATAATGTAAAACTTATATTCAGTTATTTAATGACTTCATACTCTGCAGGATGCAGGACAAGAAAGCAGGAAAGAACACATTCTACTACTTCCTGACAGTTTCACATCTAAGTGTCAATGATGGTGGTATCTACTACGCTAGACTGGCTGATTCTGCCCAGTCTATCAAACTCTACTTCAGACTCATGGTCCAGGGTCACTGTAAGTTACTTTCTTATTTCTCATTTTAGTTTTACTTTCCATAGCATCACTGATTTTAAAATATATTGGCACGATTTATTTCCGGCCGTTTCCACGAGAGTTTGATAACGTAATACGTTATTATCTCTTATTTAATAATACTAATAACTTAGTAATTTAAGTTTTAGTTTCTCATCATTGATTTTAACATGACCGGGAAATGAATTGTGCCAACCTCATGAGCTGGCACAATTTATTTCCGGTCACATATAATCATGCTCTATCTTCCAATGGTTACCTTGTCCACAACCCCCGCACGAAGAAGAACCATGTGACTATGCAGTTTTACGGTAATCTTATCGAGCTGGATAACACGACTCAAAAGTATACTTTGACCCTAATAGGCTGGGAACAAATCACAACAAACAAATCTCACTGATTCGATTTTAATTCTTCCTCATTCGACCTGCCACTCATCCCACTCATTTTCCCACTCCCTAGAGGTTGGCAAAGCATCTTCATGCTATCCTCTTGTGGGCCATCCAGGTCCAGTGTCTCTCCACATATTTTCACACTGTATTTAACACTAACGTTACCCAGGGAACCAAGGAGTCCAATACACCAGAGCCAACGTTCACTTGTGGCACGATGTTACTATAGGACTGAAGGATCCCAGTACGTTTGTAAAGTGCTCTCTGACGAGTGTGAACTGGTATAGACTGTACCCTCTAGAACAGATTGCCACCAGCAAGAAACATGAGTTTGGGAACAAGAACCTCGAACTTACCATCAGGTTAGGGATTGCTGTTAACTTACTGTTAACCCTGGAGGGTTCCTCTTTTGGTGTAGCATCTGCCAAGAGGGATGATAATCAGGAATAATTTACAAAATCATACTTCTGGGCAGTAACAGATTGAAAACTAACAGATGTATAACATCACTGAAGCGTTCAATGATAATGCCATATCCTAGGTATACCAACTGGGTAGATGCAGGATACTATAAAGCTGTTGTGACGATTGACGGAGCCTACGATTTCGAGGTCATCTTCCTCGTCAGTGTCAGTGGAGAGATCAGCTGTAAGTATTTACTGTCTAGTATTATTACTAGAGTTTTACTATTATCCGTCTATTTTACTATTCTCCTTCTCTGGTCAAATTGTGATACAACTAGCAATTTTTCGCAATTTCATAAGACGTTTGAATTTTACGAACACTGGTTTTATGTCAATAACACGTATCACAGCTTGATTTGATATTGTCATTTTCATTGTACATAGTCATACTATTCGCTGTACTATTTCGATCAAATCAATACGCGGCATAGAGAAGACCAATTCTCTATATGACAAGTTGTTACAAACCACGCCTAGAGAATAAACTGTTTTCAGAGCTTTATCTCTTCTTCAATTGTATAGCAGGAAGTCGGAACCGAAATTTGTTGATATTATCAGTTTTCCTGGCAAGTTGTTAGTCAGTGATGACACGTTGTTATAACTCTGTTAATACCATATCTTCCCCAGCGGATAATGTGAACATGCCCACAAGAATCCTTGCTCTGGACAGAGAAGCCTTCTGGATCCATTAAATCGTACGTAACACACCATACAAACGAACGAGCAGAGCACCACGAACAGACGAACAGACCACATTATTTATCGCGTGACCTGACTGTTTTGACGGAACTTTTAACTTTTATCTGACAAGTTTTCAACACATAATCTCACCCATTTTCGTTATCTGACTTCTTATCGATTTGCTGGCAAATTTTACATTGGTCGACGAGATCTGGTAACGCCAGTTCTGTCCCGAAAATTTAATCTCACGTACTTAAACACTATATAATATAGATCGTTCATGTAATCCACATATTCTAATAACGTTATATTACGGTTTGTTGGACGACTTTACTTTGATTTGTAATTTAATTAAGATTCGTCGCTGCATAACTTAAACTAGTCTTGTCAGTTTTGCACGATGTGAGATGTTTACTCCCTGAACCATTTCATAGTAGAAGACTGATATTTCATAGTAGAGAACTGACATTTCATAGTAGAGGACTGACTTTTCATAGTAGAGGACTGACAATTTTTGGGTCCAACAACATAAAAAGTAAGCATTTGAGGGCAATTGTTTATTCACATAAGTATGTTCATCGTAGTTAGTTTAAACGCCGCGCATCCAGATTACAGAATTCTTAACATGTTTTTATCAAAAGTTAGCAAAATTAGGTCAGCTCATGACCAAAATAAGTTTTCGGCCAATAACTCTAAAATAAGGCATTTTTAGCATATACTGCTTCTATTCATAACTCATTATAAATTGTATACAAATATGGCCATTGCCTATTCAAAAGTCTCTACGATGTTCTATTTCTATGTAGGAACATAACGCAAATTTGAAGAGGCCCCAACAACATTTCCAGCCCTCTGCTATGAAATGTAGGTAAATGTCTAAACTTATTAACAACTTCATGTAATCAAATTCATGAAGGTTTAGTCGTGGATAATAACACGGCTAGACTACAATAAACTTGGCACAATCTCAAATCGCAACGTGGTCATTAATCTTCTTACGTACGTGGATTGAAACCATATAAACGCGTTGTCGAGGCTTTATAAACGTATCTGCGTGACCATATATTATGAACGCGTATAATATCGAGATTGGGCGTATAAAAGCAGTGATGGCCAAATATTTAGGAATGTTTGGCAGCCCGCTCCTATTTGTTGTGATCTTATGACAGGACACGTAAGTAGCCCAGTAGCTGGATGTCTCCGCACATTTTGTATACAATGGTCTGCTGCTAGGATCTGCAGTTTGTTTTAACTCGATTATAACTCACTATTCAGCATGCATCATGTGTTTATACTATTATAGTTAGACTGAGAAGGTACTTTTGTTTCTACATAACCCAGTAATTAGCTACCTTTTCTCTCACCAATATTCAGCTTGTGGTAGTCGAGTTTCTTTAGAACTAGTTACTTGAATATTCAAGAGATTTGTAGTTGTATGTACTCAATGCAAATCTCTTCACTTTATTAGTTTACTAGTGTTACCTGTGCCTACGGCCGGGACTTCACTATCGCAGTTGAAATGCAAAAGTATAAACCCGCCTATTATATTCGATAACACGCATTATCACAGTGCTGGCAAGCACGAGCGGTGTCTTTATTGGGGGTATACTATGTACCCCCTTTACTATTGTACCCCCTTTACTATTATACCCCCTTTACTATTATAACCCCTTTGGTACTCGTCGGAAGCCTCTTTCGTGCACGCGAAGCGTGCACTCCGCCCGGAGGCGGCGGCCGAAGGCCGCCGCCTCCGACAGGAGTTTTTCAGGCATTAAGACTCATCGGAAGTCGTTCAGCAGATTTATTTTTAGTTCAAAACATTCTAATTTGATGTCAAAGATGACAGGAATAAAAATAGTTATGTTGAGATTTTTAAGAAATTTGCATAAAATACTCGCCAGCACTGTTATACGAAATTCGGTAAAAAACCCAAAATCGCCATATTCAGGTGCCTTAAAAACCATGTTAAAATTGAGTTAGAGATCTGAAATTTTTCAGGGCGTCTAGACGTTGACCAAATCGACTGCAAAAAAAGTTTCAGGTTTCAGGAGCATCGGGAAGTGGGTTTTCTAGAACCCCTGTTTTACGATAGATTGTCGTGATACATATATACATATATATATATATTCAGGGATAGACGCTTTGCCAGTCAATTGTAGCCTGTATTTAATTGTCCATAGATTCAAAAGTATAAAAGATACAGCCATTTCCGACCACAGGTCTTGCAAATAATTGTTTATACTTTAGTTTACATTGTATAAAAAAATTATTTGACGTCATAAACACCCCTTGATGACGTCATCAAGTTAACCGTTTTTAAAACTTGATTTTTGACAAAGTAATAACTTTTAAAATTAATTTTAAACCATTAAGGAGTAATTTTATTCAAAATCTGAGGAAATTTTCATCTTAGATAATTGTTCAAGCATTCTGAAAATCTACCGGAAAGTTTTTCTAGCTTGCTCCTTCATAAAGATATTCGTCATTGAAGTTTGTGCTTTTCTGAAGAATTATTTTATAAAAACGTCAATTTTGCGATTTAGTATTCTCTGGTGTTGGGCCATGCCTTGGGTTGTGGAGCTCAGTTCTGCTTCCTATAGGTATAAATTGTGTCATAGGCTAGTTTTAAAGTTGAAAATCGAAAAGTTGCACACGTTGGGACACGCCCAAATTGATAGAAAATCGATAAAATCACTAAAAATTGCTGTTTTCGTCATTTTCTGTCAACTTTAGAGTGCCGTTGTGATTACAGTTCTTCTTAAAATACTTTGAAACTTTGCATGCTTATCAAGCTATATATAAAACAATTACATGCAAAAATTTACGGCGATTCAATATTGGATGCGCACGCAACGTCTGCTCAAAGTTTGCACGTGCGAAAGGTGAGAATTTTGCTCATTCGTGATTTCCAACAAATTCTGCTTTGCCACGACAGTTTAATGTCATTATATATGAATTTAATGCCAACTTGAATGAGTATTAAGTGGCATATTCAGTCAGTGATCGACCGATATGCTTCCCTAAACACAAGGAAATGTTTTTAAAGGATAGATTTCAAAATCGTTGTAACTTCCTCCTTATTAATGAAGATATCAGTTTATATTTCGACTTAATAAAGTACCCTGACATTATAATCAAAAAGAGATGATATTTTACCAAAACCCATAATCATGGGTAGAGTGGACCGCTGTCAGTGTCTCTCTTTTCCAAACAAAAGGAAATGATATTACTTTGATTGACCGTTCTCAAATGCAAAATGATACCGAGAATGAAATCGGTCGCTCGCTTTTCCCATTCATTTACAATTGTAATAGATTAAGAAGAACTACCCAAAGGCAGCTGTACTCGGCAATGAAGATTCAATAAACTTCAGCTAATTCAATAAGTAATACTAATAACTACCACCCTTACCCCGAAATACTAGGTATCGACCCGAACGCAACCCAAAGAGATTTTTACAGCATCTGATTGATGTAATCAATCGAAGCTTATTACAATTCGTACGCCGTGAATGAATGGGAAAAGCGAGCGACCGATTTCATTCTCGGTATCATTTTGCATTTGAGAACGGTCAATCAAAGTAATATCATTTCCTTTTGTTTGGAAAAGAGAGACACTGACAGCGGTCCACTCTACCCATGATTATGGGTTTTGGTAAA